CAGGTTGTAATGACATCAGGCCATCTTTTCTGATACAGTGCTCTGAAGCTCTCTATATGCCTTTATCTGACTTGTTCCAACACTCGATGCATTCAGCGAAACTGCCAAGGAAGTTGAGGACAGCCATCGTTTCTGCAATTTTCTAGGGTGGGGACAGCCAAAATGCCACCAGTTATAGACCAGTAGCGCCACGAAGTGTAAGGAATTTCTTGTTTACTATTTTTGCCGCATCGTCACATATTCGCTTGCTAAATATGTATGATGCGAGTGAACATATCTACGAGTAACTACGGAGTAGTCATCCCTTTCATTTATACATTTAGTGGTTAGCAACAGTTGTTATTATTATTCCACATCATAATTCATTAAATTAGATAAACTCGCTTTTCACGATGCTCCGATCCACTTCCAATATCCAATATCTTTTCTAAGTGCTAGTGCAAATCAATTTGATTTTTTCATCCTCCCTTATTGATTATGAGGCAAAGGGTCCTGGTCTTTGGTAAACTTCTGTGTAATTCTTCCTACCACTCTACTATCGCAGCTTTGTGTGACCCCCAAGGGAGTTGTGCTGGGACTAATTACCTGTAGTTTATAGTGTGCGGTGTGTTTAGACAACGTCGCTACTGTGAATGAAATTTATTTTCACCATATAGTCCTCTGGTGTCGTCGACAAAAGAAAAAACATACTAATAAGAGATGTAACTGGTGTTGGCTATCCAGACTGAAAGACAAAAAGAAAGGAAGAAAGCGTAAAAACAGTCACTTTTTCACACTTATTACGCCAACCCAACTTCCGGGCATTTTCCAAATTTCAATTAGTCACCCCCTCTAAACTACACTTTACATGACATGACACGTTTTCGATGACAAATTTTACCAATATGTGATTCGTCTAAGTTAAACATAATTGCGATTACACAGCTTATGAAAGCGAATAGTCGAAAAGAAAATGGCCTTCTCTGTTAACCTCTTTATTTATATATGTCTTACATTTTGACATGAAAGTTTCAAAACGGCTAATCTGATGATCTTATGAGGGTGCGAATATTCCGTGCGAAGATATTTAGGGGTCAGCCTTTGATTGGCAGTGGCCATGCTTATATTTTGACATATGCAATGTACGTAGGGTCTGTAAAGTTTGCATTCATGAAGAATCAGTATTGACTGACGCTGAAGAATCATCGCGACAAAATAACACTGTGTCAGGTGATATGCTGTCGAGTATCCAGTAGTTTGTAACTAATTTTATGAGTCCAGTTCGTTCAGCACGGTCTGAATTCCACCAGTCACATTTGTAGTGTGGCCACCATACTAGGTGGTTTACTACCACGATGCACTCTAAATTTTTGCTATTTAAATGCAGAACTAAGTGACCGAGGTCCATATTTATTAGGGGACTTGAGTCCCTACAGGACCGCAGATATGGCTTGTTAATGACTGATAAAAAGAACGAAACATAGTTCCATAGTCCTCTGTCGACTGCCTCCAAATGTATAACAAAATGCCTTCCAGAACGAGTATACCATCATGACCAGTTACTAAATCAATTAGACGACGAACACTATGCACTAATAAGGCTGTTTCAGCAACGCGTCACAGCCTCTGTCAAGGCAAAACTTATACCACGCTTACTCTAAAAATGAGAGAAAACAGATGACTGGTAGTTTACATATTTGAGAGTGATCTTGAATATGTGGGTTCAGAATGTCTTCGGTGAGTACTAAATTCAATGGCAATCTAACAACCAGCTCGGAGTTCAGAGACGGTGAGAAACTTAAGACCCTATTCAGTACGTGGCATGGCAGCGAAACGGCAAAGTGAATCTGTGGTAAGGTTAATTTCGTTATGTTAGGAAAATTAGCAGCACAGAGCATAACGTGTTTCGTCCATTGAGGAATGGATATCGACATTTATGAAGCCTTCCTGTTATTCCACAATGGGTTGCTAACATCATAAACCTATTACGTGTGGCCACTGACAACCAGTTTTATCGAAGATACTTGAAGTTAGAAGGAACAGAATAGTGGAATCGAGAATCTCAAAATTATTTGGCCATAATCAGCAGATAACCCTTCAAAAATAATTGCGAAATTATGTCTAAAAGCGGAGAACAATTTAGCTTCTGAGTGCATGTGCGTCCGATATCGTAATCAGGATAACTTATTCAGTAGCTGATGAACAGGCATTCAGATAATAGATTGTACTGAACAACAATAATAATAGAAGAAAATGGTTCACTAGAAAGTAAGTGGCGAACGATTCGAAGCTTTTTGATATTTCGCATGACCTGTTCCTTGCGTCATGTGTAGGTTTCTGAGCTCCTTATATTCACAGCCGCAAATACAGATAACATTAACAATTTTTATGTAATAATTTACACTGATTGACCCACAACACACATTGACTGTCTCTTGACCCCAGCCAGACTGCTGCCATCCTAATCCAACTAATACGAGATTTTTAAAGTAGGTATAGAACTTTGAATGCATAGTAATGCTAACCACTGAGTGGTGTAACTACGACTGCTCTGTTCCTTCAGAAATAAGCAGTAAATGTACAATAACTGGTCGTTGTAGATACAATGTCTGGAGCTTGCCTGTTTCAACGAATTTCATCTAAACCCTTCAATAGCATGGGGATACCTATGAGACGGTAATTGTTATTTTCGTCTGAATGCATGACTTGGTGAACAGACAATATATAAGACGTCTCTCAACAGACAGCTAATATTTAATGTCGTAGGGAAAATGAGTGCAGTCTTAACAAAGTAGAATTCCGGAAACTAAGGCGATATTCCACCTAAACAGAATTTAGGCCAACTGCAGATGTTGGAAAGGGTGACAGCTAAGGTGGACTTATTAACCTACTGGGGCTTAAAAATTGCACCACTTTTAAACGGACGTTTCTCCAAGACCTAATGTTTCTCCACGAGGCATAATAAGTATAACTGAGTGTTAAGGATAATATGTTTTCTGTCCATCGACAGGTGTAAGAATAATGATGCACCCCGATGTAGATAGAAGAATGTTTGCCTGAATCAAAGGGTTGCGAATTTCACAATTCCTAATTTCGTCACGGTTATTATCAATAAATGTTATCGATTGATGTCATTTGGCTGAGTTATAACGCATGGACATTTTGATTTATACATGAACACGTTCTGTCAAAGTAGTTGAAGAACGAACGATCAATTGATGGTTGTTTGCTCAAACCCAACTCCATATTTTTGGCGGGAGTCATGGACACTGCAGTCATCGTTCTATCTTTCGCTGTTTGTTAGAAGACAGAGAAAAACTATCAGAAGTATTATTGTAATTAATTGTTATAACATTTATCCTTAGATTTTGTGTACAATAACCTTGTGGCTGGTTCTGTATTGGCGCAAAAATATAGGATTCTTGAATCACCAATTTGTGTTCTGGTTTTTCGCGTTGGTTATTGACAATAGTTTCTGAAAGTCTTCTAAGAACAGCGTTAAGTCCAGGGTAGTTAGACCTGTACATTGACACGTTCTTTGTCAGGAATTTAAGTTTGAGTATTCCACTTCCATTGCCATAAAGGCAACTGATTACCTTATCTGAGTACTGAATAATGAAACAGAGGTCCCTGTCAGGAAGGTCGACTGAATACTAGCATAAACCTGAGCTTCCGTTTCTTCCCAGTCTTATAAATGTCTGATTATTCCTAGTTAATACTGAAATTTTGGAAAAGATGGCAGGCGAGCAAACCACTCTATGACAACAGCAGGAAAATTTAACCAGCCAAAACAAGAGAAAGGGAGCTATACCAGTCATAAATTTATGGCATAATTGATTGGCGTTTCTGATACAAAAAAAGTGTAAGGAGCTCAGTACCTTCACGTTTGAATGATATGAGCCTAGGTGCAGGGACGTACACTGGTCAATGACTGACTTAAGATACAACGATTAGAGTGATTGGATAAAAGGAATGTATGATCAGACCGTTGACTTGCGGTGCCTGTGGTGGGAATGGAACATCAAAATGGCAAGTCTAATCCTCTTTGTATGGAGGACACGGTACCCCAGAGCTACATATTAGGTTTGAGCCGTCAGTTGCTTTCATTTTAACCCAATCCGAACTTGCCAAGCTTCCAAGTGTTGGGATTCAAACTCGAAAAGTGTTATGCTGCTTTTCCGCTCTGTGGTTCTGTACTGCCACGTGACCTCCATATGGAAGTCACTTAGCCCATATATTGGTAGGGAGAAGTCACAGCCTACTTCTGACACACAAACTGGATGCAACGGGTAGCTCTACTCTGTTTTACAAGAAATGGCACTGCCGGTCGGAAAAATACCATGTTATATCAGTATTTAAAGGCACAAACATTATACCACAGCGATTATTACAGCCCTAAACAGTTGTAGTCATCCATACAAAGACAGCCTGTTTAAAATCCCGATTATTTTTCTGAATTCTGAACGCTGTCTAGTACAGAACAACCCTTCAACATGGCACTGATAACATCAAGGAGAAAAAAGAGATTGCCCCGAAAACCCCACTGGAATAAATGTTCCCAATGCATTCAACAGACCTAAGCAATGCAGAAGGACGACTTCTGTAGCGAACTGTAACGAAAAGAAAATCTTTTCTGAAAACTACCAGCCAACTCTAAGAATCCAAAAAAGCCTACACTAGAGAGGAATACTGCTACACAATAAATACTCCTACAATGAAATACACTCAGCTGTTTCTGGTTTTCTCAACAATAAGTAACAAATAATAGAAAAGATTTGTAGCTCAGGCGAATGATTTGGAATCAGAGCAAATTTTAGCAAGTTTTCTACGGCAAAATTTGAGCAGGACGACGAAAGCTTCGCAATTAACCAGCCAGCTCTGAGAACACAACTAATTCTAAAAATAACTTAGATAAATAAAAGTCATTTCACATAAAATAGCTAGTTTTGATGATAAAATTCTCATAAATTTCCTATCAAATGACATTACTATGTTTGTTTGTTTTAATGCTTGAAGATTACTATTTGTTGTACTCTTGGTCATTGGGGTTCTTCGAAAAATTTGTTCGTTTCCAATATGTTAGTGACATGTATTTCGGAAGACAGGAGCAGTTTGAATATCCATTTCGACCAACACAAAGCTATGGAAGAAGTTTGTGTTGCGTGTAAAAAGTGGGGAAAATTGTTCACGTTCTTACTTTAAATGAAGTGTTCAGGCAACGGTGCGATTCCTGTCATATGAAGAAGTATCTCATGGACTTACTGAAACTCTTGACTTTGTGTACAACTCAGACGTCTTAATTGTGGATATGAGTGACAAGGTTGGAATCTGAATATTATGATATCATTTGTTTTAGACTCAACAAGGAACACTGAACTATCAACTAGGTGTTCGAGAAAGCCTGAGATTATTTGACAACATAGTCATTGTTAATTTATCAAGCTACATATCAGTTGACGATCTTCGCGTATGCATTTATAACTAAATAACAGGTTTTAGGGTTTCTTAAGTCGTAAAACAAAACTCCTTCCATATGTCATTAATGAAAGCGGGTTCGCTGTCTTGTTGGAAGATATGTGTCTTCAGAACGCACTGATTGATAATGAGATTCTTAAAAATCAAATATGTGCTGATTTGAGACGACTGTCAGTTGAACTTGAAGAAATTTTGTCAGAAATGAGCAGTGGTAATCGGTATGTAAATATAAATTCTATGAGAATTGTTTTGAGGATTTAGTCATTTGATCTAATTAAGTATCTTAGACAAAGATGCACAATTTGAATTTTTCCTATGCTTATGTATTGTAGAATAGATCTTATTCACTGACGTTGCTCGTAATCAGTGTATTTGCACTAGGGGAAGCTCGAAAAATGAAAGCCATCATTTGCTGATTGGTTACAAAATTAAACATATGCGAGAATCCATATACTGTTCTTCACTATTCGTAATCAGATATATACATTTATCTTCACATTATGAGAAACCATAAACTGTTCAAACAACTTAACAGATTTAGTGGAAAACAGACTTAATGTTGCGATGTTTTTGTCCTCTCCTTAACTGGGTTTTATGCTTGACATTTTTTCAACACAATGATTTTAATTTTGGCTTATTCACTTATTAATGTCTATTATTTACTTGAGGTATCATAATATTAAGGCCAGTAGGCATTATTAAGTGGTAAGCTACACATTTCTGACGTCCATAAGTTTAACACGAAAACATCCCATAAATTTTATGGCCTTTGGTGTTTTTTACACTTTAGATTTTAGCTGGCGATCTTTTAAGTATCCTTAGTTTTAATTACGTTTAATACGTGAAGCTACGTATGTATAGAGGTTGAAAGTTTTGAACCCGAAAATTATGATCTCTTACTGTTTTACAATAACTTCATTCGCACCATTTTTACAGACTCATTTATGATAAATAACAATTAAGTTATTTCTACAAGATACTAACTTAGTTCGAAAAGCAGGAATTGTGAGTACAAATGGGGGATATACTCTAAACATCCGGTTTTTCAAATGAAAGTATGTTGACATCATCCTACTAGAGAACTGTTGTTATTTTTCATGGGAATTCTGTTGAAGGAACATCATCAAAACTGCAGTGAAAATACCCACCACTATTTGATTTAATGGTAATATGAAAAGCAACAGTCGTTATAATACTAAAATACTGATCATAAGCGAATTTCGACGGAGTAAACAAGTGTATATCAATAATTGCCTTAATGGTTTTGATATGATAAAAAATAAACACATTTATCTTTATAAGATGGTCAGCCGCAATATGAACTTCATTGAGGTGAAGGTTATAGGCTTTGTGCTACTCTTTCAAATGTCACTTGCAGATATTTTGCTTGACTTCAAGGAGTGGTGAGGTATATTATTTGGGCTTCTCATAGCCCATTTAGAGACTCATTCTATTTTTGGTTGTGTCTGTCATTAAAACTTGTGAGTCAGTAAGAAAACATGCATAGGTTTAAAGAATGGGTGTTTTGGAAAAGTATTACGAAGAAAAACTGACGAGTAAAATTCACAGCCTAAAGGTATATTGCAGTTATAATAAATCAGAATTTTCAAGACGAATTCTTCTCCTGAAGATAAAGTTTGGTCTGAGTAAGGAAAACCTAACTAATGTTTCCATGTAAAACAAGACTATGAATTGTACAGATGACCATTTCCTAATGGTAAACTAGTGACTGGCAGTTATTGGAACTTGGCAAAAAAATAAAATTTACCAAAAGCTGTGCAGAATGAATGAGTGAGTCAGACAGAACACCTTTATTTGCTCAGTAGCCATGTTGAAATCTGCGTTCAGAAAAAATCTTACATAACAGATAAGCAGACTCTTGATTTGGATAAATAATTATCAGAGTGTGCAAATAGAAGTGTTATTTTTTGTTCTGAAATTTTGCGAACTTTGAATCTGCATTCTCCACAATTTTTTTTGCATGGAACTTGACTCCGTAAATAGTTTTATGTAGACATATTGTTTGTCCTGAAATTATTTCATTTGTTCTATTTCACATCACTGATAGATTCTTATCTATTATGAGCCTATGAGGTCACAGCTCTGGAACTCGTACATTATATAATATCACCTTAATATACTTTTGCACCTCAGTTTTTGATACGAATCAAACACTTTGACTAGGAAGTCACTGAAAGTCCCGTAAAAATGAATCAAACCACGTCTAGAGTGTTAAGTATTTTCCATCACTGCGCGATTTCTTACCCCATGACTATTTTCCTGCATCACTATGGACACAACAATTATTGAGGGATGAAAATGACTGGGGTTTACCATATGTGAATTGCTGCTGTAACTAAAGTGAAGTAGCATTCAGTAAGTCCTTATCAGGTCTCTAAAGAAGCATCATTTTATAGTCAGCGACACAGTGGAAGCGTCAGTTTGCAATTTGGTAAGGTGAAAACAGTTACTCGATGAGAAGTAGGGTAGTTACATTGGCCACACAAAAGCATACTCCTCAAACGCATCTATGAACGTTAGCCTGCATAGTGATCTCGAGGACACTACAAGAGAATTACCAGCTCAATTCTCTAGCGGCTGTACATTTTAGGCCATGCAGATCCACCAGAATCTCCTAAAATTATTTAAAAATGGAGACGGAAAAGACTCAAGTGGTTTTGAGTGACGGCGTTTGTGTATGGAGGAGGAGCCAGTGGCTCGTCAACATAACTAGGAACTCTGTGTGTAGAAAGGGTTTGTTAAGTCTGCTTTTCTACTATGGTCCTAATCTTTCAATTCTATTTCTAGTAAGTAATTCACTATTACATTGTTGCATTTTCCTTATGTACATTATACTAAGCTTTTTTATCACCGTCTTCCCTTCTGTCAAGTGGACACTCACCTACCTTGCTTTTCATCGAATAAGGATTTTTACTTTACCAAATTTCAAGTCCTTACTTCGGTTGTATCGTTGAATGTAAAGTAACTTTTTTCTTCAGAAACTACTTTTAAGCCGTTGAATAAATTATGTCACCCCCTGTAATTCAATAATAGAATACTGTACATTTCTGACAAATATAAATAAGACGTTTTAGCCTATGAAGAGGATTTCAATGATATAGATTAGTTTCTTCGGTGAATTATCTTTTATTTGGTTACAGGATTTCATCATGAGGTGATATTAGTTAGAGAACCATTGGAAAACTTGGCAGTACTGGACAGCTGTTTCGTCTTGGTTTGTGACTCTTCATCAGTGCGCACTCACCGGGATTCGAACCCAAGACCTTCTGGTTACAAGGTGAGCTCGTAGACCATAAGCCACTGGGACCCAATCCAATGGCCCATGAATTCCAACTTCTTCCGATTCACGACATAGTGCGACCGCTAGCCAATGTCTTTGGCGAGTATTTGTCTTAAAACCTGACTTGCTGCACCCTGCTGCATGACTCTCTTGAGATTTTTGGTATTTTGAGACACCATTCCAACGAAGCTGGTAAAAACATAGGAGTCTTATCAGATCACTTGAAAATGCCACTGAGTTGCGTAATCCACTGCATAGTGTCTATTTTGCCCAGACTGACACTTTTCAAAACATTAAAATAGTGATCAAGGGGAGAAACAAATGACTTCAAACCAAAAAGCAATTGTCTTAGTTGCGAAACCTCGGTCATTACACATTAAAGAAGGAAATGCAAGTCTCCTGTGGAATTCAGAAAGGCAGAGCAATAACATTTAGACACTGTAAGCAGTTTTTCAAAATAAACCGCTTTTAATTAAGAATAGCAAATAAAGATTTCATAAAGGTAGTTAGTGATTAGCTGCAAAAATTTCATTTCTTAATTTAAACGATAAGTCACCCTTCAATCAAGGTTATAATGGATTCATCTACGGAATAGACTGATCAACAGGAATACCACATATGTTTTTCTTAGAGTGACGCTTAATTTAAAGAAGTTCCAAACTAAATTTGTACCGTGTAATCACTTTGCCAGAGGTCGAGGACTGATAAATTGACATATTCGTGTCATTCTGCAGTATTACCTTTTAACCTGAACAATATACTTATAAATTTATTTATTGTAAAAATTTTTAAAGCGCTCCACTGAAAGAGAAGTTTATTGATGATCTCAGGAGGGATCGCGATCTGTACAAAGGCCAAGAACTTCGAGAGGTAAATTTACTCCTTTATCAAGAATAATTTTACTTGGCATATTAGTTTTCCAGCAGATTTATTGATTTATACTGTATGTCATTATTGTGTGCTAGTTTATAAAATGAGTAATTCATGATATTATCAAACAACCATCTGCTATTCTTTAATTCAGTGGCCAGTTATTATATCATTGAAATCATTTCAGTTGGTTAGATATTTCTCAAGGCTAACAGACAGATAATGAAATCACAATAAGTATCTGTACTCTGTGATAACAGTACTGACTTGAACTGAAATTCCAACGCCGGAAATTGCACAAAGTGCGGCAGTTTAAGTTTCTACACTTTATACAGCACACAAAAGTAGATAGAAAAGCAAATAAATTAAAATAGAACAAAAGTTTCCGGAGAAGGAATAATTACGTGGGCAATAATGAGCGTTTAATGGATGCAGAGAATCACGACTATTTTAAACTATTTCAGCAACAGTCCAAAGCCACTGATTGTTAGTATCTCGGGAACTCCAAACAGGCAGTTTGCACATGCATAAGCGGCCGAAACCAACAGTCAAGCTAATTATGTACTGATCCAATGTTTCCGTTTGACTGATGTTGGTCTGACGAAGAAGAATATGGTTCGGTATGAGTAAGTCATGTCTTAGCCATCGAGATCTGTGCAGCTTTGCAGCCTCATCGACTGCTTTTCCATCACAACCTGACACGCTACGCCTAACTTCATTGTCAATCACCAGCTGGAAAAAGGGAAAGAACATCATTTCTTTTCAGCCGCAAGGAAGGTCAAAGCTAATGGTTACACAGCAAAGACGCCTCTTGCTGAAAAACCGGGTATCATACCTGAGACAAAGATGGGGGAAGCTGGCAAATGACTCACCAGCCTTTTATGCCTGTACTGATATTTCGTCAGCAATCAGTCTACTAGGGCTCACACAACCTCACAAATAAGTTAAGTGGTCCACACGCTAAAACTATTAACTCCCTATCCTTAAAATAACAGTCTTTGAAGACTAGTCCTGAAGTGTCACCTTACACTTCGAAACGGAGAATCTCATGAAGTATCTATCAAGGCAGATAAATTAGTTGATTTACTGTGGCGAACTAAAGATTACAATTCTTTTGTGACAGGCTTTCAGAATCAAATAATGAAATGATGTTTATACTAATGCGAGCTTTCAACATGTGATATACTAATGGACTGACTTAAGCTGAAATAACATTTTCACTCGACTAGACTGCAGTGAAATGTATGAAAATCCAGAGCAGAATGTCTCTGAAAGGAGCTACATGAGTGGTTAGGTAACCATGTATTTTTTAACACATCAAATTGTTTCGCCTTACTAATTCGTTACAGCCTACTACTCCGTTAGTGAAGGAGTTTATTATCACTGGGAGAATTATCCATGTATTTCTTAATAATAAAATGTTTGTTGTGAGTCTCTAGTTCACCTTACCTATAAAATCCTGTTACATTAAAAGCAAACTCAATCTGATATTACTGGGCTACCGTAGCTCTAGACATTTGAATACTTAAGAACGATATTTCCTTCAAAAGTGAAAACAGTGACGATAAGCTTTGAAGCTGTGGACTTGAATTTTTCTACCACCAGAATAAGTACACCGGGCAGTTTGACTATTTAGATTCAAGTGGTGATTGATTTTCACAGATAAAATGGGAACTGTGACGTTTCCGGAGATATATCCTCCTCATACTTATATAGTCATTTCATCAATTCGTTTGTGAATTTCCTCGGAAAATATTTTACTCAAGGAAGTAGACCATTAGTGAATAAGGCGGAACATTACAATTTTGTTTTTGAAATCAATAAAACAAGAATTCCATTGTGGGTAAAATTTATTTTTACAAAGTCTCACAGTGTTATACAGTAATATTTACTGATGACGTTTCGAGCACAAGTTATTGCCACTCGTAATGACATCATACCCACAATGGAATTATTCTCTACAACAGTGCACAAGTTCTTTCCTTAAAATAAAAGAATGCTTTCTGAAGTAAATCTGTAGAAAATTTTCAACATGCTTTGAGTCATTCAATGAATGGAAATCTATAATACTGTTTAATCAAAGCTCAGCATATTTTACATGATATTGAAATTGTAATCTGATTGTGGACTGGGTTTCCATGGCACCAGCTATTCAATGTAGATTGAAATCACTTCAAAGCAGACGTAGTAGTAATCGTTGCTAGTAATGCTTGAAAACGCCAAAAACTATGGTTTCTGTTGACTGAAAACACTGGAGTCATACAATGAGATAAATTGTACCTATATAATTCAAGTTTGCTTAATGAATTCATGAAAAGTTTCTACTCAGTTTCAGTAAATCAACATATTCATCTCTGCTCGTAAATTTTACTGGCGGTCTAAATTTATTGCATGAATTTGAAGTTATTAAGTTATATCAGTCTTAATTAAGAAGCTTTGATTACTATTTTCTTTCAGCGTCTTAGAATAATGCGTCGTAGACTGGATTATCCAGGAATGTTGTCTTCAGAAGTTATTCTCAATCTTTTGCTGTCTTATCGACAATGTGAGGTACGTAATATGTGTCATTTAAAACTGCGTTCATGAATGCATATTATTATTATCTGTGGATGAGTGAATTAATCAATTACTGTAGGAGCAGTCAATCTGTATTGAGCTTACAAATAAATCATCATATATCATTACATCACTGATTGCACTTATGTACACTTGTCTTTCATGCCACACAGTACATTCAGCAAAGAATGTTATGAGGCCGAATATACAGACTATTTTATGCAGTGTCAGACACAAAGACTGCAGGAGATGTGCTCACGCCATTGTTCCAAAAGGTCTGGAAGGAAAGAGAGGTCCTCACCAATCGGAGGAAAGGCTACCTTGTCAAGCCACAAAAGAAGGGTGAATTACGCCTCTGCAAGAAATGGCGTAAAATAATGCTCTTGTCCACGACAAGTAAAATACTAAGTCACGTAATCCTAGAGAGAATAAAAGATGCACTGGAAGCAAAACTATGCCAACCCACCGAGCAGAACAAGCAAGACTCATGAAAGACAAATCATCCGCCGATCAAATTGCTACTCTACGCATCGTCATCACAGGACGAAGCATAGAATGCCAGTCAAACCTGTCTCTACCTCAAATTCATTGACTTCGATACGTCCATCAAAAGACAGCGTTGACCACGAATTAATTCAGAAACTGCCTCAACACTACGTCAAACAGTGCTCAAGTCTTAGTCAGTCTCATTCAATAGCCGGATATATGACAATGTCACGTGTCAGGTGATCCACAACGAAACACTCAGCGAGGCGTTCGAAGTGCATGCAGAAGTAAGACAAGGCTGCTTGCCAATTATCACCCACGATGATATTCTTAATTGTGATGGACTGGATTATGCGTCAGACTGCGTTTACGAGTGAGAAGACGGGAATACGCTGGGTCATCGATAAGGCGACTCTAGAAGATCTCGATTTCGCGTGTGGATGGTTTATGTCGAATGTCACACAAACTGGAAGATTTGAGGGCAAAAACCAGCAAACCGATAGAAGAGTCAAGTAGAAAAGACATGACTCCAGCTGGACATAGAGAAGACGGAGGTGATGAAGACAACCAGCCAACCAACTTCAACAACAACAACCACCACCACCAATCACATCAACGGGAGAAATTTGACAGAGGCTACTTCCTCCACTTACCTGTCCAGGGTGCATGATTTCAACCACAGGCACATGGCACGGATGAAGGTGTGAAAACCAGCCAGTTAGCCAACCAGCTGGAATCAGAAAGGCGAGATACACTCATCTTCATCAACCTAAAACCAGTTTGTAAAACTTCCACACTGCACTCAGCCAGCAAGTTTCGGATTTTCAACACAAATATCAGTGAAGTCACAGTCACTCCTTCTATACGGGTCAGAAACGTGCACTGCGTGTCAGTTACGAAAAGGATTTTCAACAGCCAGCTGCAGATTTTCATCAACGGCTGACACCTCCGCTGGCTGACTCCATACTGCAGATCAAATGGCCAGCCCACTGGCCAGAAAGAACAAGCAACAAGGAACTCTGGCTGGCAACAAACCAACCAAGGGCCGATTGCTCAACAAATATGTAGGAGAAATTGGAAGTGGATTGATCGGGAACACACTGAGGAGGCCGTCGAATGACATCGCGCACCACGCAGGTCATTGCTCCAGTTGAATCCCAATGTGGAGCGACGGACGAGTGGGTCGTCGGTGCGAGTTTTACATGGAGGAGATTGTGTTGGGAGGAGAGTTGAGATAATGTTCTGTGGAGGAGCTGGGCAGGTAATGAAGATAGCAGGAAATATAATAAAGTGGACATGTGTTGTTGAAGCCGTATTTTTCGCTCGGAACCCAGGGGAATAATAATTATATAAATAATAATGTGATGTCGAATTTATTATATTTTTGAGGAAAATTAATAAGGTTTCTCGCCTGTGGATTTCTAATTATTTATTTGTATCCAATTTTTAGATTCTTGATAAAAGTCATAAAGTAATCAGCATATTGGTGTCTAAATATTATTGTGTGCTGATGGTTTCTTTTAAAAATTGATTCGAGATCCCGATTTATTTTTGTTTGTTTTCAAGGATTTCGATGCTATGGTTACGCTAATAGAGGAAATAAAAGCTTTGAAGTTAAACCAAGATATCTTAAATGTTTGCATGATCCAGTATCTTTACGCGTTTGCCTTACACCGACGAAATAGAAATGGAGATCGAGATGCTGCATTGGCTGTAACTGAGGAGGTATGTGATGTTCTAACTTTTATCAAATAATGAATAACATTTTTAAACTTATGTTCATTTTTATCTCTATTCGAATTGGTTTCAACAAATACTAAGAAAAGTATAGTTTATCAAACATACAATTAATTTAACTGCTTTTGTGAAGGAGTCTTATTAATTGTAGATAATAAAGTATATTATTTCAGTTTTCAATAAGAAGTGTAAAAGCAAGAAGTACATTAGAGCTTGATACTTAAATTTGATGAAATCGTTGGCAGTAACCTTAATAAATCTTCCTTGATAGGTTGTGTAAGATGTGTATAGCTGCAGTCTATGTTTCAGGGAACTGTCTCTCAAAGAAGTAATCCAATCTTCTTTATACATGAAATATGTGGACAGTACATGTCATTTTATTGGACACTCGCTGAGGAGGCCGTTGAGTGACATCGCGCGTCAGGCCCTCGAGTGGAACCCGAAAGGGAAGCGGCGAGTGGGACGTCCAAGGGTGACATGGAGAAGATCGTGTGAGGAGGAGATGAAACAGTATGGAATAACATGGACGCAAGTGAAAAGAACAGCAGAAGACAGAAGCAAGTGGAGACGTGCAGTTGAAGCACTATGTTCCACTAGGAACCCAAGGGAACAATAATAATACATGTCATTTTGGTGATGAGTTTCTGGCTGATGAGCTTTAAATTAGACTAACTGGATATTGTCTATGAGTAGATACAATGTTAAAGGGAAGGAATGTCAGTTGGTTGTAGGAATTACTTCCTCAAAAACCCTTCGCAGTTGTTAACAAATTTTGAGTAGCAGAAGAAGTCTCATCCATTCTCTATGTCTTATAGACTGTAAGATCCGGTCTAAATTCTTCGAGCGTTATTCACAAAAATGAATAGACTTGAAGACCTATTGACAAATACCTGAAGGATTGGGGTCTGTTGATTTAGGATTGGAGAGGGAAATGCTATCTTGAGAGTAACATATTTCCTCAGTAACCACTAATTCATGATACACCTCAGCAGCAACCCATATCTATTGATTTAGTATGTTTTCTCTAAGTACTGCGTTTTACTGTATCAATATATAACTAAACAGATTGGTGGAAAAGTTTTTAGAAAACAAAATTTTTTCCTTGTTCAAAAACCTAATTTTTTCGGTTTATGAACGATTAGGTGAATCTCTGCTAAACTATAACTTTAAGAATACCATTACTGGGACTGGAAGAATACGGATTATATATGTATATTCCACTCAGCAACAGATGCATTGTTTCACAAGTCGCTATTTTTTATTACTAGTGTATTTAAACTGACTTTAATTTTACTTGTTTTTATTCACTAACTGAAAATTATGGAGCCAGTTATACATATTAACTGACAATAAACTTTCAATCCCACAAAAACCATATCTTTTAGTCACCTTTATTTTTATATAATTTGAAGATTTAAACTTCGTGTATTGTATGAGCAATGGAAAAAACCTCAGAAGTATTTTACTTAACATAGAAACATTTCTGTTAAATGCAAAGGTAGTATTTCAATGAACTCATATTTAATCATATTTAATAATAAAAAATGAAAACCATTTATGAAAACTAATGTGATGGGAATCTGTGCTTGTGAAAATTAATTCTTCCGACTTTGACATTGCTTTTGTTAGTAATAGTGCATATATTTATATAGATGAAGTATTTACATGCATACCTGAAAAGTATGACGTTTTTGAAGACAATCAGATGTGATGTAAATTTACGTTGTAAAAGTTCTATGCAATTTGTTCGTCTGAATCAATTATATCTTTTGATAAGACTTAAGGTATTTTCTTATTAGGTTTTTAAGTTAATCATCAGACATGACTTTCGGTAGCATTCTTATTTCTGGTTTCGTTTGAACTTATCACATAACACAATTTGATGTCTTTAGGAAAGCGTATTTCATATCCTACATCACAGAATAGTTAATTGAGTAGTGGAAACTAAATTCATTGGATTTACGCTACAAACGAAAGAATTCTTAGTATTTTAATAGAGTTGGCATCTTGTTAACTAACATTGCAGTTGAACTAAGTAATTCAAACTCATTTTCAGTCATTATAAAATGCGTGGTGGATACTGTAATCTGACGAACAACAACACATTTTCACAATAATACAAGTATTTCTTTCTGATGTGGACAACCAGGTAGTCAGTTAATTATACGTAATCCGGGTATTCCGTTTAATTTATTAAATAATTAATATATGTTAATGCATACCTGTATATGTGGTTTATTGTTGACAGTAAATGAAACCAAGTTGTTCATAGTGTGTCGTGTGAGGAAACTAACATTCTTCTTACATATCATTCTGGTTTTCTATGCATATAATCTCAGACAAAATGAAAGAATCTTCCATCCATTTTCTGAACATTCCGTTTACATCACGTGGTTAAAATCGATATATGCCTAGCTTGATTAAAGAAACATATGCAATTTTGACTAATGAAAGGAAATATTTATCATGACCTACAGAATTTTTCAGAGTATTTTTTTTCGTGTACTTCGGTCTGTAAAACGACTTCAACTTTTTTATGAATATAAGTGATCTGTTTTGTGAACGTTCACATAAATTTACTCGAATTTTTAAATCTTAGCAAATATACTTGATACCAAATTCATTTCCGTTTCATTCTATTGATGAAGATAGGAGTTTTGACTAATTTGCATATATATTAATATATTTTGGGATAATGAAGTGTATAGGAAACTATGCTTTCTTAATTAAATAGTTTTTTTTAAAAATGATTTTAAGCATATACAGAAATAAGCAAGGCGTTCATAATGGTTGATGGAAACATTTAAAAAGGATTGTCCATACACAGATTTGCACCAGATTCATTATCTCTGATTGAAATTCATTTAGACATTAAAAATAGCTAGTTAACTTTGTTTAACGCCATATGAAGTGTATTCCTTTAATTTTAAAAGCAACTGGTCTCTTTTATCAGAAACCATAAAATGCCGTAATTAACATATAAAGACTTCACGTTGCATTATGAAGGGTAATTATTCGTCAAAACCAAAGTTTCAAACCAGGGCGAAATTGGAAGGCATAGAAAAAGAATGTAGTATGCATGAACTGGAGGTCTGTCTCTCAGCGCTTGCGTTGTAAAATCCATTGAATAAGAAAAGCATGTGTCTTGATGAGGCTTAAGGTTATTTTAAAATATTTTGTAACTATTTCTCCTTCTATCTGTTGTCCAAATCATTTAGATAACTTTGCAAATCAATCATCAGCGTAGAAAATTCGTTAACGCATCTGCAATTCGTTTAATTAATTTAGAAAAGATGTCTAATATAAGGCGGTAAAATGAGAAATTTTTTTCAAAATTTTCACATCAGTAATGTGGTAATAAAAAGACTACTGATTTTTTTCTGACAATGTTTAGATTTTCCAGCAGTTAGATAGGTGACCCATGAGGCTTCTTAAAAATAATGGTTGGCTCGGAACTTGGTTATTGTTTTAACCTTCTTAGTTAGAGATGTTAGTAAAAAGTACGGATGATACAGCTAACTCATATATCGCCTTCAGAAATATCATCCCTTGGTTTCTATAAGGAATCAGTTTGACTACAGCTTTAATTGTAGCTCACCTTATCTTTGGAACAGTGTCAATTAATATTATTATTATTATTAATAATAATTAATATTATTATTATTTCCCGACGTCTGGAATTGTTACTCGGTTTAGTTTAAATAGTATTTAATTTCTATCATTTTGTAAACTTTTGAACTGTTTTTTGTAAGTATAATTAGCCATTAGTTGCACAGAACTGGTAGGAATGCAACAACATGAATATTTATTTCAACTTTTTAATGTACGTGTCCATAGGAGGACATACTTTTTCAAAATTTAGTTAGTTATGTAGTACAGTGGTCTGATAACAAGTCACTTTCGTACAAGAGTTTCAAATAAATTTATTTATTCTTACTTTTGATTGACGAATTCATTGAAGATCTGTAGATAACACCATTTGAGAAAAATGGATCCAAGTAGAGTTAATAAAATAAGTAAATCACATGGTGTTATACAGTAATATTAACTGATGACTTTTCGAGCACAAATTATTGCTGCTCATAATCATATCAAGTCACTCACACAACTTCTTTACTTCATTTATATAAGTGAGTGGAACTCGTTAGACATTTGAATAAAATCAATATAAATAATGTACATTTAGAAATAGCGGTGGTACAGCGGTTAAGACGCTCGCCGACCGTCCACATGGTCCGGGGTTCGAACCCGGCTGACGCACACCCGATATCAATGGTTGGCCTGCAAAATTTGGGCTACCGTTATCTTATGCTGAAAATTTCATACTTTTGTCAAAAACACTGTGTGGAGTCAAGCTATAATAAAAAAATAAAAACAATAATAATGTTATCAATCAAATACAATCAGATGGGAAATAAGATTTTTTTTAACAGTAAAATAAGTAACTTGTTAGAAGGTTATAATGTGAATTGAATACATTTTAACAATTTTTATTATTCTCCGATTTGACTGGTGATAATATAATAATAATATGGTCCGTGGTTCGGTCCCTGGCCGGCGAGCTCCTTTACCTCACTAAGCCAGAAATAATGCTGGTGAAGAGGAAAGGTTGGGCATGAGGCTAGCAACCACATCCTGTAAAATAAACACTGCTACAGAAACTTCAAGACTCTAGCTTGAAGCCCTATGTTCCACTGGGAACGTGAAGGAATAAAAAAAATATCTGCCATATTTCTGGTATCTGCATTGAGTCATTTCTGTTGCATGTGTTGGGTGTAGACTCGATGAACCGGGATTCAGTAATCAATCTCTCTCTCAGCCTACCTATATTACTTTTTAGAATTTTTACTCTGACCCACCCTATTGTGTGATTGTGTGTTAATGCATACGGTGCAATCGCTGAGCTTTTTTCTAAATTACTTATCTTCGTGGGATCAATCATTCTAACTTTAGCTAAATTCGTATGTTCTGATAATCTCACTACTCTTCATCTTCTAGTTCGACCAATGGAGTTGAAATGACTGTGCTCGAAACGTCATTAATTAATATTACTGTACAACACTGTGTGAATTAAAAAAAATGAAATCTTATCCATAATGGAGTTATGCTCTGACACAGTACCCAAGTTTTATGCTTATATCATTATTAACATTGGTTTAATTACTTTATCGCTCAGCAATGTTTTGTCAAAAGTATCGATATTATTTTATTGACAAATGGAAACACTTTACAGCTGATAAATTTAGTGGAACGTTCCTTTCTGGAACCTGTTTTACGAAAATGAATATTAGGAGGGTTCGGGTGAATTACGCAATTTATTAGTTGCAATAATCAGTACTAAAGTACGTCGACTTCAGTTCTTACTCTTTCACTTAATATCAGTTGTCCATAGGTGAAATCGTAAATAATTTTTATCCATCACATTATTATAAGACTAATTATTACTTTACTGCATTTACTTTATTTCATTTTTTAAATGCTTGAAACATTTAGCTCCTTAGAACATGTAGTACACCTTCCGCGGATATGCATGGTCTCTTTGGTCGCATACAAAAAGATCGCTTTATGGATTCCGGTGGAGAAGATAAAGAAGCCTTAGAATTGGCTATTCATGGATATCGTGAAGGATTAAAAATTGATGCTAATGAATATCTCCTTGTGAATGTTGCAACTCTTTTAGTTATAAAAGGAATGGATTTGGAAACGAGCGCCGAAATGCGTAAAATATGTAGGTTTACGATGAGAAAAAGAGAAGTTTTGTCTTTGATTGATCAATTGTTGCAAGTACTTTATTCCACCTGATAACTGTTAAAAGACATCAGGCCTTTGGGTGATCAAGCCTCTGTGAAATATAATGAAATAAAATGTCGGAGTGAACTTGTAGTATTTCTGGTTACACATACCACAGCTGAGTTCACGGAAGACTGTATAACTTCCTTGCTAATATTAAATGTAGAACAATTTCAGGAATAATGTATTCTGTAACGAAGTAGGCGCAGTGTGCTGTTTAAAGTTGTACATTACAAACCTGCAGAAAACCGACTGTGAAAGTAAATTTAAAGTTTCTTGAATAAGTTGTATTATTCTTTACTAAAACAAATTGATAAAAAGTCAGTAATCGCAATGCCGAACTAGTGCATTGCATATTTCTGGGGAAAGACGTTTGTTTATAAAGATGATTTTCGTTTGCAACTGACCTCTTCCTTTGCACATTGTAGTATTTGACCATTGTTACTTATCAACTGTAATAAAATGATAAAATAAGAGAATATTAATATGATAAGATATTCAAAGTAAACTATTTGGCTATTGGTAATTATTAAGACTAAAGAGTATGAGGTGATATTACATTATTTCAAAGCCATATATAAAGTTAGTAACAAAACTGAGATCTTTGATACCTATCCCTTGCCTGGACTCAATACTACATCTAGCATAATTTATGTGGTAACAAATAACCCGTATGTTTTGTTCTTTAGAGAAAGGTAAGATGTGAAGTAAGAGGTTTCCATCAGTCATTGAAAAAATAGATTGGCAAAAATTCTGTCATATGTCCAACCAACAACTTTATAAGTGATATAAAAAGTACACTGTACAGGGAAAAAATCCTGAACTAGAAAATTATGATTAAAAACATTTTGTTTAACTTGTATTTCACAGAATAATTTTGGTCATGTGTAATGAGCTATCAATCAAGTACATATCGTTTCCAGTGGTAATGGAATTAATCGATGGTTGTTCACGAAATCTTTCTTACCATATTTTATAGCTTTTATAAACATTAATTTCTGTTAGTTTGATTCACCATCAGTTTTCTAGCCATCTGAGACAGAGCTTTATGATAGTTTGTCTGATAAGACTTCAAAAATACTTAATGGTCTACAGTTATGATTTCAGTCTACAGCTGACGCTTCGATATGGTGATGGACAATGTCTATTTCAGTAACCTATCATTCCAAAAATATAAGGATAGAACTTGCGCACTGTAGTAGAATACAATTTCATTGTGAGTAAAATTTATTTCGATAAAGTCTTACAATGTTATACAGCAATATTTACTGATGACTTTTTGAACAAAGATTCATAGAATCTATACCCAACACGTCCAATAGGAATGACTCATCGCTCATACCGGAAATACGGAAAATACTACTACCAATCAAATCAAGCGATGAAAAATAATGGAATTATATAAACGAAGTTAGGAAGTTGTATGAGTAACTCGATATGACTATGAGCAATAAATTATGCTCGAAACGTCATCAGTAAATATTACTGTGAGACTTTATCAAAGTAAATTTTACCCTCACTGGAATCATTTCAAAAAGTTAGTTGGGCAGTGACAAAACTAGAAGCAATGTCCCTCATTTTAAAAGCTGCCTACAGTGTGGCGATGGCTCGTTGAGGAGTCTAAGTGCTACAGAAATGGAGTGGAGTAGCGTTATTTTTCCTATAAATTTTCGACTTCTGATAATAGGTTGAGCAAATAAGTACTGTTCTTGGTTTCCCAAAATCATACTTTCAACTTAAAACTAAGGCGTATAACGTCCGTTATAGTGGTATGTGATTCAAGTGGTAAAATAAATAATCTTAGTCAATTTTAGAAAGAGTTTCAGGAATTTTTTTGAAGTGGATGAGGGCGAATTAATCACTGTGATCACCTATTATACATTAATCCAGGAAATTACATATTTCTGATTATAAGAAGAGATGTAAGATGTGGCCGTCACTGACTCAAGCTAAAAGTGAATTCATGTAAATTATGTGGTCGGAAACTGGCATTTTGGATGCAGAAAAAAACCAACAATGAAGACGTTAACTATTAATTTTACTTGTGAAAATGCCTAGTCCGTACTTCAGGGGTGACTTATCAAACATTTACATACACAATGCAGTTATGCACATCCTCAAGATTCTCATCCCCCTATCCTATGTGCCTTAGGAAAAACAGTCAAGATAGTTACTAATCTGGAACCGGACATTGATGAAATTCTGTAAATCTCTGCATCTTCAACCAAACTGATGAATGTTCAGAGAACGATTTCAGTGAGCTGGAATTTAGAAGGAGTTGATTGGAAGTTGATTGGATGCGTGCTAAATAAAAGAATTTTAAGGAATAAAAGCATAAGTATGCTATGCAACTGAAGGTAATAGAAAAGGTATTTTCTCAAGACACTTTCTGCCAATTAAAATGTGTCTGGCAGATGGGTATCTGAAACAACCTTCAAGAATGATGAAACTTTAATAATTTACTAAAACAGAGACACCGTGTACAAAATTATAGAAGCGATTCAGTAGGTCTAAGAGTACCTTTTTTCACTTTATATAAAATAGTCATAAATATCGACTGTGTAGCTCTAGTTGCTGGCGATAAAAGTTGTCTTTCAGGTAAATCTTGACATAGAAAGAAGTTTTGTCTGTATAGCGCGGAAAGTGCTTAAGAGTAGTAGTAGAAAATTCCTGACTTCTGTAACTGAGGCAACACATAATGCACGGAGACATGACATAGTTCTAAAGAATTCGTAACCATCAAAGTCCCTAAGTAAGAGGTCAATTCTTCCGTTAAAAACCACACTTCTGTGAGCAACCTTCAAAACACTCTAAGCTAAGATTTAGGCGTATATGGCATTTGTTTTGACTCTTTCAAATGTAAGATAATATCAGACACCAGTACCCAATTCAGTGATGGCGAATGAAAGGGTTGCTTTAAACCTGATCAACCTATAACTCGTGAAATTGCACCAATAATGTTGTAAGCGTGTCTGGTCACGTCATCTTCGGCTTCAGCGTGATATCTATTCACTATTCACAATGTCGTGCATAAATCACAGCAATTGTGTTCCAATTCACTACTGTGAAGTACAATCGCTTAGGTTATTAGATATAAAAGGTTAGATTTTTAACCACAGTGATTCTATTTAATTGCTTACATCTTTTAGTAAGACAGGATAAGTAATGTTGAGTGTGAGGTAACGAAAGTGAGTTAACCCGATGAGATTATGAGTTCTTATAGATTAATGTTGTCGAAAAATGTATTACAGGTTTTGCCAGATCAAAATGTGGAGTCCAAGAGTAAATTCTATAAACTTAATGCTTTCGAAAGTAGAAAAGTGTTGACTTCTCTTTTAAGTTTTTTTGAAATGTCAAAAGGTACTATTTGGAGACTCTAGATAACATGACTAAGATCACTCAAATGAGTGCAAAGTCATTCACTGCTCATTTTTGTCGTTATGTAGGATGTTTCCTCTAATCAGCTCTAAATTATTTCCTTCCTTAAATACACATTTTCTATTACAGCATTATAAAATTTTGTGCTCTCAGTTTATTTGTGTTTCAAACTGCTGTACAACTCTTCTGTCTTCACTCTACACCACAACAGCAATTTCTGAACAAAGATAGAGCGAACAAATGTTTTCAATAAATTCTTCTACAGGCTTTAAAATTATAAATCCATTAATTTAAGCATACAATAGGCAGTAAAGGTAAATTAGAATCATATCAGAAATGTATTGTGGAACAAGCATAAGTAAGATGGGATGGAACAATAGTCAGTTAGTTTTTGAATATGCATGGTCAATCAGAATGTGAGATAAAATGAGATGAAATAATTTAATGATGTATGTAATGTAAAGATTTTTTTAATTTTAAGGGGGTCATACGAGGTAAAAGTAAATACAAGCTCTCTAGTTTATTTTTCTCCCAGGGCTTTATTAATGTACAACAGGTTTTAAAAGAGTTTACTACGAATCGAAGTATTGTATAGTAGAACAGTGAATTTAAAATTTAGTATTTTTAGAGAATTGTAATCATAGGAAAGGTTTGTGCAATGTCTCTATTACTGAAGTTATTCAGTACTGTTGTTGTCATTAATGTGGAAAAAAGTTCTTACATGGAGGAGTTCATCATGAGCTGACATCAGTTAGAGAACCACTGGAAAACCTGGTAGTACTGGGTAGCTGTTTTGTCCTAGTTTGGGACTCTTCACAGTACGCACCCACTGGGATTAGAACCCAGGACCTTCTGGTTACAAGGCGAGCTCGTAGACCCTACTGGTCACGGCTTCCCAGTGGCTCAATGGGCTACGAGCTCGCCTTGTAACCAGAAGGTCCTAGGTTCGAATCCCAGTGGGTGCGTACTGTGAAGAGTCCCAAACTAGGACGAAACAGCTGTCCAGTACTACCAGGTTTTCCAGTGGTTCTCTAACTGATGTCAGCTCATGATGAAATCCTCCATGCAATCAAACAAAATCCCTACAAAACCAATACATGAAAAAAGTTATTATCATAAATTTGTGTACTCAATTTATAAAACATCAGCATTAAGGGTGAAAATTTATTTTTAAAAATGTCTAAAATCTTTTAAAATCGCTTTCTTAAACGATGTCAGTTGTGATACAAAGTTTTACCCGCTGTCAATGGTCAGATAAAAATCTTGTGGTTTTCACTCGTTTCGAAGGATAGAAACACATTTTTAATGTTCATCGCTGTTTTCTCCAGAAACTGGAATTTAATGTCATGATAAACTGCTTTTCTGTTTACTCTTTAAGTATATCGTATGCGTCTGTTGAAGTTCGTATTAGCAGAAAAAGAGGTGTAACAGCCAATAGTACTGAGACATTGTTTTCTCTTCATAGAAGGAACATTCCAACTAAAACTCGTAAGTGGTTGGATGGAGATCAGACAAACAGACCTAATATGGATTTAGAATGCTTTGTGAAGTTAATCAGGAGATTTTATTAAATTAGGCTTTAAAGCCTACTTGATATTTACATCATTTACGTTTAAAAGCATTCCAACAGAGCGTAATTCTTACTCTTATTTAACCTTTATTCTCATTATTATACAGGTAATACATTGAATTTGCGTGTTGGTCAAAAAGGGAATATTACTACAATCAATGATTACTGGGATGTAGCCACATTGTTTGAAGTACGCGTTATAAGTGAAGATTATGCTGGTGCTGTCCAGGCTGTGGAGAGGATGTATCTTTTAGACCCACCTGATTGGTTAGTTTATTAATTATTTAAATATTCAGTTTTATGACTTACTGTAACATCCAAATGAATCAGAGTACCGATAGACAGTCGTACTTAAAGATGATATTAGTCACTTTATCCACAAAAGAATTCATAATTATACAAAAGACAATGAAAGCTTCTGAATTATATCAATAAGGTCACAGAATACAACCAAATCAAAATATTCATTCCCTGATAGACGGCGTATTGTCGGTTTAATGATTTATATTTATTCAATTAAATCATACGAGACTGAATTTACGTGTCTTTTTCCTCATCGAAGCTTAAGCACGAAATTCGTCTGAGTATAATTGAGCTTCATCGACATTTATGATTCTATGTCTGCCAAAGTCCATCGAAAATTATTATTCTAAACACTAGATAAAAGTGAGCCGAATATCTGATTTGTTTAATTTTTATTCTACTGACTTACAATTATAGTTTCACACAGTTGTTTAAAGTCACTCTACATACATCAGTGAAAGTTATTGGAATAATTTACCTTGCTATTCCAGACAAAATCACTTACCTATGAATCGACTCTTCATATTGTTATTCTAACATCAGTTTTATTACAAAGATACTATTCTTTCAACATAGTGTTTGTATATTTCTACCCTTTCACGTGATTTTCTCGATCACGTGATGTCACTTTATTTGACAGTTGCATATACCTAAACTAGATCGATTTTCATTTTAAAATAGTAAAGAAACTGCAAACAAAGAGTATTTCCATGACTCACAAATTTAATTTAGAACAATGGCGAATAGTGAACAATACTCGACTTACGGATAACCATAAACATTCGAACAGGAAATAATAAGACACTCGTTAGAATATTTGAAAATACTAATTGAGGTTTCATGTTTGATTTTATCAGATTGCAAATATGTATACTGAAGTGGTATTTTATTCTATTGGCATAAATAAAGAACTTCAAGTTTTAGAGCTTTATGATGACTATTTTGTCTAAATTTCCATTGCAGCAACCATTTTCTTGTGAGCGCGAATAGTCTTCAACAAATTACACATATTCTGCTGTATAAACAATTCCATATATAACTGTTTATGAGATCATCTTGACTATATGCAAAAGAACAGTTATTCAGAATATTTCAGTGAACGTATTCTCTTATGCAACGGACACTAGCTTAAGTATATAAAGAGAGATACCATTGCAGCTATCTATGTTTGTTTATTTATCCATGTAGAAAAACATTTAGGTCTTGTACGGATGTTTACGAAATGTCATCATTTTGCCGACAACAGAATGAACAAATTTGCTTTCACTTTTTTCCCTTAGTTACAAGTTATGCTATACTAACATGGCTTTCTCAGGGATGGATTAGACACAGTTTATCTTAGATACGTTTTTAGTTGGCTTTATTTAGTAGTTGGTTACAGCTTCAAAAGAGATTAAAGACATTTTCGTTAATCTTGTACCCGAATCATGTTTATAGTTGTGTAGGCATTCAGCAGACTTTTGGGATAAGAATAACAACTGGATTTAGTTTAAAAATATAGTGATTTTTCAAAATTCAGGTTCCTGTGTTAAAGGAGATATAAGTTTTCTTTGTGTTCCGTACACACCAAATCAATCCAAAACTTGTATTTAGAAATTCTCTGTGAAGAAGCAGTTCTGCTGTCAAAAAGATATTTTATTTTTTCTGTGCTTTGAGCTACAGGTTTCTAAATAGTGAAGTCATTATTCTACGCATTTACTTTAGTTATTAGTGAGTAAAACTTATTCAATGGAATTTTCTCTTGAACAATTGTGGAAGTTGTTTTTAACAAATATATCTTCAATCTCTTCCTTTCTAGGGAGCTGGAATCGACTCTAGGTAACATAAAAATGATCTGCAAATTTCGTAAACCTCCTGAAGATAGTAAAGTTTCAAAGGCACATAAAGTAAGGAATTTTCTGATTTTCTAATTATTTATTCGTGATGTACGTAACTTCTTTAGTCGTAAGATTCATAAATATTTGTTTTTATTAATAGTAAGGCAGGCCTTATATCTGAGGTATCTATCACATGAATGCCCGCCAATTGGCTATTGTACAGCATAGGAAGATATCTCTATTTATAAGTACACACAATTTAAATAGTCTACCCAGCATCTAACAACTTCAAGTACCTTCTTAGTCGTTTTATTTTCACCAGTTCAGGAACAGCATTGAATTTAATCAATGTACAAGACTTTTAACTTCAGTCATACCAAACAAATATTCTTGTTACTTTAACCGACAGAGTTTAAGTACTAACATACCTCTTTTCTTCCAAGACAAAAGTGTTTTGACAGTATGGGTCGACGGTAGGGTAGCTTAACCTAGAGTTCTTTCTCATTGAAATGAAAATTTTAGTCACAACTTTATTGAGAACTGTTATATATGACGTCCGAAATTGCGTTATGTGACTTTTCAGGAAGTATCAACTAATCTGACATGTGACGTACACATGTAGACCACTGGATGACAGCTTACAAAGTGTATAACCTTAAGTTTTAATCGAAATTTATCGATTTGCACAATGCTGCAATGCCCTTTGTTTACAAAGAGATGAAAATTGTTACCCAAACAAAAGTTATAAATATGTGGGCAGCTAATTTGATTAAATAAATCAGCAAAGCTTTGTAAAAGGCAAACCCTCTCGACAGAGTCCTTATATTTTTTCTCTCAAACACCTATTCCGTTTATGCAGTAATTTCTTTGCGATGTTTCTAGGTGTATTTTAACTCAGGTTCATTTTGGTAGATAAAGTAGACCAAAAACTGAGATAATAGCAAATATTTTTAAATATTTATTACTTTCAATACAGTGTGCCATAATGTAAAACACTGAATTCTTACAACAGCAAGAGACTTGAGTTTTCACTTTTAAACCTATTTCGATAAGATTTTCGTTACTGAGACTGTAAAGAAATCACTGCAACATATTTATTTATTTTGTCTTAATTTCTCGGAAACAATTTCTTCTTAAGTTTGTGAACAAAACCATATTCAGATAAAGTAAATCAGAATTATATGACTGACTGAATGCACATGACTCAGCTGTCATTCTTTTAGTCTTGTTACATAAATTTTATCACTGATAAGTTACATTCTGTTTTGTATTCTTTCATTGTATTTGCAGCTTTTCGACTTTTGGATGGAATTTCTATCCACAGTGTGTGATACAGATGAAAGTAACCAAATGTTGGCTGTATCAAGTGAGTAAATATCGTGTGTTTAAACATTACAAACCAAGAATAAAATTCAGTGACTGTTATCTTTGTAGTTTAGTTTCTAAACATCATATCGCCTGAAGATATGAACATGAACTACTGGTTGTCTATCACGCTGTGAAAATCACCAAAGCACTTGAAAGGTACGGTAGAATATCTTTCTCTTTCTGGGATTTTAAATGAACTGATGTGAGATTACGAACACTAGTGTAGATGAACTGATTAATAATCCCTAATTATGAAAAGAGTTTATTAAACTTTTCAAAATTTTTAAAAGTGATAAAAAGTGAAGAAATAAGTGTGATTTAAACTAGAGGCATCTTTTTATATAGAATTTCCATAAGAACTGCTCTCCATCCACACAGTCAGTTACGTGAATTGGAGTCAAGTGTTGTTTCACTTTTTTGCATCATTATCAATCTGTCCACCTCCAAACATTTTAACAAGTTTGATAGATGATTATTTAATCAATGAACTGTTAAATTTCTATAGATATTTCTAAGTCTTTTTTAATGGCAGTTGTCTTGATGTTACTAAACTGTTATGTTTGTCTGAGTAGCCAAGCATAGTTAAGCTCTGTTTAGTCATGTTATAAAGTCTCAGTTCTAAGAGAAAAAATTTTTCTTAATTCGAACTAATTTCGCTATCCAGCTCCAACCATACTTCTGTCACCAACTGTGCGTATGAGAAAAGATTTTAAACTGTATTATCTTTTTTTGCTAATAAGTTTTGCTTTCCCTTCCATTGGATTACCATGTGTCAGTGCTAGATTTTTATGTTGATAATCTCTATCTCACTGACTATTTCCGTGAATGAAACGATAAGTCGGTTTTTGTGGTGCAAGAACGAAATAAAACACCTTGTAGTTGATATGAGATTTTTTAATGATGACCGCATGATGGTTAGTGCTTCAGCTATGAATGGTATTAAATCCTGTCGCTTATCCATGAAGTCAGTAATCAGTATTCCGCACTCGAAATTACCCGATACATAACTGAACGATAATCATGAAAATTGATAAGTTACTCATTACGCGTTAATACTGAATGAAGTAATTTCACACGTTCATATGCACGGATAAATATTCCAGTTATATAAACACAAATGTCTATCGAGTCAGTTAAAAATAAGCACAGTCAACCGTTAATTTATAGCCTACATAATATAACTTGTTTGTTATCTGTCTCGGAGAGAAAATACCAATTTTTAATGAACATTTTCAATTGACAACGTCAATATAACAAATTCAAAGAAATGAATAATTGGATAACTTCTACAGTAAAAATAGACTCAATCTTCCTTTTACACGTTCACTTAGTATATTAAACAGAAAGTATTAGAAGTCGTTATTCTAGTGAAAAACCATGTTTTGGTTTTATCAGAAGTATGTTAAGTATTTAAGAATAAATTTATTCTCTTAATTCTGACTCAGAATACTTAGTCATCAAATAAAACTGTATGTCACCAACCTATTTTTAGTTGACTCTGTTTTGGTGGAGATCATAAATTAGAATTGACGCGTAAAATATTCATCTATTCAAGTTGAAAGATGAATCGAGTAAGCAGAATCTTTAATATGAATTTAGAAAAGTTTGACTTGACTATTCTGGCTAAGAGTCTTTAGAAGAACCTTTGTGAATACAAGTCAAATTCCATTATTTTGTTTATTTAAATTTAAGAAACGTTTTTTAAAAATTGTGCGGTTACATACACGCATATTGCAGTTAGTTTTCGCTTTCCTCATATATTCTCTTCTAATTTGTGTTTGATTTTTAGGTGGTATAGAAAGAGATTCTTTTACACTGCCATATGATATTCATCCGAAACGAATAGTATATCCCGTACTTGTAACCGAACAGAATTGTACTGTTATGAAACCGGCCAATATTCAAGTAAATATAAATGCTGTACCAAGAAATCTTCGTATAATCTTCTACGACCTAGACTATACGATATCTTCAACTATACAGTCGGTTGATTTAGGAAACTGTGGTACAATGCGTCAACACTTTCCACGTTTCAATGAGCACAATCAAGATGAAGATTTAATTTTAAACACAGAAGATATCATAGGAATAAAGTAAGTCTTCTGAATAGATTTCGGCTGTAAACAATCATTACAGAAGTTATAAATGGTTTAGTGATCTGTCCGTATCAGTAATATTAAACTGAAACCTTTGAAATGAGTTCATTATCAGAATTGTGTTAAAGACAAAAACACTGGAAAATGGGCGAATGACAAAATCCTAATTTATTTGCAATGATAGTAAAAAAAGTCGGTTTCAGTCGTATGTTTTTGAATTATAAAAAAAGAGGAGGACGGCATCTTTTTATAACTACTTTCAAATGTTACAGTCGATTTTGTTCTTCCCCTTTGATCAGTTGTTGAGAAATGTTGGGTCTCTATTGACATATCGGCTCCTATTACGGACGATTTGAGGATATCTGAGAATTGACATGATGTGGTTTGGTGTATGATGGCTAGCACCTGAATCCATAATGGGAATTTTGCTCCATTTCGAGGTGTACCTAAAATATTCACTGAAACTGGAACCCAGCAGCGATTGTTTTAAACGCTAAAGCATTATTCACTTGACCACATTCGAATACCTGCAAACCACCTTTAGTGAATAAAATTTAGGTTACTCATAAAGATGGTAGACGTTTAAAACAACGTGATTTTTACAGCATTATTTAGTTAATTCATGCAGCAATTGTGACCTTGTTTGCAAGAGGCTGACAAACACAGTAGATAACGCTAATACATACATTATACGAACAGATAGTATTTAGAATATACAGATGTGAGAAACTTTGAATCCCCAAATGTTTATATAGTAAAACAGCTTGATACTAATGTGATTAGCTTCTTTTTACGTCATAAGTGACTTCCACTTACACATTCCTAATAAGTATAGAGCATAGTAGAAACCGCAAACATAAGAAATCAATATTTTGGTTTACTACTCAGTAACTCTTATAGGTTACTTATCGTAAAATTATGGTTTGGCAATTAGCATTTTTTTATAAATCACTTGGATTTATGTTATCTTTGATCGATAGTTTATGCATGATTGACAGATTTTCATTCGTATAACATAATTATTTAAAATTAGTCCTCAGACATAGTAGATTTTAAAACAACCAACAAATGTAAACGAGGGTATTTGTGGAGTTCATCATTCTTTTTAGATCTCGGCTGGTGACTTCTCTATATACACGAATACTTTGGCTAACAGTTTTTCTCGTCTCGCTCAGATACTGAGATACACAACATTATGAATGAACTGAAGTTCATAATAATATGTTTAGGTAGCATAACGAAATATGGAATGTAACAGTGCATTATTTCTATCAGATCATAAGTGGTAAATGTAACCACCAGGGGAATTCGATTACACATCATCTCTGACCTTGATGACCAATAGACGGATTAGCAGAAATGTATTTGGGTTTGCTATCCTCCCACGAAACTTTGACTGACTAGGCTGCATACTTCTCTTTGTCATACCTTTCTTTCTAATAGTGCATGACTATTCTTTCATTCGTTTGCGCAACTTTTCCTATTTCTATTTTTCATTTTTCCAAATGGGAATGAAAATATGTATTCTCTAAAGCTTGGTTTGTAAGGGTTTGTTATGTTTTTACCAGTTGATCACAGACTGATATCAGTTAGAGAACAATTGAAAACCAGGGAGTACTGGACAGCTGCTGTTTCATCCTAGTTTGGGAATCATCGGCAGTACGCACCCACTGGGATTCGAACCCGGGACCTTCCGGTTACAAGGCATGCTCGTATACCATTCAGCCACTGGGACCCGATTCAATGGCTCATGAATTCTAACTTCTACCAATTCTACCAATGTATGCTACATTTAAGATGTTTGAAATCATTTGAAAGTTTAGTTGAATGATTTAAACCACTTTGTATCACATTTCAAAATTCTTTTCTTGTATCCAGAAGTTACAACATTTTGCATTAAATGTTTTTTACAAGTCTAGACCTACATAATCCCTACCAATACACCAGAGGAACAAACCACATTATATCTGATACGTGCATGAAGTAGATTTTCTTATGTACTTAAGATTCACTGTGATTTTTATTCTGCCATTTCTTACACCAAAAACTACATTTAATCATGTATCTTCATGAAAATTTTATTTTGAGTTTGCATCTTCAGGCCCTTATACGATTCAACATGCCTTTATTGGCTCAAAGAGACAAAATCACTTTGCGAAAATTTACAAGAGAATAGATACATCACATATTCATAGCATGTGATTTAAACAGTCACATAAGTCAGATTATCTAATTTTATCGTAGACACTCTAACCACTGTGGCTAACTGAAAATGTGGAGACATTTGAGACTACCAGTGAGCTTTTTATATTACTGAAGTTTATGAATAAAGATATTTAATTAGCATAAAATGAATTAAATGTATACTAATCTGTATTTACTTTGCAGCAGCACTCCATAGTTATTAAGTCAATCATTATAAGAAGATAAACGTGTTATGAACACAACAACCGCTTACTAACCCTCATCATACATTTGCCACTTCAAACGAGTATAGAATACTTGAGGGTGATTTCGTTATGTAGTAGGCCTAAAACAATAAAGTTTGTGGATAAACAAATTACACAGAGACTCAATAATTTGGAAATGCTTAAGTGATGAATAAATTACACATGTTTCTGTAAAAGCTTTGTTCCCAGTGGATATGGGAAATAAAACTAAACATTTTATAAATATTTCTTTATTTAAAACAAACAGATTTATTAGAAATTCCCCACACCCGAAACCAGCGATGAGTATATTTGTTTACATTAGTTTGACCAAGATTTTCCTGAATAACTTTGGATATTCAACTTCTTGAACCGAAAGCCGAGATAATCTGTTGTTAGTCTTTATCTAGATGCTTCAATTTTAGACAAATAGTGTTCAGTGCAAAAAACCTGCCAACAAATAAATGAAAATGAAATGAATCTGATGGACAAAACCGATTTCATGAATTTGTCTAACACTTATGTTCTGATGTGCTAAAACAATTCATGTTTAACTATAAACGATGTAAAAATGTTTCGATTGAACTCTCACTAAAAAGTGAGAAACAAAATATTCGAAAATGATAAGCTTTTTCATTGAAGCTACTACACTAAAAATAGATGAACGTTCGTACTAAGCATTATCATTTATATAATTATTATTCCCCTGGGTTTCGAGCAGAACATAGGGCTTCAACAACACATGTCCATTTTATTCTACTTTCTGCTATCCTCATTAGTTGCCTAGCTCCCCCGCAGCCCATTATCTCAACTCTCCCCTAACACAATCTCCTCCATGTAAAACTCGCAACGACGACCCACTCGTCCCTCGCTCCACATTGGGATTTCACTCGAGCAATGACCTGCGTGGTGCGCGATGTCATTCGATGGCCTTCTCAGTGTGTTCCTGATCAATCCACTTCCATTTTCTCCTACATATTTGTTGAGCAATCGGCCCTTGGTTGGTTTGTTGCCAGCCAGAGTTCCTTGTTGCTAATTCTTTCTGGAGTCAGCCAGCGAAGGTGTCAGCTGTTGATGAAAATCTGCAGCTGGCTGTTGAAAATCCTTTTCGTAACTGATATGCAGTGCCATGTGCCTGTGGTTGAAATCACGCACCCTGGTAAGATAAGTGAAGGGAGTAACCTCTGTCAAATTTCTCCCGTTGATGTGATTGGTGGTGGTTGTTGTTGTTGTTGAAGTTGGTTGGCTGGTTGTCTTCATCACCTCCGTCTTCTCTTTGTCCAGCTGGAGTCATGTCTTTTCTACTTGACTCTTCTGCCAGTTTGTTGGTTTTCGCTCTCAAATCTTCCAGTTTGTGTGACATTCGACATAAATCATCCACACGCGAAATCGAGATCTTCTAGAGTCTCCTTATTCCCGTCTTCTCACTCGTAAGCACATTCTGACGCATAATCCAGTCCATCACGATTAGAAATATCATCGTGGGTGATAATTGGCAGGCAGCCTTGTCTTACTCCTGCATGAACTTCGAACGTCTCGCTGAGTGTTTCGTTATGGATCACCTGACACGTGACATTTTCATATATCCGGCTATTGAATGAGACTGACTAAGACTTGAGCACTGTTTGACGTAGTGTTGAGGCAGTTTCTGAATTAATTCGTGGTCAACGCTGTCTTTCGATGGACTTATCGAAGTCAATGAATTTGAGGTAGAGACAGGTTTGACTGGCATTCTATGCTTCGTCCTGTGATGACGATGCGTAGAGTTGCAATTTGATCGGCGGATGATTTGCCTTCCCTGAATCTTGCTTGTTCTGCTCGGTGGGTTGGCATGGTTTTGCTTCCAGTGCATCTTTTACTCTCTCTAGGATTACGTGACTTAGTATTTTACTTGTCGTGGACAAGAGCATTATTTTACGCCATTTCTTGCAGAGGCGTAATTTACCCTTCTTTTGTGGCTTGACAAGGTAGCCTTTCTTCCGATTGGTAAGGACCTCTCTTTCCTTCCAGACCTTTTGGAATAATGGCGTGAGCACATCTCCTGCAGTCTTTGTGTCTGACACTGCATAAAATAGTCTGTATATTCAGCCTCATAACATTCTTTTCTAAATATACTGTGTGGTATAAAAGACAAGTGTACATAAGTGCAATCAGTGATGTCATGATATATTATGTTTTATTTGTAAGCTCAATACAGATTGACTGCTCCTACAGTAATTGATTAAGTCACTCACCCACAGATAATAATAATATGCATTCATGAACGCAGTTTTAAATGACACATATTACGTACCTCACATTGTCGATAAGACAGCAAAAGATTGAGAATAACTTCTGAAGACAACATTCCTGGATAATCCAGTCTACGACGCATTATTCTAAGACGCTGAAAGAAAATAGTAATCAAAGCTTCTTAATTAAGACTGATATAACTTAATAACTTCAAATTCATGTAATAAATTTAGACCTCCAGTAAAATTTACGAGCAGAGATTAATATGTTGATTTACTGAAAATGAGTAGAAACTTTTCATGAATTCATTGAGTAAACTTGAATTATATAGGTACAATTTATCTCATTGTATGACTCCAGTGTTTTCAGTCAATAGAAACCATATTTTTTGGCGTTTTCAAGCATTACTAGCAACGATTACTACTACGTCTGCTTTGAAGTGATTTCAATCTACATTGAATAGCTGGTGCCATGGAAACCCAGTCCACAATCAGATTACAATTTCAATATCATGTAAAATATGCTGAGCTTTGATTAAACAGTATTATAGATTTCCATTCATTGAATGACTCAAAGCATTTTGAACATTTTCTATAGATTTATTTCAGAAAGCATTCTTTTATTTTAAGGAAAGAACTTGTGCACTGTTGTAGAGAATAATTCCATTGTGGGTATGATGTGATTACGAGTGGTAATAACTTGTGCTCGAAGCGTCATCAGTAAATATTACTGTATAACACTGTGAGACTTTATCAAAATAAATTTTACCCACAATGGAATTCTTGTTTTATTGATTTCAAAAACAAAATTGTAATGTTCCGCCTTATTCACTAATGGTCTACTTCCTTGAGTAAAATATTTTCCGAGGAAATTCACAAACGAATTGATGAAATGACTATATGAGTATGAGGAGGATGAATCACCGGAAACGTTACAGTTCCCATTTTATCTGTGAAAATCAATCACCACTTGAATCTAAATAGTCAAACTGCCCAGTGTACTTATTCTGGTGGTAGAAAAGGTCAAGTCCACAGCTTCAAAGCTTATCGTCACTGTTTTCACTTTTGAAGGAAATATCGTTCTTAAGTATTCAAATGTCTAGAGCTACGGTGGCCCAGTAATATCAGATTGAGTTTGCTTTTAATATAACAGGATTTTATAGGTAAGGTGAACTAGAGACTCACAACACACGTTTTATTATTAAGAAATACATGGATAATTCTCCCAGTGATAATAAACTCCTTCACTAACAGAGTAGTAAGATGTGACGAATTAGTAAGTCAAAACAATTTGATGTGTTAAAATATACATGGTTACCTAACCACTCATGTAGCTTGTTTCAGAGACATTCTGCTCTGGATTTTCATACATTTCACTGCAGTCTAGTCGGGTGAAAATGTTATTCCAGGTTAAGTCATTCCATTAGTATATCTCATGTTGAAAGCTCGCATTAGTATAAACATCATTTCATTATTTGATTCTGAAAGCCTGTCACAAAAGAATTGTAATCTTTAGTTCGCCACAGTAAATCAACTTAATTTATCTGCCTTGATAGATACTACATGGTATTCTCCGTTTCGAAGTGTAAGGTGACACTTCAGGACTAGTCTGCAAAGACTGTTATTTTAAGGATAGGGAGTTAAAAGTTTTGGCGTATTGACCACTTAACTTATTTGTGAGGTTTCGCGAGCCCTAGTAGACTGATTGCTGACGAAATCTCAGTAGGATTATAAGAGCTTGACAAAATAGTCTTTCTTCTGATTGGTGGGTACCTCTCCTTCCTTCCAGGCGTTTTGCCTTAATGACATGAGCATATCAGCTGCTTTCGCGAGGACTGTTTCCATTGTTTTGGGCGGAATTCCGTCTGTGCTTGCTTCCTTTTCGACTAGACTTTACTAGCTTGATCGTACTCTGAATTTATGCTTTTGCTGGAGCATTGGTGTCCACTGGCAAACAGTTCTGTGCGTGCTCTACTTAGCAAATTGCTGCATTATTTTATAGACTGAAGGCAAATTTTTGATTAAGCACCACTAAGTTGTGTAACTCATTTATTACCTCTACTTTGCAATAATTCCATAGTGTTAAATCTGTTTCAAATATGTCACTTATACTTTTCCCTTCAATAAAAATTGGAGATTACTTTGTAAATTTTCCGTCAAAAATTGAGCTGTAGATTATCTTTTATCACTGAACGAATATTGTTTTTTATTTCATTTTTAATTTTATCATTAAAGCTTCCGTTTTTGTTTCTTCTATATACTGTGTTGTGTTTCATTCATGCAAGTGTGTAAGAAGTTATGGATGGTTTTCGTCTGAAGTGATTACAAGCACTTGTGTCTGTTAAGAATGCCCAGTGTCCCCAATTTTTCTATTTGGTAATAGATGTATTGATCGATATAATTCTAATTGATTTTAGGGCCTTAGAAATAGATTTAATTTTGAGGGATAGTCACATTAACTTGGAGTATGCGGATGATATAGTCCCTCTAGATAAAAGTGCTAACACAATGCACAGTCTTCTCAACGCCTTAAGCAGAAATATTGTTGTGTCTGGTGTGCAATCTGCTCCTTTCAAATGCAAGGTGATGCTGCATTACTGACGTACTGCAACGTCTGACGCAAAAGGATAAAGTGAATTGGTTGAGAATGTCTACCTCTGGCAATTTGAATAGCTCCTTATGGACTGATTTCTGATTAATTCTCACCAAGGGTACAAATGTCTAATATGGTACTTATCAACTTACCTCATGCCTCTTGATCGGCCTAACTGCGGGTTTAGCGAGGCTTAGGACTACTACGGCCGAGGACCGATCGCCGGACCACGTGACCGGTTGGCGAGCGTTCCATGGTTGAACCACTGAAGTACACTATTATAATAACAAGATTTCTAATTCACTATTTATTTCCAGTCATGTTGGAATATGATGACATAATATAGTCATCAGTGTCTAACTGACGCCTACCTCTGCTATCCTATATTCCCTCCTTAATATAATCCAAAAAATTTAGTTTTACAGATGAGATTGTGATTTTGTAAGGTTGTGCGTTTTTACTGGATCTTGATTTACCCCACTGCGTATAACTCTTAACTTATATGTTTCCACAATCTACTTTGTGTAAATCAACTTCTGTTTCCCCATTTAACAGTAGCGTTCCAATTCGTAAACAGATATATAAAATGTATTCCCACAAAAAACATCTTTAAATCTGTTTTATCTGAACTAGGACGAGGTTCTATTCTGAATGACTTCTACGGTCATAGTCTTCACTTTAATTTCATAACATTGCAGACATCATCGACGCAATTTTATCGCCCAGTGTTCTCTTCACTTATGTTAGTGAAATTTTTTCTATCTAGTATTAGACGATGAAAGGTTTAAATACAGAATATAGTGAAAAGCTATTGAAAGACAAGAGAAAATAAAAATAAATGGACGGCAAAAGCTTGTATCAGTCACAGACCTGGAAAAATATCTTAAGGCGATTACTCTAGATTTATAAATCTACAGGAATTAATATTCATACGTGCTTTGCCAGTACTTCCAATACATAATCTGCATTCTTGTTTCGTTCTCCAAGAAATACTCAAACAGTATAAAAATATCGCTTCTGGAAACCTTATAATTATTAATATGATTATTTTATTCCTTTACATTCCCAGTGCAGCATATGGCTTCAATCTAGAGCTTTTGAAGTTTCAGTAGAAGGGGTGTTTTTTAAGGGGTAATGTTTCTAGCCTAACGCCCAACCTTCCTTCTTTGCCTAGCCTACTGCCAGTTAAGAGAGGCAAATAATTGCGCCGGCCAGGAAAAGAACCCCAGAACACTTGCATGATTGGCCAGTGCTTACCAATGCTCGTCAAAACTTTATAATGTGTTTTTATTACTCACCAATCTGTAGTGAACTCTACAATTCATATTTTGCATCTGCATTGTCTTCTGAATTATTTTGGATGCATATATTTCAAGCTTTGAATAAATATAAATATATAGAGTGCTGATTTATTGTCAGTGTTAAAATAGTTGTGACCAAAGTTTCAAGAGAAAACGCAATGTTGCGACTCTCTGTAGTTGGCAGACATTCAAAAAATTTCCCTGCTTCTCAACACAGGTTGAATAAACTCACCCATATAAAAGAATTCGTAATTATTACCTCATAAAAATGAACAACTATATTTTGATTTTCAGTACACTGACAGTAAATTATTTCCATTATTTTAAAAACATAATTCTTTTTTTGCAGCATGACAGAAAACAACAGTCGTAGTGTTTACCTATACACGTCGTGTTCATTGCCGAATTATCGTATATCATTCTCCTGTGAAAAAGTAAAAATCCAGTAAGTGCTAAATTCTAATGAATAAATGGTGATTATATAAAATGCCTAATCGTGTTGTTGTTTTTTTCATTTTATCTGGCCAATAAATCATTTATTTCTAAATTAGTTGATATGATTGTTGAATTCACAAATGTAAAAACTTGAGATTGGAAGAAGAAAAGATTTTCTATCTTCAACACATTCATCCCATTCTTACTTTTACATATGCACCAAATGAGGATGTATAAATTTATGCACCATAACTATTTTCACTTATTAAGGTAATGCAATTTCATCATTGTGTATGCATTGTTTAGATAACTTTTATTTCTTGCACGGCTTGACTAACAGTCTGAATAATAGAGAAGATTTGTAGCAATAACCCAATTACCCACAAAAGGAACTGTGTGTAGAAATTGTTTAAAAGAGTTCAAACCCACTGTAACACTTCAGTCTTGAAGAGAATGGAGGATAAGTACCTACTAAATGTCTTCAAAAAGAATGGATATCCTTACAGTTTCACCAAAAAGTGTCTAAAATAAAGCCACAACACCAACAAGAAACCATCGTCAGCGACTACAAGAAAATCCATCCTACCATATTTAAAAAATATCTCTGAAATAACAGCTAGAATATTGAAACCATTTCAAATAGATATAGCACACAAGCCAGTCAAATCACTTAATTCGAAATTGTGCAAACCGAAAGATCCAATAGAAAAAGGAGATGAAACTAATACTACTGACAAAATTAATTGTGTGAACTGTATCAGACATTACATCGGTCAAAGTGGGCAGCCCCTTCGAATCAGAATCTAAGAACACAAATTATCTGTGAAAAGACATGATATATATTCCTTCATATTAATGAATGTAGATAATTATGCACACTAATTTGATTGGGATAATGTCGAGATTTGAAATAGAGAAAACAGCAGAAATAGTGCCAGGAAATTTCCAGAAGCCTGGTGCTCAAGTGAATCAGCGATTAACAAACATATTAATATAGACCAAATTTACCGACTATTAAAAAGTAAATCAAGTGATAAGAAAGTTCAAAATCCAAGTCAATAAAATTAATCAGTACAGATGTGTATCGACCACCAGTCACGAAGATGGTTACCAGGAGACGCAGTTCTATCATTCACGTAGAATTTAAATCAGTTCATTTTATGCTAAAACTTGCACTAAAGATGTTGTCCAGAAGGACGACAAAAGTTCCGCAATTAAACCAACCACCTCAGAGAACACAACTAATTGTAACAGCTTGAATGTTAGTCAACTCATATCAGTAGGAACAGTTTTCTGAGCGTTTACCACCGGATTATATTTCAAGAAGTTTCGATTTTTATTCCAACTCACATCATCGGTGTTTGAATAATCTTGCACTTTCAGAAAATTAAAACCCTCGGCAGATTTGAAGAGACAGTATCCGGTAACATTTTCACATCTCGTAGATATAAATGCCGTAAAAATAACATCTTATAATAGTTACCATTTGTTGAGACGTAGGTGAATACGTTTATTTACGAGCCAAGTAACTATTGAAAGTTGGAAACAAAGAAAAGATGTGACACTTTAAAAAAGGGAAAAAATACTTTCATTTTAAAATTGAATAGTGCGAACTATTTCCTTATCTTTAGTTAAAAGTCACTCTGAATGAAGAGTATTCCTTTCAGTAAATTTTTATCAGGTCGTTACGATTATAAAATGTAACATGCGGTGGATACACTTTACGGAGAACAGCAGATGAGTTATAAGGTGAAAAATAACTAGTATTTCTGTGACAAGCGTGCTGAGATAAATGTAATTACAAAATATTGTGAAATGCGAGACGATGTCGATGGTTATTCGTTATTTATTCATAGAATGTGAGGAAGGAGATTTACCGTGTCATTTCAAGGTTAAGAAAGGTGTTAAACGAGTGGCTAGTACAAAACAGTTTGTATTAAAGAGGCAATAGTAAAACTGTTCTGAAATGCTCATCATAAAATAAGCAATGCGTGAAATAAAACAGGTTGTAGTACTATCAGTAGTTAAAAGACAGCGTAGTATAAATGGGAAATTTGACAGTATCACAAAGATGAAGGATATAAATTATAAAATATTGTGGCTAAAACCGTTAGGACGAAGATAAAAAGAAACGAAAAATAATAATCAAAGGGGAAGAAAATGAGACGAGAGAAGAGACACTCTATGAAGTGGGTAGAAATTTTAATCTGTATGTGACCACAGTGGGAACATGACCCAAAAATGTTCTCTTTGGATAAAAATAACTCCAGTTTAGTTGGTTTTATTAGAATAGGTCCAACTCCTTGTAGAAGATTTAGGCAATCCGTGACTGATAATGACTTCGGAATGTGATATGTAACCCTGAAGGCTCTGTTAGCATCAGTGCGATGTCCTCTATCCAAAAAGTGGGGTTAAATTTAACTTTTTATGCATTTGATTTCACCCTTATTGAACCAAGGTGTTGTTTACACACATTTCACACATTGTTTTAGATGCTCGACTTTCAAACAATGTGCTTTAAGTGTGCATTCTACTTCAACTACATCATATTTAGAATTTACATAGTATCGTGATCAGTTGGTTTTAGATAGTTGGAGGCAATTGGCAGGAAGCCCTGGACCTAGGTTTCGTGCAACTTGACTGGTAGAATTCAGTCTGCACCAAAGACAGGACTAGATACACACATTACACTAGTTACTGATTGCTTTCCAAACAAAAAAGTATCGTGATCTGCTTTACAAACGTGTGTCTAGTAATTTAGCATATAAAAAATAAAAAATATCGGATTTCGATGTTTTTGAAAGTATGGAGTTGAGTTTTGTAAATGCAGTATTCCGGAGCTTCATAATGTTTCCTTATCTTCTAGAAAAACCAAACAAATCATATTCAGTCGTTTGAAACGACCCTAAAGCAAGTATTGAAGCATTCAAAAACATTTTCTTAAGATAACAATGAAGTGAGCAAAAATAAATAGATTTGTGCTAGTTCTGTTGTAGAATGTTCGCCAACCATGAATGTAGTCCGGGACTCAAATCCCAGCCGGTATACACCTTTATCTCATTTAGCCGGCTGTAAGCCCGACAGACAAGGAAGGCTGGGGGTGAGGCCAGCAAACACACGTCATAGAACCACCACTTCTACTAAGACTTCAGACCTCAAGCGTTAAGCCCTATGTTCCACTGGGGATGCAAAAGAAATAAAAAAGTACTGTATGAAGTTTAATGCTTACCTCTTTAAAACAAGCAGCTAAAATATTTAAGGCAGGATATGATCAATTCATTAAGTCCCGCTTTATTAACATTTGTCGCTTGTTTTAAATTCGTATCGGGAAATAAGTGTTTCCAACCCACTACTTTGGTGAATGAAATTAGTTCATCACTTTTAAAATCTGCTTGTACAAATCTTCAATAAAACCAATATATGACAAGCTTACTGAACAGACCAGGATGATTCTGATTTAGAACTTACTCAGTAACATGCTTTAGGAGATTCGCATTTACTTGCAGACTTCTATTCATAATTTAGGATTTTGGTTATCAGTAATTATCCCAAAAATGTAAGAGGAACATGGTTACTTTGGCTTATTGGGTAGAATGACACCAAAAATTTGGGAGATGAATTACTACGTGACATTGAAAACGAATTCGATGTCAAAAGTACGTATCAATGTGATACTAATTATATCACAAAGACATCGAGCTACAGTTACCGAAATATAAAGGCCAGTCTTTAGAATAAGCGTTAATGCCAAAGTTTATGAGAAAATCATTTATAGTTTTAAAGCCGACGAAAAGAATATTTCGGGAATGAGGCTTTACCCTTCTTTAAAACTGTTAATAACTAGCATATCAATAGGGGAAAAACTATATTTTCAGTATTCTGAGGTCAACTAATGCAATCAAATGTTAATACAGTAATTCATTAAAGAAAGAAATTTGATTTGAACACATCTTACTTTGGAACCTTGACAAATATTCTACTTTTCTTGAATTACTGGTGAAACTATTTCAAACAGCTTGGATTTACAGGTCCTTACCTCTAAAAATGGTAATTGTATATTAATGTCGTCATATAAGACTGATAACCAAAGCTTCTTTGATAAATACCTTTCGGTGTACTAGCATAAATTACCAGTTACAATTAGGTCATAATGAGCATTACTGTTTTATGTTTCTAATATCTTTTTCTTTCAAAGATTCTATGCGGTTTTGCGTGAATGCCTATTCTCAGAAGAGGAAAATTCTGGTTTCTTACTAGACGAAAGATCTAATGAAACGTTTAAGGTAAATTTTAACAATTCATTAATAACCTTGTGATGCATTTACTATATACTGTTATATCACTAGAGTGTGCATGTTTATAAAGTATGTTCATTATTTCGCACCACCAAACTAACTGCGTATCGATTTCATTAAAACCCTTCAAAAAATATGCAAAACAATCGTAAACAAAATTATATTTGTCTAAAATGTCTCATTTAGGTTTTGTGTTATATGAGTGGAGTATATAAAAAACAAACTTTTTGAATGAAGTTGAACATTGATTATACAATTTGTGAATACTTGTACTACCAGCCTTAGTATTTTACTTCATTTATGTATATATATATATATATATATAATTAGTTAATTAGCTATACGAACGTAATCATTAATGAATGTTCGATCTACGCACAACCATAATAAATAGCTTATTATTTTAAATATTTATTCCTGTTGAGAATCGCTTCCAATTCCTGACAAGTTATAATACGTACAAGAGTGATGGACTGATTTATTACGTGACATAATCATGCTCCACAGTCATTATAACAATCCAACAGCCATTAGGCATTTTAACAAAACAATAAGACATAATTTGTCTGAAATGTGTAATGTGTTTGCGCAGCACATTTCGGACATTCCAGTCACAAACTTACTTGTCATACACATACAGAAAGCAAAGAAGAGTGATAAATTGTGTACAGATCAAGATCACAAATGAGGAGTTGGAAGATGACGTAAGGATGTGCGGTAAGAAAGAGAAGAAAAATACTATTTTGTAAAATTAACCTTAGTTTTAAATTCGATTATCAAGGCAAGTTCAAAGTAATAACAAGTAATTTTTGAACACATAAAACAGGTCTAGGCCTTTTTATGGCCGATTCCTCAATGAATTTAAGTATATGAACCAATCTTGTTTTATTTATGGGTTTTAAAGCACTACTGAAATCAGCCTTGTGACTCGTCTCTATGATGTACTTCGCTATAGATTTTGGACATCAGATGTATTCGGTGACTTTTTTGTTTTTGCAGACACATTGGGATTCGTTCTGTAGCCTTAACCTGTACAGACCGATGGGTCCTCCCTATATACGTGTCCACAAACACATCTAAATTAGTGAACACAGTGGGATGTGGCACTATCGTTCGGGTGCTATGGTGGTTTACAGGACAGCATATATCTCGTTTTCTCTATGAAAATCAGTTCGACTTCATAGTAAGTTCTGTTAATTGCCACCCTGAGTCTTTGCTTTGTGACCAGATGTTGCTGGTCACACTTAAACGGCAAAGATATATAAACATCGTTTTTGAGAGCTGACTGGATCGGCAGAGCCATTTGTTTGATACTTCTGTAACGTTTAGTGAATTTCAGCGGATAGTTGTTTCTTCTTCAGTTGTATCGTCTCTACATATATGCTGAATGCGTCTGAACAAGCACTTAACCAATACCTATTTATAGTGTAGTGGACAAGAAATATAATAATTTGGATACTTTACCGTCCATGTGGTCTTTCTGTAGACAGATCGTCTTACTGAAGCATTTTGTCAGTGAGTTAAGAGCACATCTAAAAATAGCAGACAATCGATATTCTTATTCACGTATGTTATCGATATGCTGTTCTGTACTTTATTTATCTTGTTAAGGATTTCTATGGCATCTATTGGTTTATCACAGTGACTGTTATGTCATTCACGTATCCCCATAAAAACAAACCTTTCCAAATGCGTCCTCAGCTTGGTTTTCAACATGCGACTTGTATTTATCAGCTCACAATGGACCCAAGGGTCTTCCCATAGCAATATCATCGATCCGGCAAAAATGCTCGCCCTTAAATATTAACTTAACATTGTTAGTACACAAAAGCAGTAGCACTTCCAAATAAAATATGGAAACTGGTAATAAGAAATTGTCGTTGAAGATTTAGTCACATAAAATGTCAACCCTCTGTAACAGAGGTATATTTGTGAATGAAGAATCAGTGTTCAAGGAGAAAATAGTTTTATCCTTCACGTTACCGTTATGATGACACTCTCTTAACTCAAAAGTATCTTTCACTACAAAATACAGAAGCTTCTCCTAATAATTTTCAGTATTTACACTAAACACTGCAAATTGTGGGTTGGAGATCTGCTCTTTGAAATTATGGGACAAAGAGGAATGTTAGGTTTATCTGTTTTTGGTAGACCATAAATGTGTGGTAACTTGGTCTCTATGGGTTTTAATGAGTTGAATTTCTCTCTATTATTCACATCCATGTTCAAGTGTTATGGTAGATTTTTTGCTACCTTATTTTATGCAGTCTTCACATTCTAAAAAGTAAAGTGCCTAGGAAATTTGTCCTTATTTTCAAGAATGGATAACATTTCATTTTTGTATTCAATCTGGTCCATTATATCGACACCAGAACCTTTGTCTGGTCTGAGAATAACAATTTCAGTATTATATTTTAGTACTTATAGAGCTTTAAAGTGCTCAGATGTTAGGATACTTTTCTGAATTGTAAGACGACTGCAGAATTAGTGAGAAATGTCGACTAACTCTGCTTTGAACCAGCCATGATGTTCATCAAAAACGATAACAAGAGGCTTCAGTTGGTCATATAGATTTTCAAGTTGTGCATGGATTTCAGTTCCTCAGAAAGACTTCTGAGGAAGGCAAAACTGAGGTCCAAAGGATAAGACTAGGTACTGCAATAAGGGAAGTGTTATGGAAGATCAGCTGATTACAGATTTCTCTAAATTAATGTGGAAGGGGTTTACAAGTTAGTTATCATTAAGTGATTTATCCAGCTTCTTACGCATTCTGGCTTACACTTTGACAGCGAGAGATGCACAGAAAGCAGTAACTTTCATATGATACATTAAGGATAATTCTGACAAATCATATGAAGCATATGTATGATTGAGAAGTGAATGTTGTAGCTTTTCTACTGCTTTCTCAATATGTGATTTAGCGTGGAGAAGGTTCCAATTATTTGGCTTCATTCTACTTGATATCAGAATTTTTTAAAGAATATCTCAGGAATGTGTAATCAAGAATACATGATTTATAAAATTCCAGGCTTTCACGTTCTGAAACAATTTAGCATTTTAGGTAAGCAAGATCATCTAGCTGCTTGATAGGGCGAGGACGGAGTCTTCAGAAATTTAAACCAATTAGTTCTCTTTATAAATTTTGACAAAACAGTAGTGAGATGTAGTTTGTTTAACGAATGCAGTATATTTTCGCAACATATTTCAGACATTCTGTTCACACATGCACTTGTCATACACGTCTATACAGAAGGCAAGAGGGCATTATTTCATCATGGATACCATAGTTATAACAAAAAAGGTTACCTGTGATTTCTGAAGTAGCTTCACTTGCTATTACAAATAAATGTATTCTATAAAATTTCGTTATATTTGGAGATGACGCATTTGTGTTTTGTTTTTAAACATTTAGTGGACATACGATTTGAACGATCAAAATAAACGAGAAATATTAGGTCGAGGCAGTTTCGGTGTTGTATATACTGGTTGGGATCTTACAAAACAAATTAAAATTGCCATTAAAGAAATTGATGCAGCTAATATAAGGTACAGTTGATAGGGCTTTAAAGAGTGTATTGTTAATTATATCGTAACTCTATTGGTGAATATTCTGTTGCAGTCTCTCTCAGTCTCTCTCTCTCTCTCTATATATATATATATATATTTATATATAAATTTTAACAACTGCGAAGAAACGTGAATTTTAAGAGAGGACTGAATTAGCTGTTTGAAAATGAAAAATATCACTCAGCAGGTAACTTAAAAAGCATATTGTATTCATCGGCCGATTGTATATGTCATTCATATCCGATAAATGAGAGTATATACCACTCGGTCTTCATAGTCAGAAAATTTGCTATTAAGCTGTTACTGGTAGTGTATTAAGTAGCATTTAGTGATCAAACTTTGCTAAACCGAGAAGTAAATTGTAATCCAACAACGTCGATTTAGAACTTGGCAAATATTAAGTCGCTTCATCTTGGAAAGGGCAAAATATTTTCAGAATGTGATAAAAGCTGCATTCACCAAAAGGAAACCATGTGCAGATCAAATCGCAGCTCTACGCATCACAGTCGAACGCAGCTTAGAATAGCAGTAAAAACTCTATCTAAACTTCACTGACTTTGAAAAGATCTTCCGCAAGGTCTACCGTTAAGTGATTTGGAAATTCCTGCAACACAATGGAGTGTCACATGCCTTTGTCAGCCTTGTTCGGAGGCTAATTGATGATTTCACATACCTAGGGCTTCACAAAGGAAGGCTTAATGAGGCCTTTGAAGCAAAGACACGAGAAAGACAAGACTCCTATCTGCTATCACCGATAATAATGATAGTTGTGGTGGACTGGATGATGCGCTAGATTTTAGAGAACAGGAAGTCAGGAACACATAGGTTCGACGGAAAGATTTTGGAAGATTTGGACTTCAAAGGTGATTTATGTATAATGTCACATCAACTCGAAGACCTGAAATGGAAAATCAACAAGTGAGCAGCATAAGCAGGAAAGGCAGGAGTTCAAGTGAACAAAGACAGTAGAGTGGTTATTTAGATAACCAACCAACAACAACAGACACAAATTACTATCAGCATAAGAAATTTTAGGGTCACCACTTTCATTTACCTAGCTAGGCAGCATCGTTCCAACCACAGCAGGAGACACGGATTAAGATCTCAGAGCCAGGATTGAAAATTCGAAACAGACCTTCACCACTCGGAAATAAATTAGTAAACATGCTGCAACTAACAAAAAGAATAAAATTTTAACTTTTAGTACTAATTTCAGTGACTTGACGCTTCGCTGAAAGAAGTTTTTAAGTAACCTGATGCGAACTTTAGCATCAAACTAAGAGAAACTGCGCAACAAATATGCAAGGGTAAATAGGGTGAATCCGGCACAAGCTGAGATCGTTGGGTAACAAAACGCCATAGGCTCTGGAGTGGAATCTGAATAAGAAACGAAGAATTGGGCATCTAAGGGTGATACAGAAGTGATTGTGTAAGGAAAATCACAGGACAAGCAAAAGAAGACCGTAGAGATCAGGATGAAATGGCGATGAGCTGTTGAAGCTCTATGTTCCACTCAGGACCCAAGGTAATAATAATGACTGGGTGGCTTTTAGTTTTTAACAAACTGAATATTTGTAGTGTCTTTTACTGCTAACAGCCATAAGAATACTGTGAGGGTCCGTGTAATAATGAGGATATTTCATAGCATGCTACCACCATTGGTTCTCATGATGTAATCACTTGAGAAAATGAAAACTGTTTGATATTTCAAATTTTACAATCTTGGACTATCGGATTAGTCTTTTGAAGTGAACATGGTGTTACTTATATATAAGCTATGGAACATCTTTTCCAACTATTTTGCTGGAGATAGCAACTAGCAATGTGAAATTTTAGAGGTATAATTTAAAACCTTAATACGTAGCTAATCAATAATTAAAACAAAAATCCATGCACTTAGATTACTATATAATAAATAAGTGGCGGTAAACAAATACTTGAACTTAGGTCATGCTGATCAAAAGTAAACGTTGAATCACTATGTGTACAACAACAAATGAATTCTAAAATATTTTGTTTGTTGGTGAACTCTCATTTTTCTGAAATAAGATTGCAATCGTGTATTTTTATTAAAGCGACTATGAATAAAATATTATACCAGGAAATAGTCTTATCAATATTTAGTCTCGTATGAAAAAAATAGGCAAAAGTGCTCTAATGCGTTAGCGATTGTTGAATTCCAGGAAGTTTATAGTTTAGAAGTCATAAAATATTCAAACAGTTTGCATTTCTTTTTGCATCCTCACGATCAGAGGTGGATAATTAAGATTACTTTTCATTGCAAATACTTTAAGCACAAGACATACAGGCAAACAATATTGTTTTCAATTAGATCTGCAGGATTTACTCTAATTTACAGAGCTTTATATATAAAAAGTTTAACCAATGACGGTGAGTTTATGGATCAGATAATAATGATAGTAAGTGTAAAATGTTATGAACGTCAGTAATAGCGAAGATTATAATGATAAGAAAATAATGATAATAAGGTTTATACAGGTGGCGATAAGAATAACGAAGGTAGTAATATATGCATATGTAGACAATTCAACAAATAAATTAGGTCAAACCTTAAAATTTACGTAATACTAAATATGAAGTTGGCAAATAATCAGAGTTTAAATAAATATCATAAAAATACGAAGGAAATGAAAAATAGGAAAGGGTGGGAAATTTCTGAAGATGAAATTTACTCAGGCGAGCAAGGATGAGACAAAAGTAGAACAAACTTCTTTTGTATGCAAAGAATAGGATTGTTCTGTCGAATTCCCATAGCTTCGGTTGTGTGTTGAAGGCCGGCAAATACTTTTACTCCTTTGTAAAAGGAAGACTGTACAGAAATACAAAGCAGATGTTAATATGTGAAAATGTCATGGAAACCTGACTACTGTGCTAGTGCATTTTGATTACGGATGAATGTTAAAATATTGCATACATGGGTAGAATAGTTGAGATATTGAGAAATACTAGTTTATTCTTTGCCTTTTTTATTTAAAAATAAAATGTTTTATTATCAATATAATGTATTCAAGAAGTTACAACAAATAACTATGTTTAATGAAACGCTCATTCACTAATTGGTAGTAAAAGTTTAATTCATTGCAGAATTGATCCCTCCTCAGTAATGTAATGTAAAACGCTTTGGCATTTGAAACGACGAATGTTCAGTAAGGTTAAAATTGTCAACAGCATTACGCACTGAGACATCTTTTATTGGGATCTTTTGCTTTACGCATTCCATTGGTTAGGCAGTTGGTTGATTTACCTGTATAAGTCATAGATTTTCATTATTTTCAGTATGTTCTGCAGGTTTTTAAAGCAGAAATCGTAATTTGTTACATTTATAATTTTGTTTAGAGAATTTCAACCATTGCACGACGAAATTCGGTTGCATTCAAAACTTCACCATAAAAATATTGTTCAGTATCTTGGATCAGTCGACCATGATGGTGTATTTATGATATTTATGGAGTTAGTCCCCGGAGGTAAGTCTCAGCATAAGGAAATATATTTTAATTTTTCAAGATTACAAATACAGAATGTTTAGCGTTCGCAAAATCTGATATTGTAGAGAACATCTATAGCTAGGAGGAATTCTGGAGAGATGCAAGTAAGAATCCCTAAAATAGAATTTTCAAGGTCGGCGATTGATCATTCCAACGAATACCAATAAACGGAAAATGTAGGTCTATAACTTCTTACAGATTGACTTCAACCATCTAACATCAATTCTAAATGCAGTGCGATAGGGAGCCACTTAGCTTAGTGACCATTTTACAATTTATACGGATACAATTTAGTCAGTAATGATATTAAGCTAACAAGAAATCGACTAGACCGTAGCAAACATTCAATAAACATACCGACTAAGCTGTTTATTTAGAAGGAATCTACCTGGACTGTTTCCGTATCTTGTCAAAAAGTGTCTGGTACGACAGTATCTTAGAATGAAACAAACTTTTAACATTTACAATAGTAACCAATAAAATATGTTCTGATTTAAATAAAGTTAGTTGTAAGTGTTTTTCGTGTGATGAGACTTAGTTCTTAAAATATTGTAAAACACCACATTAATCAATTATGTAGTAAAATTCCGTAAAATTTTACTATGCGAATTCCATATACTGTATTTAAATGTAATACATTTCATATCCCTAAATTTCTTACGTTGTAGCCAGTTGGTTTCTACGTAAGGTATCAGGTGCTCACATCCATTCCGTATAATTTCTTCTTTTTCAGCTTCCCTAACTTCTCTTGTATCGAAATATGGAGCTCTGAAAGAAGAAACAGTTGCAAATTATTCTAAACAAATATTGGAAGGCCTTCAGTATTTAGTAGGTTTTAGTATTCATAAAAGGTTACATTATTGAAAATATCTTTTTGAAACTGAAGACGTTACTTGCTCAAAGTCATTGAAAACATTATTAAAGGTTCTGATTTACGTGAACAGGGTTGAAAAAGTTCACTTTAATTTTTGAACAGTGAATACAGTGTAATTTGAAGTGGTGAGAATGTATTTTCAGTGAGTAGATAGTTACAGTTATACACCGATACATGATTACCTTGTTATCTTTGGTTTTATTCACCTTTTACTTTATTTACTTGTAATGATTAGGCCTTAAAATTATCATCAAAGTATTTTAAATACAACTAAGAAAACAAACGTTTCGAAGTGAGGTGAAGAGGGAAACACCAACTATCTATCTGGTTTAATTGAATTTAGGATTTTCTCGTCGATTGATTGGACCAAAGTGCTCGGTCTCAGGTTGACATGTCGGTCTAGTGGATAACGCTTTGGCGTTTGAAACCATGGCCACTGGGTTTGAGCCTCGCTGGGAACATCATCACTCACTGAGAAATGCAGGTACATCCAGATGACGAGTCCTAAATAGGACGAAATGCGCATCCTGGATTCCACTGCTAGTCACCATCCACCAATTAAATATCTATCTGGTTCTATTATGAATACTTTGACAGATATAAGCGCCAAAAGATAGGCGTCTTGCGATTTCTAGTTGTGTGTTTATGAAGGAGTAAATCTAAAGGAACATAACTCATTATCAGATGCATTAAAATTATCCATTTTATGGTTAGTAAGAACAGCAGTTATTCAGATTAAGAACGATTGTTAATTTATGATTAGGGCGTTAGGAATTTGAGACGAAACTGTTGAAAATAATGAGATATAGTCTCAAATCCTTAAGACAGAAAGAAATTAGTTAGGTTCTGCTGGTGTTTTGTCCTTCAGATCAAGCAACTGCACATGACATATGAGTTATAAGTGAATAGTTGACACCAAAATTATTAGTATTTTTGCTATTTTCAGAATGATTGTGATAAAGTGTATTTCATGCAGTCCATTCCGATAAAAAAACAAAGGAGGAAGATACTGTCATTAGGGCACTAAAGGTAATCATAATTGTTTATAAGGTTAGTGCTAAATGGTTTACTCTTTGTCCATTATTGATCAACTACTGTCATGCACATTTTAGCTCACTACTGCTTAAGCGTATTTACCAACCTCAAAATCGCCTGTATAGCTGATAGTTTCGAATAGGTCATCACTTATAAATCAGTTTTGATATTTTTTATACCACTGAATAATTTGCTAATTAAATTACATTTTTATGTATTTGTTGACATTTGCCCCTCAAATTCCAGCTGTAATAGCATGACTGAATTTATCCCTATTTAGATTATTTCACATTCTATATTATATATGTTTATTTTAATTATCACACCGTGATGTAGTATTAACAACTGGATTTCACATTCTACAAACAAACAGTGTAATAATTAGACTTTGTTAGCAGTAACACTCAAGTATACTGAAGTTCATTGGACTAACTTTAGTAAACATGTAATTTATCTGTTGCCAGGATGAACACTAACTATCTTATTGTGTATCTTAGAGACTGCTGTGAATTTAAATGTATCCATAATTTTGACTAGTTATAGTAATCTTTTATCCTACTTTAGCATGCTAACAGAATTATTCATCGGGATATCAAAGGAGATAATATTCTGGTCAATATGTATAAAGGTGAATTGAAAATTACAGATTTTGGGGCATCAAAACGATTAGCTGGTCTGGTACCGCGAGCACAAACTTTCAAAGGTTTGTATTTTTTATTCGAATACACTGCTAAGTTAACATTCTTAATAAGCAAACTTTTAAGTCATTTATATAAAACTAGTTTGCCGTGACGTATAGTAATCCATCTACTAATTCAAATAATTCCTTTACTGTCTTCAGTGATAAGACATTTAATTCATTTTAGACAGTAAAAGTACATCCAATGGTGTGTGACTGTGTAAAAAGTTATCATACAATGCCTGTCTATATTTGGCACGAAATGCTTTCAGTAACATAACAGGTGGCAGGTATGTTCATTACGGAATAATGCCATATAAATCTCCTCTCTCTTATTTCCATTTCTGTGTGGGTATTTTTTGTGAATATTTATTTCTAACCTGGTTCCTTTCACATAATTGAATGGCTTGATAACTTTTCCCTGCTGATAAAAATGAAAAGTCAGAAACATTATAGTATTACGGAGAGCTTATTGAAGAGTTTGAAGTGAAAATAGAAGAAGAACAAAGCTGTTTACTATCGCTGAGAACACTTCTGATTGTGATTAACTCGATCATGCAGCAGACCGTGAGTAGTAAGGAAACAAGAATATTTCGGATAGATGAGAAGACCCCTGGATTTCATGGATGACTTATGTTTAACCCAACAAATTCGAAGATTTACAAGTGAAATCCAACAGTTTGGCAAAGGGAAGCGCTAAGACAGAACTTCGAGTAAACTTAGAAAAAAACAGTAGTAATGAAGACACCCGAAAAACGACAACAAACACTAATCAAATTCGACTACAGATATGTCAAATGAATCACTTCTCCTGGGCAGAATCGTTCTAACCACGGGTAGCACGTATAAGGATGTTAAACCCAAAATCGGATCAGGGCGGCAAGACAGTTGTTCTTTACTCTAATATCAGTATCTAGATCCAAATCACTTAGCAGATGAGCCAAGGTCCGAATTCATAACATTGACGTGAAGTCAATGCTTCTGTGTCGTTCAGAGACTTGGTGCACGCATCACTGAAAAGATTTTTAACAAGCCACTACTGATTTTCTCCAGAAGACGCCTTCGCTTTATACTGAAGATCAGGTGGTTGCCCAGAAATGAAAACCAACAAAGAACTTTACTAGTAAACCAGTTAGGGACCTGTTTCACTATTTAACAAATATGCGAAAGGGAAAAATACGGATTCGACATACCTTGAGAACGCATTTGAGTGACATCACACGAAATACCATTTGGGTGGAACGGAAAGTGGAAACGACGGTTGTGTATCCAAAGCTGATGTGTTCAGGTTCATGCAGAGGTCGAATGAAAGATTAAGGGCAGTCGTATAGCCAGCTGTAGGTGGTTTCAGAGAGCCGACTGCAGTGGAGAAGTGCTGCTGAAGTCTTATGTTCCACTCCGAACGCAAGTAGCAAATTATTATCATTGATATATATATATATATATGTAAGAAAAATAAATAATGCTGTTATCGCAGTATCTTACCACTTGATCCAGGATATATTTTTATGCAACTTTTCATTTTTTATTTGATTGTTAGCCCAGATTAACGACCACTTTTGCAGCTGCTCTCAAGCGAGAACGGTACTATTTCATCTGATTTCTCTACATTTTAATCATTATAAACTCAAGCTGTGTGGATAAATCTACTGGAATAACAGTAAATAATCCAATGAAGAACTGTGTAGAACTTGGAAAGATAAAGCATGAGAAAACAACAAGTAGTGAACACTAAGGAATTCAGAGTTTCAGTAATTATTAGGTCTTTAAAAGCATATGTAAATAATGCTGAATACGAAATTTTCATTTTAGTGAGGACTACACACTTTATTCCTGAAAATATTTTAAAAATTCTGGCTGATTGATATTACATTTACTCTGATATTTTCTTAAGTTCTAGCTAACAAATCCCTCAAATTTAAAGCTTTTCTTAAGATTTCACACCATATATCAACATTTTTAGAATAATATCCTAACGTCAAAATTTCACGTTTTTGTGAATATATTTCCTGTTCTAGGTACAATGCGCTATATGGCACCAGAACTCATACGAGGTTCATGCGGATTTCCTGCGGATATATGGAGTTTCGGATGTACAGTAGTGGAAATGTTAACCGGAAAACAGCCATTCAGCGAGGTATGACACTGCATTTCGCGTACTAATTTAACTCAATATCTTTAGTTTTATTGGACATATAAACACTTCACTTATTATCGTATTTACTTAAGCTCTACTTGTAGACATGCAGGAAACACATTCACATTTGTAAATTGAAATTTACAAATTTCAGTCATGAAATTGCAGTTCATCTCGCATATGTTCTAATCTAAGTTTGAAGTGAAGCTGAAACTTATTTGCTGAGCATGACTGAATGAAACAGTTTGAGGGATTCAACATACTCATGGCTAATATTTTATCATGTTTACGAATTAAAGATAAAACTGACGTTCAGTATGGTTGCCAGTATCGATTCACATATCTTTTCATACAGAAATTGCTTTTATTTCAGCACTGAAATAAATAATATAACGAAAGTCCTAAAACAAGGCAAAATGTCTGGTAGAAATGAAAACAACTATGAACAAACAGACATTTTATTTAGCCCAAATGTCATTTATTATCTGTTTCAAATGTAATCTAAAAAAGTGGTCACCACTCTATAATATCATCTTTTTGAGTAAGGTGTGAGACGAAAACCCTTTTGCAGTCAACTGGTGAGGGGAAGGTAAAGTAAACTTTCGCAATACGTCATATTCTTATTTACTCCTTCCCCCACTTTTTAACACTACACTGCAATGTTAGAACCTTAAAGTTTTATAATAATTTTAACGATATCCTTCGAGTTAATGTCTTTCATGGCTAAAAATTCGAAAAAAAATTGAAGCTTTGATGACAACTACGGAAGTGTTCATACATTCTCAAAACTACAATCTCATTGCAAATTCATTTATTCCATTGAAGAATGAAAAACGTCGGTGTAATTTGACTGAGTTTTTCATAGTGTATGACACTAAAAAACACATGAAACATAAAATAATTTGAAAATCACTAATTTGATAGTATATTAAACTTTCCAGACTTTTAATGGAATAGGGATTCGATTGCCTAATGGTGTGCAATTTAAAGACAACTAATGATTAATAAAACCTTGATTATGGTAATTCTTCGATAAAATGATACAGGAAGATTTTTAACACCGGTCATATGCGTGTCTATATAAATCATAAGAGTAAGCTTGACGTAAGACATGACACTAGAAAATGCCTCAAACTCTGTTTACTGTCTCTATTTTAGATTTATTTTTACTTCCTTCAGTTGCTTTGTGTGCTAAGTGAAGTGTGGCGACTCGAACTGCTGCACATCGGTGCAAAGTTCTATGTTGATACCAGTCAGCCAGTCATCAGTCCAGCAAAATGGGAACATATTTTGTGAGGAGCAAAAAAATGACTAATTATATATATGCTTCAGTTTTTCATGTTCATTCCGAATACTTTACCCATCAAAGTGGATTTTGCCACTGATCGAAATCCTTTAAGAGACAAGTGAAAACCCAGGAGCACTGATCCTGTTTCTTCCTTCTATTTTCAAGCTTTTAAGCAGTTAGCACCGATAACCCCATTGAAGATTTGAAGTCGCTTTTTATTTGTTGACCAGACTTCACCATTCTTTCCCACTTTATTGATTTACCCGTTGTTCAGTTATTATCACGAATTAATAAAATCCATTTGTTAGTTTATTCTGATTTTCAGTTTGCACGAAAATCCTAATCATCAACCTTTTTGTATTTAATTTTGTCAAAATCAGCTTGGAAATGCAATGACCGCACTATATCGTGTTGGCATGGATCTACAACATCCTAAAATTCCAGATGGAGTTTCATCAGCTTGCAATAACTTCATTCTGAGAACATTTATTATAGAACCATCTAGTCGGGCTGATGCTAATGGACTTTTATCGGACCCATTTATTGAAGGGTAATTTATATTTTGCCAAGAAACAGAAGCCTTTATTAAATAATATAGGTTTAGTGTAGCATAAGTAATATTCTTTTTGTGTGCAATATTCAAGTTGTTTTTGAACTGTTAATAAGTTTAAACAGGCTGTAAAAATTAGCTTGAATGAACACCGAGAAATATGTACAATACAGTTAAGCAATGGTACATTGCACAGAAGTGTGGAATGATAGCTTTTCAGATTTTCTTAAGGTGATTCCACTCACACAACCTACTTATGAGTAGCAAAGTGTGTCACTTAAAAATAACAATGCTACACCTCATCATCTTAACGCTATTCCCCATCAAAAACATTATATACTTTTTGGAAAGAAGAATAAGTTTGGTTCATAATTCGTGATTCACAATATGAAAGTGGTTTTCATTTCTTGCACTAACACACTGTTGAAGTGAGTGGTGTTTATAACAGTCTTGAATAACCTGATCTATTTCGGTTTTAAGGTTGACTAAAAGTATCTTGAATTCACCGAATGATATACACTTTGTTATTCTGTCAAAATTGATAGTTATGAACCACAGATACTGCTATTATACTGCCACAGTACTTTTAAAAGCCATTATTAGGCTAATAGTTTTGAATATTGTTCCAACGGTGATGATGTAAGACAGGAGGCAGATTGAGTAACCAAGACTCCATACATTTGGTTCCCTTGATAAATTTTGATAGAGAAAGAAAGACCATATCTGCAGTATAAAGTGATATCATTCTAAACTGGTCTTTTTTTCTTTATCGTAACCAAGATTTGTTTTGTGTGACATATTATTAATAATCCCTTTAACTGAATAACTTTCAAATTGTTAATATTCATAATTTGAGTCAGTAATCATAATTAAATGACAAGGCCAAGAATACTTTTTCCGTCCTCCCTGACAGTAATACAATAAAAAATATCGTCTTCAATTGTAAAAGCTAAAACGTTCCCTGATGACGTGGAACTTTATAAAAGAGTGTATTTTAGAATAGTTGTACGTGAAGATTCAATAAAATTTTTGAAAGTGCAAGCAGTGATTGACGAGGGGCTACATTTATCAAGTCTGTTCCATTTTTGATCATCAGTGAAGTATTAGGACTTCTGAAGAAGGATGATGCTTTATCTGTTATCATAAATTAATAGAAGTTATTTTGTCATTTAACTTCAGCATTGAATATCTGAATATTGGTTTTTGTGGTTGTTCGCCTTCTTAGGCATGGTGTATCCAAAAGCTGTCTGAGCTAGGTGATGTAATCGTAATACTTTCGTTGTCATTCTGGTGAAAATCTTCAGCGCTCATTTCACATCACATTTTAAAAGACATTCACATGAATAGTCTCCCAGCTGAGTAGACTCATGCCTAACTTGGTTGACTGGAATAAAAATTAATTCGGAAAACTCTGCAACAATGAGAAATTAGTGTAAATTTCAAAATAATAATGCATTCCAATAAGAGTGACAAACTCAAGGCAGGCTAAGTTTTGGTATGTAATTTAACTGAATGTATGACATTTTGTAGGAACTATTTTTTTCCATTCACAACCGCTTGAATCATTTTACTGGATTTCGCTTTTAGATGTATTGAAATTTAAAATAAAATAAACTACACGTTTGTAGTATTTGCTTCACATAACTTTTCGAAAATAACAATAACACAAAAGATCCCGCATTGTATATACCAGTAAATGGGATCCAATATACTTGGTTATTTTCTCTTTTTAGTTATAGGAAAGTAAGACGGCGTAAACCTATGAAGTTAGCACAGTCTCCTGGTAAGTTACATTTTTATATCCTTTCTTGTTAAAGCTGAGAAAAAAAGAGTATGCGTGCCTATTTTGTTTGCCACCTTGTTACCTTCATAGTCTCTCCAAATCAAGCGTACTAAAAGCTTATATTAATTGTACAATAAGGTACAAGTTGATTAACCAAAGCCACTAATATTTTGAAATTAAGCAGCTAGTAATCTTCGATGAAATGAAGTGGAAGAAATCACTGTAACATTCACAATTATTCCAAGCGTCTTTGAAAAATTAGGATAGTTTTCACGGTCTTCATCTCAAAAAACCTTAACTAATGCCTACTTTCGGAATAATCTTGTCACAGTTATATTTCCGTTTCCTTTGTCATACTACTGTCTGCTTCATTAATAATGTAACAAAAATTTTGCCTTCGATCATATCAATATCGTGTAGGGAAAAAATTGCTCCTTGTTTAACATTCGAAAAGATAAGAGGTTTAAAAATAGGCATATTCCTATTGGATAAAGGTTTTCAAGATTTGACGAATAAAAAATCCATAAAAAATGTTTTACGTGACATTTCATTATTTTACAACATCATAGTTAGAGGTGAACATTAAAACTGGCTTGTAATAGTAGTAGAAGAAAGTAGGTTATGACATATAGTTAAAATATATAAATCTTGAAAATGATAGTACTTTTTTATCCAAAGTTGTGAATAAGTGCAGGCAATACCACCAAGCTTCGTGAGTTAAATGTTTGTAGCTTCTTTCAAACGCTGACTAGGTTTCCTGCACATTTTCAACACTGTTCAAACTAACAGCTACACTGAAAGTGTTGAAGTTTTAAAATGTAATAAAAAAAGAGGTAAAATATATATATATATTTGTGCAAACAAAATAAAGTTGAATGTAATAAATGAAAGCAAGATGATTCTGAGCCAACACTTGTTTTTGATGACTTCTTCAAGTTCAACAGTTATAAGTTCTCTGTTCAGCTTATTTTGAAGGAAAATGAGCAATTGATGCATATTGATTGAACTTTTAATATGAGATAAACGAAGTTAAAAGAACCGAAACTTCCCATGGAACAAGATATACCGCTAAAAAAAAATCAATTCACTTTAATGTGACACCATCAATATCAAAGAGTCGCATACAGTTCAAGTTGTTGACTTAAAATAAACACAATAACCGGATTTCAATATTAAACCCTCTAGAATAGTTGCGCCAGTTTATTATTATGTATCTAGATGTCAATTATGTTTTGATATTCCTGTCTGACAAAAGAAACGGAGTAAAGGAGTAAAGGAAACATAACATTTACTTGAAATGGTTTTGAAACAGATTTGGGTGGTATTCAAATAACTCGGCATTATAAACTATTAGTATGATTGTTCATAATTTCTTATTGTATAAATTGAAATCTGGGAGAAACTAAGTTTCAAAATGTCACCGATGAGATTAAGTAATTTACTTGTGAACTTACATGTACATTTTGTGTAAAACATTACAGATAGTTACCGGCCATCACCTGGATTTAACCAACGTGAAGGTTTACCATCTGAATCATATCTACGGTAAATACACTTGAAATTTATTGTTTATTTACCTTATTTAAACAGTATAATATCATATTTATGCACATATAAATACACGAACAACTTTTAAAGAATTCCTTAGGGTACACTGAAAGTGTATTCCGTATCTTTTTGAAGTATTTTTCATCCTGTTCGTGGATACTTTTGATTTTCACGATGTTAAACTGACTGGTTATTGTAAGCGTAAAATGTCTGCGAGTAAATGGTCTGATTTAAGGATTCCATTGCCAGTCACTTCTCAGTATAATACTTTCAAACCCATCCCATCAATTAGTAGTGCATCGTAAACTGGAGAAGCGAGGAAATTGCCTCTCCTATAAGAATAATCAGTGGAAGCATTCAAATAGTTTGCATAAAACATCAAGTTAAATTGTTAATATATACTCATTAACTATTTCAATATTTTTAGACTCACAAGAAGCACACAATGTAACTCCCACCCGCAAACTGAATTCAGCTTATACCGATTGATGAATAACATCTTCCAGATAAGTGATTCCCGAAACAGGTAACAAACTAACCAGTTAGAGTTTTGTGAATCATTACTACACATTTACACAAATGACAGTGTTATTGAATGCCGATATACATCTAAATTACATCTAAATATGAATGCGTGCTCAGTGTCAATTCCTGGCAACATATTACACTAATTCATTCCAAAATACTGAAATTATATACTGCCTTGATAAATATATAACACGATTTGCAATCTTTTTTTGTTAATTTTATTCAGTTCAGCATGAAATCATTCATCCTTTACCTACATTAAACATGCTTGCAACACGTGAAGTTCGAATATGATTGATTAAAATCTACCACACATTATTATAACTATTACTATTTAATTTGTAGGAGTTAAAAGTGAATAAAATGTTTTTCTATAAAACGAATGATTATATAAGACATTTTAGATGTGTAAATCCCTCTTAAAGAGGAGGAAGATTTACTGACGAATTTGAGCGAAATTTGTCGAATTTATATTAGTTGGACAGCTTAGAAATCCGACTAAAATTAGAAAACTCACATAGTTATATGTTCAACTTCCAGATTGTCTGATGAAAATGTATTAGAACTGTTCTTAGGAATAATTTAAAATCTCTACTCAAAAGGAATGTCGACTTCTTAGACATATTTTCCTGTTCAGATTGTACAGATTTAAAAGATACAGATCATAGGGATGTCATTCAGGTGACATTTAATCAATAAACTGGTGTCCAATCGTATTAACCTGCTTCGATCCAAAAGGCTTATGATCATTATAAGAAATTTCTATGCAATATATAAAAGTGGTAATCCCATAAAGGTATCACTAATCGTAATACTCTTTACTTGTTGGTCATTTGTTCTGATTATAGATCACTTTCGAATACATCAAATCGCTCCTATTCACCGAATTCTCAATCGGAAAAATGTAAGTGATATGTGAGCTAACAAAAAATTAATATTTTTCGAGTAATTATTATTCTACATAATTCCGTAATGTTTTATTAGAACAAGGAAATGACTATTATATTCTACTAGTTTCTGATTTAAAGTGTGAAACATTTTAAGCCTAAAATGCAATTACTCAAGTGAGTAAAGCATGGTCGACTACTGTTCGGCGTTGAACGTGCCAGTAAGAAAATGAATGCCTTTTACACAAGCATAATAATAAAGGCTCAAAATTAACGTGATACAATTATTAAAAGTAGTTTAGAAATCTTTACAGAATCACTGTAAATAAGAAATTTTGTTAAAGTCAGCTTACTAAAGCTGAAGATTATTTTAGTTGTCTATGCATAATCTAGGCTAACTGCCTCACATCCTGTAGTGTTCAATGCATATGTTTGATTCTATCAATCTATCGTATGGTTCGAAAGTGAAACAGATGGAATAAAGCAGAATTATTTTTGCCGGTGTCATTCCCCCTATCTTTACATAGTTTCTAAACGCATTTAAAGCGGGACTTTAAGTTATAATTGATTTAACCTCTAAATATGTCCAACTAGTCTGCAGGTGTCTTACGACGTCAAACATCCCAAGCAAATTTAAGCTAAATTTTGTGTGTGACACTTTTTTTATCTGAAGAATACTTTGTTTCTACTGCATGTCAAGGATGCAATGTATAAATATTTGTTTTTCTTTTATCTATAATCTCTAAAATTCCTACTTGTTAACTCCTGTCGGCATTAATATACGATCTTGAGATAGGTATAATACTTGGGTACTATGGTAGAGTATAACTCCATCATAGATAAGATTTTATTTAAATAAATCACACAGTGTTGTACAATAATATTAACTGATGACATTTCGAGTACAAATTGTTGCTCATAATCATATCATGTCACCCACTTGATATGATTATGGTTTGTGCTCGAAACGTGGTCATCAGTTAATATTATTGTACAACACTGCGTGATTTATCAAAATAAAATCTTATCCATAATGGAATCTTGAGGTAGGACTTGAAAGATATTTTAGCGACCACCTTGTCTTTTTACATCGTCATTAATGGAAAGCAATAAGAGATACCGTTACAAATGCATAAAATATCATCAATCAATGCTTATTCGACAAATTGGAAGACTAACCCAAATATTGAATTTTCATGCTGTGGTAGTTTCATTGTCAATGCTAATTCGTTTCGAGTAAACATAATAAGCTATCACAAATAAATATTCAGACATATTTTCATAGTACCAGCATATCTATAGCTTGTATTTTTCACTTTACCGTTTTGTTTGTTTTTAAATTTCTACTCTACTACATATTTGAAATAAAAATTTAGGCATAGTAACGAAGGACTTTGACGTCGTTCAAATCCTACACAGATAAAAAAGCTAGTTATATTTGAACGTTGTGAAATGTACTAACTGCTTGCGGTATGCTGCATGGTATTCACATACATTCAGACACAGTTAACTCAGAGTATTTCATGGGCTTACTGGCAGATCTGATATTGCAAGCTATTTTACTTGTAAACAGATAGCGACCTACCACTTTATTACACAAAATTTCTACAAAAGCTGAAGTTCCACGTTATCCACAATATTAATCCGTGTCGACATAAAGTGTTTTTCTAGTTTAATATAATATACTAATCACATCATCTGTGTATGCCGAAATGCGTAGCCGGGCTACGGAAATATCTTAAAGCTTATTTAATAAACGACTCTGTTACGAAGTGAGCGATTAGGTACTCACTTATTATGATGAAAAAATGATCAGTAAATATCAATAAGTTATCATTTTAAAGTTATTCTGAAAAAAATTACACTTTATCCTTTTGCTACATTTATGTTATTCCTCCGACCTCAGGTGTATGGATAGTTACATCTTAGTCCGGAAAGCTTTCAACTAAAGCTTAATTAATTATGAAATATAATACGTGAATAATTCTTGTGTTTGCACTCCTCTGAATACACTATTCAACTAAATAAACATAATTCTATTCTATTTTTAATAAAATTCTGATAGAGTAATCATTTATATATCTTCGATACCTTGAAAAGATGATTACTATTTAACAGCCTATTTTTGTTTGTTTATTTTTTAAAAGCTACATGGGGAAGTAAAAATATTCATTTAATAAATGTTAATAATAATAATGATATTAATAATAATATAACAATACTGTCAGAGGGAGACAAATCAGATAATGATAACTTAATAATATCATCGATTGAATCTTTTCGACGATCAAACGGATCAGGTAAATTAAACTTTTTATTTTACGACACTGTTGTAATTATTATCACCATTCAATTAATTTATAGATTTATTGACAGAGGATAAAAAGAACGCTGAAGATGTTGCCTTGTCAAACAAAACAAATCACCTGGAGAATCCAGAGACAAAAGTGGAAAAGGTAATCATACCACCTGTGAACGCAACACAAGTTCAAACAAACAAGTCATCTGTAACTAGTTCATCTATCGGACATTCAGAAGATCCCTTCAATTTTATTAAACAGGTAATTTTAAGATTTATAACTTTTAATAAACTTTTTCTATGAAATTTTATGTGTACTCACAGCTTAAGGCTCTAAATATCCACTGATGATTTTAAAACAATTTTCTTATCTACTTGTGAAAACATACTGATTTCTATCCCTCTATCCATGATTAGGATCTTCATAGTGCAAATATAACATTTTCTGAAGTAAATTGCATGAAAAGACATTCATCAAGATGCTTTCATGATTCGACAATATAAATGATGAAAAACTGGTCATATTCAAGGAAACAAGCTAATATATCATATGCAAGAAACATCTTTCATTGTTTCTACTACTAAATCTCATAAGGACACAAAACCATTTTGTGTTTTCTGAATTATGAGAAACGATTTCCTATTTACGGAACAATACTCATCTATTGAAATAACATTTCCATATAACTTGTAAGAGAGGATAATGTGTTCTTTTTATGATGTCCAACTAAATCATCAGTGCATACTAAAGCTCACAGAATTTTCAAGGAGTATCCAAATTACCGGGTTACTGAAATGATCTAACACCAGGAAACCTAATCGATTGAAAAGTCAAAATGCCTATACCGAGGGGTGTGTGTGAGAGAAACAATAAGTGACAAGTAACAAATATACCTATTACTTAAACTAAAGTCATTATATTTCTTTGCTAGCAGGCAAACCCACTAAAAGTCTAACAATCATTATTATTTTCTTAGTTCCTAGAGGAGCAAAGGGCTTCAGCCTCCCGTCCCCAATGCGTTCAGTTCTCCGCCAATGTTTTCACCTTGCTCTACGTCTTCCCATATGCCTTCATCTCCTCTTCGCATCACCTTCTCCATGTCATCATCGCACTGACGACCAACTCGACGCTTCCTATTCGGGTTCCACTCGAGCGATGGCCTTGCGTGTGATGTTACTTGATGGTTTTCTCATAGCATGGTCAACCTACCTCCATTTCTTCATGCATATTTGTTGCACAATCGATTCCTGGTTGGTTCGCTACTCGAGATCCCTGTTTCTGATATTTTCTGACCGGCCATTTGATTTTGCATTATGAGCGAAGACAGCTGTTGATGATGTTTTGTATTTTGCTCTAAGTGCCTTTCGTGACATGGCACCAAGTGTCTGATCCGTATAGTAGCAGTGATTTCACAATAAAGTTGAAATTCTGGATCTAATTTTTCATGCTGAGTGCTGTTGACCTCCACACAGACTTGAGAGAAATGAAAGCTTGCCTTGCTTACTCGATCCTCGCTGCTTTGATATCCTCGTCAGTTCCGTCCGCCTGTAGTTGAACCTATGCTTCTCAGGTCAGTAGGTAGGTAAAGGTGATTGCTTCTTTCAGTTTTCTCTCATTTATGCTGTTTCTCGTTGCTGCTGCTGACCATGAATCTTCATCACCTCTGTTTTCTCTATATTCACCTGAAGGTTTATCTTTTATACTTCTTCTGCCAACTTGCTGCTTTTCACTTGCATATCCTCCAGTTTGTAGGAGATCAGAAGTATATCATTGGCAAAATCTAGATTCTCTAAGATTTTGTGTGGATCCATTTTATGCCTGCCTTCTCATTGACCATTGTCTGTTTGTCACATTATTCAGTCTACCGCAATCAGGAAAATCATTGGCGATAGTAGGCAGCCAGCTTGTCTTACTCCCCACTTCACGTCGAAGGATTCCGTGAATTTCCCGTTGTGGATTACTTGGCGTGCAGTATTTTCGTATAACCGTTGGATGAGGTGTATAATTGTTGGTAGCACCTCGTAGTAGCGAAGTAGTTTCCAAATCACCTCTAGGTCTATGCTGTAGAAGGCCTTTTCTAAGTCAATAAAGTTGAGATAGAGAGGTGACTACCATTCCAAACTCTATTCAGTGATGATCCGCAGTGTTGGAATTAGATCGATGCATGACTTGTTCCTCCTGAATCCAGCCTGTTCCGGTCGAAGTTTTTCATCCAGGGCTTGTTTGATTCTCTCCAGGATGATGCGGCTTAGTGTTTTGCTTGAGATGAACAAGAGCATAACGCCGCGCTACTTCTTGCATTGGCTCTCCTTTCTTTTACAGTTCAAGTAGGTAGCCTGAGCTCCAATCCGTGGTTACCTTGCCCTCTTTCCACACCTCTTCCAGTAGTGGTGTCATCAAGTCCGCTGATGTCTTTGGGTCCATTTTCAGTGCTTCTGTGGTGATTTCGTCTGGTCCTGCTGCTTTTCCAGTTTTTTGCATCTTTATAGCCCTTAGGATTTCTGCTTTCGTCGGAGGGCTGATGTCCACTGGTAGTTCTGCATCCACTGTTGGTATTATGGGGCGCGTTGTAGGTGGTCGATTTAGAAGTCTTTTGAAGTGTTCAGTCCAGTGTTTTTCTTGCTCCACCTCTTTGGTGATTCACTTTCCATTGTCATCCTTCACTGGCTTAATTTTTGTTGAACTTTTCGCCGAGAGGAACCTAGTTCGGTAGAGTGTTACGATGTTTCCCTGGCACTCTTCTTTACTCCTTTGTTCAGTGTATTGTAGCTTGCGTTCAACTTCTGTTTTTGTTGTTTGTCGATGCACCGGATAATCTTTTGTTTCAACATCCTTCTCTCTTGTGTTAATCTCCATGTGTTCTTAGTGAACCACTGTTTGTCCTGTCTCTTCTTCGTGCCTAAAACTTCCATGCATGTTTAACTCAACACTGCTTTCAGATTGTTCCAGTGCTTTACAACGCTGGTCACTTCACTAGTGTTGACTTGTGTCTCCTTTTTCATTATGACTACAGTGAAGATGTTCTTTGGGGCCAGTCTTTGCGTATTGCACTTGGCTTGTGGTCTATCTGCAGCTCATACTTCCTTGAAAGTTTTAATTTGGTTTGGAATATTCCTTGCACGAGAAGCGACGTCTGCCTCCCTTCTTACTTTTGTTTTCAGTAAACAGCATCTTCACTTCCTTGAGCACCATTGAGATGAAGTCAATTTGGCTTTTGGTTCGTCCGCCTGGTGACACCCGTATAGACTTGTAGATAGCTTAGTGCTCTTATACGCTGCCACCAATCACTAGTTTATTGAAAGCACAGAAGTTAGCGAAGAGTCCTCCATTTCCATTCATTTCTCCGAGAGCTTCTCTCCCCCTGATGAGCTCTATTCCTGTGTTGTCTGATCCCAGTTTGACGTTCATGTCTCCCATTAGTATTTTAATGTCACCAACTGGAGTATTGTCCATTGTTGCCTGTAGTTTTCAGTAGAACTCTTCTTTCTTTTCGAGGTCTGCGTTGTTTGTGGGTGCATAGCATTGTATAACTGTCACTCTCCTTCCTTTTGAGTTGAATCTGTGGTCATTATCCTGGGCGAGATTGCCTCCCATTGCATCAGGGCCGTCGTTGCCGTTGGTGACATCATGATAGCCACACTCTCTTTGTGCTCGTGGTTGTCTTCTGGGTGACCGGAGTAGATCACTGACTCTCCCTTTGAAAATTTGGAGAGTCCACTCCCATTCCATCTGCTTTCACATATTCCCAGTACTTGAATACCATATCTCTTCTTCTCATTCGCAATCTGGGCAACTTTGCCAGTCTCATACATAGTGTGGACTTTCCATGTTCCCACGCATACGTTATCTTTCATCACCAGGAGACTCATCGTGCTGAAGTTTCTGTAGCAGTTTTCTCTACAGGGTGGGGTTGCTAGCCTCACACCCGAGAAGGGAGTTGTTACATAGAGATGTAAGTTACAGAGGAGCGATTTTCTGGGTTGCTACCTTTAGAACCAGGAAAACAAGAAGTAAAGCGATTGGAACCAAAAAAATCAAAACAGGAAAAGCAGCGACAACAACAGCAAAAGCTGTAGCAGAAGTATCACTGTCAAATACAATTACCAAAAATAACGCGTAAACCAGAGACTCACTGACTTGGGCATGTGAATTTAATACTCTATACAATTATAGATATTAGTTATTTATAAGTATCGGCTCCATGTGTTTAACAGTCACAAATTGGCAAACAGTTAGTTGCAGGTAGTAATAATCAACAAGATTATATGCACATGATCAGTGTTCGATAGTAAATCAATTACAATAAACTCTACCACTTCCTGGCTAGAAACATCAGGGAAATGAGAGTTTGCTGCAACTAAGCAAATCAAAAGTCTATCAAACTGTTATGAAATGAAAATAATCAAACATGATTACACACTTGACCATAAATGCTTCAAACTGTTTCAACTGATACCTAATTATTGTATGCATAATGCCTCAAAGCTGTAATTTCATATTAATTTTTTATTGGATACACGATTCCCTGAAGTAGTATCATTTAATGGACGACGTTTCAAACAAAACTTATTGTTCGTAATCACATATGTTGATATCTTTATAATTTATAACCTTATTTTAAATGGCTTCTAGCCAGTTTATATATTGTTTTAAAATTACTTACATGTTCCGGAAATGCTGTTACAGCTTTTCAATCAGTGTAATCATCTGGATTGTTTGCATCATTCCTTTGCGGTTCAGAAATAGGTCAGACTTAGTTGTGAAAATAGACTTTCATGCCATCTTCAAACCGAAATTAGCCATATTGTGAACGATAAGCGATGTAGTATATAGTCTACATTTCATTTTATTTGCTAACCATGAACCTTAAGAGACTTAGATCTTCATTTCGAGAAGATTTCCGAAGATGCTTTTTAGAATGATGAAGAATTTAGAAAACCAAAAGTATCAATCACAACCAATATATCCATTCACTTTCTTAAACTTCAAAGCTAACAAGCCTAAGGCTGAATGCTTTAAGATAGCTGTCCACTAAAATAAAGGATAATATTACTTTTTCAGTAGTGATCATTTGAAACCAAATGTTGATCGAAATATTTTGAGTTTTAAATGTCATGATGAAAAACGCGTTTTACAGATCATTAAATTTCACTCATCTTACAGTTTATAAGATCATAGAAACATCTTTCTCATACTGACCATAATGTCTGAACGTTACAAAATATCCCAACAGTCCTTGAAGCAGATGTCGTCACATAAAAACTGGAATAACAACTCATGTAAATCTGTATGAAATTGTAACAAGAACATACAAATAATTACAAAAAATAGTCTGTCATTGATGCTTTGTAAAATTACGTATACAAAATAGTGTATGGAAATGAAGATTAAAGATGAAAATGCAAACCGAGACCATATTCAGATTTCTGAACATGTTCCAGAAAACCTTCCTTCAAGTCTATCTAATGTCTTATGCGGCTAATTATCTAAAAACTTTCTAAACGCCAGACACCTGGAAGATTTTTAGAAACACTGACAGAAGAAAAAACCAAACTAAACCTTTCTTTCCTTCACTTACTGGTATTGCCATAAAAATGTCTGAAACCTGGTAGATATGTCTAAGAGAAATTTGTTTTCAATATTCACATACCCTAATAACTTTATTCTTGATTCCCATCAAATTATGTATTTAACTGAGCAGGGATTATATATGATTTTCATGTAAACTTCTATAATTTCCAAGTTATGCAAAACGTTTTGATAACAAGATGTGCTTGATAATACGACCCCATATCGAACACTTTTTTGTCTTCACTGTGAAATTATTGGTTTCTTCCAAATGAACTAAAATATGTTGGTCGTCTTATTAGAATCTGATGGAACACATATTGTACATTGTACTCAGCTGAAGATAACTAATAAATTAAATTATTGTATTCTACTCCAATGTTTTTCCTTACTTTTTTGAAACTTATAAAGTTGAATGTCTGCGCGCTATACCATAGACGTATTCATTAACATCTTGAATCCATAATCTTCTCCGAAGACACTGTTTTCTTTACAAAGATGTCATGGCTTTGATTTATTAAGACATTCAGAAAAATTTTGTCTCTCATGGAGTGCGACTGTTTTTAACTGTCTATCGAGTTTTACTGGTTAATTCATTGCAAAAATCTGGATTACTGACGAGATACGGAACTTCTGAAATCGGAGACACTTAAGAGAGTGTGACAAGAAGAGGATATTTCTGAGTGTATTTCTTCTTTACGCAGTAATCTGTCAAATAAATAATGCTTCACTTTCCTTCTTTGTTCAGGATTCTGAAGCCAAACGACGTTTATCAAATGCATTAATCTCAGAAAAGAACTCAATACTTGATGCATGGATTGATATAGTTTCTAGATGTGCGCCGTCAGATGCTTCAGTTAAAATCAAAGAAATTATTACAGATGCAAATAAACAAGGAAACAACTCCAGAGCTATTTCTGATTCTAATAATAAAAATGAAAAGCAACTCTTAGAGGTAAGTTACTCTATTTCAGTCACAGTGCTATTTCTGTTTACAAACATATATCACAGATGAGATTATGTATATCAGGCCAATTTTATGTACGTGAATCCAGTATAAAGATAAATAAAAGTCACAAATTTCAGCTGCAATCAACGCTTGGTTCAAAATAATTTCTACCCAGTAAGGTCTTTATGTTATCTTTCGAACTTTTTTCATTGACTTCCAGTATGCTTTGTATGCGAATAGGTGACATTTTTTGCAGCATGTTTATGCAAAACCAAGAATACCTAACATAAGCATCTGTTCAACTGCACTAAGTAACGTATCTATTTTTCATGGATAAACTTGCAAGTTTAGTTATCGAAGATGTGAAAAGTTGCACACCTTTTAATTTTTAGAGAAAAAATCAGAATAGCATTTTGGTAATTAGTATTCGGAAATTTTTATTTCATTAACATACAAATGTACATGAAATCAGTCCAGAAGGACAATCTACAAATGTGTCACAGTGGATTGTGTAAAACACATATAATTCGACCACTAATCCTTTTATCTGCCCGATTAAGAGGTGAACAAACAGGCTTCTTTGTGTTGATTTTGTATGTACTGATGTTAGCTATAGATGAACATATTTATGCACAAGAAAGTCAGTTAATATCAGTCAGAAGTAGAAGATTTATATAAACATATATGTATATGTCTGTATTGACTGTATTACATGTTTTTTAAGCACATGTTATTTATTTTATAACTTTCTTAAGATAACTTCTTACATGCTAGTCTGGTATGAAAAAGCTTACAACTGCGTAGCTCATATCAGAGATAACCAGTATGCTATTTCAGAGATACTATTTCGGTTCGCAGGAGTTTTGTTTACACAACTTTGACTCTTTTTAGGCACTGTACTTAATCTTTACATTTATAAGGCTTTATGTGGAATTAAAATGGAATAGATAGATCTGTCAGGAAGATCAATTCATGCCACTTATCCACCAAAACTTCGGTTGTTGGTATATGTCATTTAAAAGATTTGGCTGCCTCAGGATGATCACTGATGAGCCGGTTAACAGTTAGGTCTGATAGCTAAACAAGTAGAAAACCAAAATTTTGGACGTTTTTAGTGACCCCTATGTAGTCACTGTTTACATATTTCTTTTTAATTTATGATCGTTTTCCTCCACTTAGTATACTGTGTTTTTGAATTATAACAATTTGTAGTCATAAAGTTTCTTTCCGCTTTTTACCTCTATCTGTCTGTTATAATAAGAATGATGAGCCAGAGAATAGCATGTCATTTTTCCTTCTTTTAATGTCATTTACCTTCTTGTGTTTTGACTTACCATTTTTTATAACTACCATGTGACTGTGTTGGAGGGGTGTATAACTGAAATTTAAATACCGACAGTCACCTTATTGTATACTTACTGAGATAGCCTTACTGGCCTTCACTTGTGAGACTGACTGGCATAAATAATGTAAAATATACAATCGATGCCTGAACTATTGGATTGACTAAGTGGAAAGCAAGAGTAAAGGCGGTTAATAAACCAAAGCCTGAAATGTAACACCTGTTGTATAACTCCAAATGTATTCTATTCCAAAAAAGTTGTAATTAATTAGTTGACTTTTTTTATTACTCATTCACAGTAATACTGTTTTCAAATTACCCTAATCGAAGATTACTGTGTCCACTAGATCAGATAGAGATAGAGATACTGATGATTATTAGTTGAATAAGCAAGGAGATTAGAGGGAGTCAACTTATGTACCTCATGCTCCTCTGTTATTAAATTAGCTTACGTTTATTACTCTATCATCTTTTTACATGTTTAGGAATACTGTTAAAAGAAATTTTATTAGTAGTGCGATTAAACAGTAGTCAAAATGACTGTGTGTATTCAGGTTTCTTTGTGTTTATCCATTTATTTTTTTTAATGCACACTTCCTCATACAATCAATTTTCCATCTTTTTCACATAGCAGTGTTTCAGAGAACTAAACTTCTCCAATCAGTAACTTCACGCACACCCGAATTTCTTACTATAGCCCTATGATTGTTATATATATATATATATATATATATATATATTACTCAATAGAAAACAGGTTTCTGTTAGCTAACTCTGATGTCTTCCTACTAACGATTATGATGATTTTTTAAATATTGTTTTGAAATATGGGATTTGAATTTCCTTTTTTTGTAATAAATGATTCGCAAACTGAAATCACAATTTAAATTTACAATAAAGGCGTTTTCCATACTGACAAATCACTGGCTACCAAACTGTTTTAGGCTAATCTGCCACCATCTGATCGGATTATGTTGGCCACTTTATTAACTTTGTGATAATGAAAGATATACCAGTTACTGATTACTAATAAATATTCTACTGTGACTGCTACTCCATGAAAATTTAATGACATGCTTTCCCTGCTTCAGATATTCACTGAAGATGATGATAGTACTGTCTAGCGAAAAGGATTCAAAGACTGTATTCTGCCTATCTGGTGAATATATTAAAACTAGGTGCAGGAATTGTTAATAAGCGTCTACATCAGTTCAAAGCTATGCATGAGTAGTCAATAAAAGGAGTACAGACAAAAGTCTTCGTTCCTAAGACAAATTTTAAATAGACTTCTCAAAGAATATTACTTTGTTTAGCACTATTCTTAATGCGTAAAATCTCCTTGTACACTTATTATTTTAGTGTATTTTGGACATGATTATCGACAGTTTGAAAGGCGGAATATGCTGGTCACAACTTACCAATTATCTTAAAATTCCAGCGAACAGATGTACACCTGAAGGCTTAGCTGAAACTTCCAATGACACAAAAGACAAAAATCAAATAATAAAATCACCAAGTTTTAAACGTCATTCAGTGACAGGAGAAGATCTAGGAGGAAGATTTTTAAAACTTTTGCATGCATCAAAAATTTCCGAACAAAACAATGCATGTCTTCCGGTAGGTACACCACTGGTTTGCAATTATCTACGAGTAGCATTAGCGGCACTCCCAAGTGTTATTGCCGCACCTCTTCTACGTCAGGTAAACCGTCCACATGAAGTATTAGCATGGGATAAATTGATCAAAGATAGTATAACCTCTGCAACTAATCAAATCAACAGTAAGTCATTATCAGCGTATGTATAACTCTTAATATTATCACTTTTATTCAACCTTAAATGTATCCCTACTTGGATTCACTTAAAAACTGTACAGGAGTCACCATATGTTTCGTTAATTTTTCCGTCAGCTCGATAGTTTAAACTAAGAGAAAATGGATACCATCAGGGATCTATACAAAAGTATAGCAGAGAAAAGGGTAAGAAAGTAAAACACCCAACTATAGAAAACAAGAAAGTGTTTATTTGTCTCCCATTCACAGGAGATGCAGTGTCACAAAAGATTGACGAAAGATTTATAGGTGCAATAAAAAGAAGCTTCCCTGCAGCTAAACTCATAGCATTATACAGCACCACTTCTACCATAAACCACTCAAAACTGGATGAATACCCTGCTGATTTCACCTCCAATTGCGTTTATGAATTTACGTACACTTGTGGGAGCAAGTACACTGGAAGGACGGAAAGAAGTGCTTCTATCCGGTTTTCTGAATATATTCCAAGAAAGCTGTGCCTGAATGGAAGCAGATATTCTCAGAGTGCAGTTACCAAACATATCGTCGATACCGGACATCTCGTAGAGACAAAAGACATCAAATTTACTTCCATTTGCCAAAGCGATCTCAATCAAAAGATTCAAATCAGACTTATGCATGCAGAAAGAGAGTGTGATTAATCTCTCACTCCCTTGGTAACTGAATTTTGATTACATTAATTAGTCATGTAATTCAGTGTTCTCAACTCACTGAGCAAATCTCAATCTTATAGACTGTAACCAATTTTTTGGAGTTGCTGTGTGAACCTACAAGCTAGCACTGTTCGTTAATTTTTTCCGCTAATTATTCCTCAGTCACAGGACCAGACGAATATAAAATAAATGCGGAAATGAATTACTCATTTACAGCTGTCTTCCTTTTGATATCTTTCTTCGAATAATCACGTGAAAAGAAAACTGATTTTAGAATTTGCTAAGCTATAAAACAAAAGAATTTTTTCTATAATGTGATCATCAAACTGTATACTAGTGTGCAAATGTTATATTTACTTAACTGGGAACAAATAAGTAATGCATATTAAGATGTTTCAATAACATCTGGTCAAGATTTACAATGTTTCTCTTTTGATCAAATCTCCTCTAACCAACTCTTGAAAATTAATAGTGTTCCCACTTTTCCGAAAGGAAATATTAGTCATTACTAACAAATTCTGTTTTATTTTACCATTTCAGATGTAGCCCCAATGAATTCAGTCCATTTACGTCGTCACCAAACATTCTCAACTCATCATAATCGCAGACTAGTAAAACAAATCACTACAGAAGCTGAACTTGGTTCATCAACATTTGTTCGTTCTACAAATCCCTCAAGCCGACCTTTCACAATGGATCCAACATCGTCTAGTCTATACTATGCTCAAAACGACTCAATTCTAGATGAAGTAAAGAAAAGCACAAAAGGTTTATCTTTATCCCAAAAGTCATTGACATTTTCCAATGAAGTAATCTTTGAAGAACCGGAAGAAGCTAATCAGTCTAACAGAAGAATTGTAAGCACACAGTCAAATCCTCTCTCCTTTAATGGTAAATCTAGAACAAGTAAAACACTAGATGATGGCTTCACTTACGAGACATCCGCTGGCGGACTAATAGAGAAGTAAGACCAGTTATTATTTTACTTATTGTAATCATCAGTATACCATTTTTCAAAGGAAAATACATTTTACTATGACAGTGGTTTAGTGCACAGTCTGTTTAGAAACCTTAGCTGAAGAGTGAATGCATAAAATACTATTGTATTAAATTAAATATTATCAATACAATTCGACATATACCAATATACATATATATGTATATATAAAATAAGATTTTAAATAAGCCTATATAGGTTCAAAGGTTTCTTAAGACTTGTTTTATCCACTAAACCAATAAGTGGCATATCGTTAAGTCAACCGAATATATCTCAAAACAATCATGTTCAAGTCTTTCTTTTTGTTTTTCTCGTAAAAAAACTGTCTGAATATACCAACAAACAGTAGACAATTTACATTTAATCAATGAATCAAATATGCAAGTGATTTCTAGTATAAGATTATTGATAAAACACTTGGAACACTGAAATTCGATACGCATGAATGTATGAAATTTTATGCACATAATCATACTGTTTCAACTCTCAAATTACGTACGCACTCATATATATATATATATATATATATATATATATATATACAGACAACTGAATAGACAAGCTGTTCAATTCAATCCTTCGTACATTTATTCACTGTAAAAGAATACAGATGTCATGTGTAGATTAACTTAACGACCTTTGTCTATTATCAAAAAAGAGAATATAATCCAGATCAATCGATAACAATATTTGTCTATAAAGTGGTAAATTTTCTTTTTCACTCAACTGTCATAAGTTCTTATTAGCTTTTTCCTAGTTGTTATATTTATCAACTTGGTTTTTTTCTCATCTCTTTTATATAGTACATTTTCTTTTCTTATCCAGCTGACTTGTACTTTGGGCCTTTCTTCTCCTCTGTCTTTGTCATATATGTGCACCTGTTATTTATCTAGATAGATTATTGTGAATGTTTATATCCTGCGTTATCCTGAAAATTGAACTTTGATCATCTGTGAAAAAAGTAGTGCACGTTACACAGCTTGCTATGGAAACAGGACCAAACATTCAGCCTTTCCATAATGTTAGAAAAAGGGGTATTCGTCAACTTCCTGTTGTGTTGTGAGTGGAAATATTCTGTATTCTGCTGAATCTTGTTACTAGTCTCTTGGCTTTTGGAATCATAAGCAAATTACCAGGTGTTAAAACGTTAAGTTAGAAATATCTCGGTCATGATGAAACTCGACTCATCAGCTATTGTTGTTCTTAGTTATCAGGTAGGTGGAATGTCAGGTAACTTGAGTTAGAAAGCTGTAGCTTCTTCATATAGGAAAACACTGAGAAAGACACAAGTTCAACGGACCAGTTAGTAAACCAAATGGATGAGTGTATGATCCAAATTCCATTAGAAATAAATCAGGAGCAAATGGTTCTGTGAAAACAACCTGATGTTAATGTGTCTGTCTTGTTTTATTTTTCAGTACACTCAAAACAGATAAAAAGATATTTTGTGCCCTAAAAGCTTTGAACCCTTTCAGCTGTAGTCACTTTTCCTCATTTACACAGAAAGCACTACTTAATTACAAATTTTAAATTTTGTATATTATGAGTCACGAATATACTAATCACGAATGTTTCTGTTTACATTTTTCCCAATATTATCTCCAGTTTTCAAATGTACAAAGGCTTGGAGCATAAATGTAAGTTTTAAAGTAATCCGGTACTTTACAATAAAATACAAATTATTTTATTCGTTTTTCATATAGGATTTTGTATATAATACCATTATTCCAGTTAATGGCTTTCATTTGTGAAGATTTTAAGTAGTTAGCCTGTGAATACCGATGAAATGTGCATTCCAACGCACTGGAACCATTTGATAAGTGGAGACATAAGTGTTCTACATAAAAAAGGCATATCCAATTCAGTGTAAACCTGTCTAGGATAAGATATTTTTTAGTTTACTGAAACAGAACTCCATACGAAAATGTCAGTCTAAGTGCATTCACATAGCAGTGATACTAGCAGTTCAAAGGACTCATGTCTCTAATCGAAATGCAGAGGTGTTGTTTATCAGATACAATGTTTTATTGGTTTTTTTTGTCTACTCTTCTTTTACCACTCTACAAGATGTAGTTCTTTAGGGGAATCCTTTATTCAACTAGCAGTTACAACTGTATAGAATTCCGTGAAGTTCCATATCAATTAAACAATGACTACAGAAATCAGCAGAATATTTGTATGATATCACTTATAAATAATCGGAAAACAAGCTGAGATAACTGCAATGTGTCTCAATAGGTTCATCACATTTTCATAAACACGAACCTTAAGTTGAAGTTTATGTTGAAAATTTAGTTATTTCTGCTTACTAAAATCAGCATTTACCAACAAGAAGAAATATATTACACACACGAAAATTCGAATTTCTCTTTTAACAAGTACGAACATCAGCCAAAATAACGCTAGATAATGGAACCTATTAAAGTTATTTCTAAGTTTGGTTTTCATTTTTAAAAATAGCATCATTACTGATATACATATATGTTATATATATATATATATGCTCTTTTCACACGATAGTTTGGAAAACTGGATTTAGTACACTGGAGGAATGGTTTACTAATCTGCGTATACCTGAAGAAGATCAGACTAAAGTGAGTGACCTATTTACAGATATCCCACTTTTACTTTATTTAAAAAGACCACGAAATATTGTGCATTTTCCCATTCTAGTAAATTCTATTCTCTTATCCGTAATGTAAAAGTGTTTGATTCCTCGAAAACAATCTAATATCCAATATTAGTCATTTTACAATCAAATCAGTTTCACCATGATATTAAATATTCAGCCGGTTTTCTAATCATTTTAAAATGTTGGATGGTTAGATGATTGGAGGCAATCTGCAGGAAATCTTGGACCTAGATTTCGTGGTTGGCTGAACCAAGCAGCCAAGGAATAGACGCATGACATTGGTTACTACCCAGTGACCAGTGAAAGGTAGTTGAAAAGTGTTATTAGAAGGCAAAGATTATCTAAAACAAATGCGATGTATTTGCGCAATATAATCCGAACAATCTTATCACACACTTACTTGTCAAATCAGTTTCTGTAACAATAAGAGGCCAATTAGAAATAAAAAGAATAGTGAGGGATTCAAGAACATAAAGGATAATAATTAGTACTACTTTTGGTACTATAGTCAGAAAGTAATTACTACGCTAGGTTAAGACTAATAATAAATTGTTTTATACACATAGGGAGAGTACTTAATTTTACTAATAGCTATCACCTTAGCGTATTACAGTAAGTGCCATTGACTGCTTTTATAAATGGTCTTGAAAGTTGTTTTAAATGTTCGAAATGCCTTGCGTAAATACATCACATCTTGTAGATAATCTCTGTCTTCTAATAACACTTCCCATATTTATTAAGGAGATTGATTGTTTTAGTAACCAAAAACTGTTATTTCTTCCTTCATAAAAAGATTCCTATAAAACTATCTGATGAAATGCAATGAAAAACACTGTCGCACGCATTCCGATTGCAAATGATAAGCTATTTACGAAGTAATGCTGACCGTATTTTTGGGAGGTAACTTCAATTTCAAGCATAAGAAATTTCGAATCATTTGAACATAACGTATCAAAACTGTGGATCTAAAATAAGCAGGATTTTATTAAATCTATTTGTTTATCAGCAGCTAGTGATATCATTTTGTAATTTTGTAACATTTTGCAACTGAAAAAAATATGTTAAATCAATTAAAAATAATAAAAATTCTGTTAAAAAAGATAACCATCTAAATACCTAATCTATGTATTCTTAGAACTGACTTGTCCTTAGAAAGATTACCATACTTAAATGACATACTATAAAATTAAAATTGAGTTAAAATGTATATATCATCCGTTGACTAACGTGTAACGTGTCCTTTTCAGCTTCGGCGTAACAATATCGTTGATGAAGAAGATTTTCTGGATGTTGTTACTAAAGAAGACTTGTGGAAAATGGGCTTGAGGTAAACTTGATAACCACAGTATGAAAATAACAGCACAATTTTTAAATTAGTTTTACTTACTGCTTATCCGAAAACATCTGCTCTGAGAAATTCTGGACCAACATAATAGGATAACGCTTTAAACGAATGATGAATGGGACGATCATAAAGGCCATCATAGCAACCACACTGACCACCTTGAATAAGCTCATATTTCTATCATTTGACTAGAAAATAAATGAACTGAACTAGCCATAATATTGACACTTAAGTCATTATTTGTGTGGTGTATGAGAGGACATTTTATTCATTCAAACATAAACTTGATGCAATATGGACACCTAGAGACGCGTCGCTTAAAGACAACATAGCATAAAATGTGGGAAAAGTAGGATTACTGAAGCAAGACAATGTAGTCTATGCATTCAAGGTCAAAAAATCCTTCTCCAGGTAACTCACCTGCGCCACCATCGCTCATATCTTCCAGAGCTGTTTCCGGTATATCACTGACGGCTACGTTATAAAGATATAGTCAGATTAGGCTACCGTGTCTAATCCTACTGTTGTTTCGGAACAGTGAAGACGGCTAGTGGTATTTTCTCATATGGCTTTCAGAATTTTGATAAACCTCCCAAGAGCACCCTTTCCTAGCAGACAATTCCAGTGATCAAGTCTGACTAACGAAACGAGGGCAGCCTTAATTTCAAAAAATGTAAGTTATTGGTTTATGATATGTGTGACGTTTTCCTAGCAAGTGACGAAGAGTAGACACACGATCAGTGCATCCACAATATGAACAAAACCCAGTCTGCTCTTCGTGAATCAATATTCCTGTATCTACAAAACCTGGGTGAAACAATAGCTGACACTATCTTACATGCAGCTTTTAGGTGACTATACCTCTATGAGTGCTACAGACGTAGTGTAGGTGTTTTTTAAAAATAGATATAATAATAGCTTCATTCTTGTTTTCCCATAACTGCCTGAGCAATCCAGTCAGTTGTGCGACTAAAGTTTCTCCATCCTTAAAATGCGATGGCACGGGGTGGCTTACTAACCTTTGTTTTCAGGTTGTCAATAGCTTTCTTCCATTGTTTCTACAGATGAATGAATATTATTCTAGACTTCGGTAGAATGAGTGTTGTTGTTAATCTCAAATACACATTTCATCAAGCTAAGGGAGTATTGACTTCATATCTATCTAATTTCAATGTGTCTCCGGTTGTAATCGTAAATGATCACGGAGTCTATCACTAATTTGATGTTTGGGGTTGTCAGTTTAGCTGATGTTCCTATTTAAGCTTGAAATTAGTGCTGACGAGGTACCCGACGGGTAGCTGCTACCCTGACGTGATGGTCGGGTTTGCATGTCGCAATGACCCAACGTGCTACACTGACTGGGATTAATCTTCCTTCAGATCCTGCCATGCCAAAAAAATTGTTGGGATAGCGACCAGACTAAAGGCATATACCGGCATAGTTCAAGATGTTTACATTATACCTGGGATCTGTAGCCAAAGTCGTAATGCTGTGGGACAGGGCTGTAATAGCAGCAAGGTGTTTCCATTAGATGGCCAGTATGCCATCTTTGCTGCTTCTCAACTCTGAAGATAGGGGTAGGAAAAGGTCAACTCCTAAAGTTGTACATCCCGACTTACCCTACGGTGGTCCGTAGCCGGAAAAAGCAACCCTAAAAGTCATTTCAGACAGGCCGTGTATAACCGGCGTCAAGTAGTTTTCCTCTCGGCCTTTCTGTCAATCAACATTAATTCGCTTTGTTTCAGGTACCCGAAGACAAAACCAACCTCCACAATGTGGCAATAGGGAAGTTAAAATCGCCAACACATAGTTTCAAAGGCACATAAAGCTCTGTCACCCACCATTATCTTGATTTCGTCCTTCTGCGACGAACAATAGCGACGAGGCCTTGAGAAGCACTACTGATAATCTCTTAAAGCCATGTTATCAACTTTATATTGTAGCATTTAACGTCAGGAACCTTTGGCAAATGGGGAAACAGGTATCACTAGTCAGAAGTCTGGCATCTCAAGCCATGGATGCATGTTCTGTTTCGAAGACACACGTACAAGACTCAAGTGTAGTCACCGACTTAACCCCATCTGGCCATCAGGATAAACATGCGACATCGGTCGGTTTTCGACATAGAACTTTGCACATATGTGCGGCAGTTCAAGTCGCCACAATCCATGTAGCACACAAAGCAAGAGAAGAAAGTAGAAGAAATGCATAATATAGACAGTAAACAGAGGTGTGAGACAAAGGAATAGTAATAACGGAGAACAATATAGTTTCATTGGAAATCATAAGTCACAAGGAGTGGATGCATCTGCACCACTGAGAACGATTTTGAGCCATGTCACCAATTGTTTACAACCATTGGTTTTTACCATCCCGAGGACCCCAACCAGGAAGTCTACATCTTCCTACGTGGCTTAGACTAACTGTTGTGGATTTCATTGATTGGTGCCATGTTTTCGTTTGACCGCCACTAGCTCTTTTCCAGCCTGGCCCTATATCACCTACCTTGACGTGGTGGTCGGGCTACACTGGCTGGAACTTATGTTCCTGTAGGTCCTACCATGCCAGAAAGGTTGTTTGGATAGCGGTTAGACAAAAAGCAGCTACCCAATCCAATACTATGACTCAAACAAAATCACAAAATATCATGCCGGATCGGTCGGGGCCCGGATTAACAACGACCGCGCTTCCTGCTGCCGTGTCACAGGGCAGAAGTGATAAATACGCTACTGAGACACACCAAATAAAAAAGGACAAACAAAAACAGGCCGTGTGTGACCGGCCTCAAGCAGTTGTCCCTTGGGCTCTGCGGTCACGCAACCAACTTCCACGGTGTGGGCAGCCGGGAAGTAACAATCACCCTCACAATCCGAAGTGCACGCGAAACCTCTCTAATCCTCACTCATCTTTGTATCCATCTTCATCTCTATTATCTTGCCTTTCTTCTACTAATGCAACTCCTCTACTTGATGGCTCTTCACTCTGTGTGCACTGATAACGATGGAAGCCAAAAAGCCAACATCGATAGTCTCCTAAAAAAGTGCGACATCCACCTTACGGGTGGTTAGGAGATTCTTCGGCTTGTTTGCGAACACTCACAGGTGTAGGGATAGCATTGAGTGATAAGGCAGAAAAATTCCTACTTGACTGGATAGTAGCATGTGCACTGTGCTTCTAAACGGATCCGTAGGAAGGAAGGACTGCGATACCCGTCAATGCCTTCTCATGATCTCCGTCTACACCTCAACCTACCGCAGTTTGTACGAAATAAAGGGTGAGTTCTACCAAAAATGTCTAGTTTGCTACGAGAAATAAAACGATAATATACAGTCGTTTTAGCGGGTAAATTCATGGCCCAAGTGAGAAAGCTGTCAGTTTGAGAAATATGTTCGTGGCATCTACGGAGTTCCCTGCCAACAGACTGACAACGGTGGTCATCTTATACAGTTCTTTTCAGATAATCACCTGTTCCTGGTTAGCATCAACTTCAAACAAAGTGAGAGACTTTGCCTAACCTGGAGACCTCCATCAAATCAAACAGACAACATAGTGACAAACGGTCGTTGCTGAGTGTCGGTAGAAGACTGATGATCTTTGTGGAACACATGCGCCTTCATCTGTACACGTGTATGCTTACGAACGAACGGATATAAAATAGGAGTCAGCAATGAAGCTTTGATATCCTTAACTTAAACAAGACACTGGGTGCCTAATTAAGGAAAAATAGCTAAACGTGTGACTGAGATTGACGGCAAGACTCATCCTGAGGAAGCCTGGCAGAATATACAGCCAACTGTAGATACAGTTGTGAAGGCTGTTGATAAACAGAAACCAAACTTTACTACAAGCCAGTAGATTTCCACTACTTCATACGAACTGATAGATGCAAGTAGACCGATTCCAGCGGGCTCCGAATATGAAGTTGTTTTCTGAAGTGGTGACAACTAGTGGTGTGGTCACCGATGCCTATTGTTCCCATTTCTAATTAATTTCATCATAGATGTACAAATGAAATTAACGCAACTGACTTCAGCAACTCAGGAATTGACTTGTTACCAGGGTATAATCGCGATGACTTAGAATATACAGATGATATAATACTTTGACGTGAAGACGCTGACAAAATGCAGTCTTCTGGACACCTTGAGAGGCAGCCATCTTCGAATGTTTGGCATGTAATTTGCACCTGTCAAATGTAAGACCATACTACAGGATTCGACTACATCGACACCTAGCCTAAATTTTGGGAGTGAAGTGGTGGAGCATGTTGACCACTTCACTTATTTGGGAAGTTACATCAACCCCAATGGACTAATTGCTGACAAAATCTGAGCACGGATACAAAAGGCTAGTGTGGTATTTCCAAAGTTTCGTCGTCTCTGGCGTAGACGTGACATTTGGCTATCGATCAAAGGGCGTGTGCAGTGTAAGGCAGTTCACTCCATCCTGCTTTATGGCTGTGAGACCTGGCCATTGAAAGTGGAATACATGAAAATGCTAGCTGTCTTTGACCTTAAGTGTCTGCGTTCTATCTCCCGTATGAATTGGTATAATAGAGTGAGTAATATTGAGGTTAGACGTCGAGCGATAAGTAAGGAAGGAGAGACAATGGATGAGCCTGTGAAGCCATATTGATTGAGATGGTTAGGACATATATTACGCATGCCTAGCCATCGGTATATCCATCAAACCCTAATCTTTTCCTGTGTTAGTATTCTTTCTCCTTCAATCTTCTGCCTATTTGAGTCCTTTTTATCTATTTTTCGTGTGGTGAATCGAGTGTGGCAATCTAAAATGTTGCACTTCTGTGTAAAGTTTTATGCTGAAGCCAATCATTCGACATGGTATGGATGATTACCTGGATAGAATTGTAAGGTAGTCACCTTTTTCAGCACGGAACTCCATATGTGCCACCAACAGTTTTCTGATTGGTGCAGCTTCCCCATTGGAGCACTGAAGTCACCAGCAAACTACGGGGTTTTCGACTAAACGCATCATTTACCTTATCTAATCTGCAGTTAGTTGGGAATTGAGAGAAGATTATGAGAAGATATTGATGTGGATGACAATCTTTCCCTCCATTCATGAATCTGTTCAACCAAACCATCTACTGGTATCTAATTAAGTAATGATTATTTTTCACTAGTACTCAGTGCTGTTTCTACATTAGCAAGTTTAAGCGAATTAGCCGAAGAGTCTCTTGATACCTATCAGATGAATTCTGTATATTCACTCTGTTGTCCAGGTGGGATTACGTGAATAACCACACTTGGGTCTTGCATGCGTATCTCCAAAACAAAACATATCTAGAGCTCGAAATGCCAGAGTTCTGGCTATTGTTAGTGATGTAATACAGGTTAATGGTACCACACTGATTCTCTTGTACCAATTAGTAGGTGTTCTAGGTAGTACTTCCTTAACATCTTTGGAAACTTCTTGAAGCAGTTGTGCTCACCAAAATCTCGCAGAACCTGGAAGACTATCGGTCACTCCGTATTCCAAATACTAACTGGATGAACAATGCTAAAAAATGTTTTACTCAACTTTCTAGACAAACTATCAGCTCCTGGGAAAATTTCTCTTCTGGACGTTGTTAGATTACAAACCTCTGTAATAACATGCCTCTATTGTTCTTCGGTAGTAGTTAGTATACATGTGATGTCTAAATTCGGTGTCTATTCAGAGTACACAACTATCAAGAAAAGTACCATCATTCTCTTATGAGTGATTAATGACTGTGACAATAATTATTCGAAGACAGCCACAGAAGAGGACCGGCCATTGATCTAGGATGACCACAACATTATTTCAAAGACACATCTATGAGTATCTGGGGTCTGTCTCCAAACCTCTGTATACAAATGAACTAATTATATGACTATCGACAGCTAATGGTAGAAATCATATTTTACGTCGTCTGATATGTAGCTTTTATGTTACCATGTCCCACAAAACCACGAACAATGAAAGCTGAGCCATCTATATAACAAAGTGATTTCATGGATGATTACAGAATTTCTCTAAATTACTATTTTATTCTTGATCGTTAAGTTTACAACTATTTTAAACAGCAACCTACTCCTTGTTTACACCCTAAATGTGTTTACTATATCACAAATTTAGCATTATAAATAACAGTGACATTCAGCAAGAAGAAACTGCTCAGTGCCACGAAATATAAATTCCTATTTTCTGTATCATTTAATACTTTGCATTAATCAAAATAATAAAAAGAATGAACTTTTAGTACTATAATATACCCTAGATGCCTAAAAGACTGAGTAATGATTTTACTAAGCTCTTCATAGAACGACATCCAATGATATGAAATCACATTTTAAAATTATTCTCTCCCGTTTTCTTGTTTACTTTAGTGGTGGAACAGTTTTTCGACTGTGGAGGAATATACTGAAGATACGTGCATTGGAATAGTATTTAGACGGGTTGTGTGCAATTATAACTAGATTCTTTTTTAAAGTTTTTATCCTTCATAGAAAAGTTTTCCATATTACTTTGATTTGATTACTATAAAATGCCTTAACTCCAGTCATATTTTCAAATCCCACTTTCACATACTTATTTTGATATGCATCTTAGGATATCATTCTGATTTCAGTAATACTACGATTCATTGTTGTATCTTTCTTACAGAAAGGCTGAAGTTCTTTTACCTACAGATGTTTATTTGAACTGTATGGAATTGTGATTTTTATACACTGACAGAAGTAAAAATAAACACCAAAAGTTTTGTGATAATCCTCTAAAAGACTTGTTATTTGAGTGTGAAAATTGCTAAAGTAGTAACACCAGAAGAATTTTGACTCAAAAGCAAGAATAGCAGAAAAGCTAAAGAAAGATACATTTTCGAATCATAGTTAATGCATACATAAATTGAAAACAGCTTTGAAGCTGAGAATACTGAGAACAGGGATCACCTAGTCATTGAACTATACGCGTCGGTTGAACAGGATTGAGTGGTGACTGTACTTCTTCAACATAATCCAGACCCAAACTCTGCTCTGAATCAACAGTCTGGTCGACTGCATCATCCGCCACCTGTAGGAAAAAGAAATATCATGGTGGTTGGAAGTTACAGGTAAATAAATCAACAGAAAAGATAATGACATTAAAAAAACGACGGTGAGGTGCATAAGCTCTCTGGACTGAAACTACATGAAAGCTCTATCACTAAAAATAATTAAAACTAATAAAAGAGTAAGACACACCTGGCATGGCTGTGATAACTAATGCTGAAGGATAATTTTCATCTTAAAAAGTAAAAGTGATTAGTGGAAACAATTAAGAATCACGAGTTTGCATTAAATATGTGGCATGATAACATAATACAACCCTTTTATGAATAGATTCAATAGTTCTGTTGACTTGAGAATGTGAAGATAAAATCATCGCTAATACTTAGTGAAGGGATAGTGAGCACTTCAAAATATCATACAAATATTCAAAATAAAAGTAATAACGTGCTAGAGCAACATGTTTACTGTTGAAACGGTATTAAGACACTTAGTAACCCATCACTAAGCATCACTCACTTTCAAGTTTCATACAAACATACGTACATTTTGGTCAAAACAATTTTTGTGTGCTCTTGATAAACATTTCTATTTATAACAAAATAAGTACTATCACAAGCTTTTACCACTACAGTAAAAGTCAACTGCCGTTGCAGCTATAATGGAAATAGGGGAGATGAACACAGAAACTCAGTATTGAATTCCCAATAGCATACAAATTTCGCACTACTACCACAAGTGAGTCTCCATCTAACACCAAAAGCTCGGTAAACCTAATTTGGAGGGGAAAGTGCAGTGGAGACAAGCCTTTGAGGTCTCATGCTCTACAGGTGCTGTTTTATTCAAATTTCTTTTTTCTCTACCTTTGTGTGCTAAATGGAATGCGGCAACGTAAACTACTGCACTCCTGTGTTAAGTTCTTTGTTAAAACTCAGTCAGTCAGAAAACAAGACATTTGATTCATTTCTGATATTGTTTCAGAGGAAACATTTTAATCCCATTACACACAAAGATCATGAATGGTTCACGTCATAGTACTGTATTACGGCATGTGTCAATCTAGGTTTGTCGTTTATCTTGTAAGCGGAGCCCATGTTTATACACAGTGATGTACAGAATACTCTATAGTAGGCTTTTAATTATTCATCTGAAGATTTTCTCGACCAACGAAGCAGCGTTAGCTCAGCGTTCCAGGAAACTGAAACTGAATAATTATAAATAGATTTCCATTCATTTTCAAAAACAACGATTAACTGTTGCACTCGATTTGAAATAACAATTTTGGCTTTTAAACCGCAGCGAACACCGCGGTCTACTTTCTGATTACTAACTCCCATCCTACGGTACTTGCAGAAACCAACATCCAGGTTTTATTATTCTCCCTTTAGTTTTTCTGGAAGTACGTTTATCCTCATTCGAAAAAAACAATGTACTGAAAGCCACATCGCAACAGCTTGAGTGGATGTCAAACAGCATTGTGCCATAAAATTTAAGCTCGGAAAGTAGAGAAAGCGATCCTTGAAAGACCGGTCGCCTCGTCAGAACACCGGGTGTCCATGGTGATGACAGCCATAGCACGCATATACGATAAGATAGTACTAATGCAAGGTAGTCAGCTCTAACCATCATGCAAATCATACAAAACAATTAAGTAGTAGACAATTCCTTGACCGTCATAACCCCCACAGTATTATCTGAGTTTGTCAGAACTATCAAGTTAGCCTTACAAAAGGCAGAAAATTGAGTCCCAAGTAAGAAAAGTGAGTCATTATGAGAAGCTACAAATGCCTGTCACCTGAAATGATTGGGACACGTTACACGTGCCTATTCACTGTTCCCCTACCTTAATTATGATTTGTTAGCTACTGTAGCATTAGGTCGAAATAAAGCTAAGGGTGATCAGATCAAGACGTGGCGTCTATCGTTGGTGCTATTCGCCGTGTGGGGGAGGTATAGACCTCCTTGCTTGTACCCTCTGTGAAAATGACTCGTGATTAGAGATCAGATGATTTTGCAGTGACGCAGATATACGCATTCATACTTCATCTTCATCATCATACTGATACCATATTTCATTGCGTGCTCCATCTTATTGTGTCTTAGAGCACTGTACGGTCATTGATTGTAATATTTCTGTTTCCGTCTGTATGTTGCCTTCAATATGATGTGAAGATGTGAGGTGTGGCAACTTGAACAACTAAGTAGTTTGTCTGAATACAGAGCTACGTTTCCTGAATACACTGAATATCATGAAAAGTTTAGTTCCAATTGAAGTGAAAAGGTCTACAAGCTATGGAAAATGTGCATTTACAGTGAAACGTAACTTTTCTGAATCTCTGATGCGAGGTTTCTGATAGATGCTGCTTGTCCTCCTATACTTTTGATCATTATTAAAGACCCTGGAAACTATCTAAATGTAGAAATAGGCACAAAGACAAGAAACATAAATTATTCTGCGGCATTTCGTTGAGTTCACTTTGCCATACTCAGTCAGTAATTCTCACTGCGATTAAGTTTTGTCTAATAACTTTAGATCCTGGTTCCCTGCTATCGACATTATCATTATTATAAAGCACTTTCACGCAGTCTTCACTTGGTGAACTGTTTATAAGAGTAACACTAAATTTACCCACCAACAGAAGAAACATTTGTGTTTAAATTCCACTATAGGGAAAAATTTCATTTCAATAGTCTCGGTGTTATGCAGTAATATTTACTGATGACGTTTCGAGCATGATTTTCTGCTCATGTCAGATCATCTTGATATGATTATGAGCAGTAAATTGTGCTCGAAACGTCATCAATATATATTACTGTATAACACTGTGAGACTTTATTAAAATAAAAATGTTCTACATAGTGGAGTTATACTCTATCACAGTGCCCAAGTTCTATTCTTAGATGTGTTTAAACTATACTAAATAAAATAAACTAAGTAACGTCCGGTAAATATTTTGCTATGCCACAAAACCACTTACGGATTCTTCAGTTTTCAACACTTCTTCGATATCATCATCGTCATCTACATCCGATTTGTCATCATTTATTGGAGACTGCTTTTTTACAGGTGCGTATACTCTAACTATTGACGGAGAAATGTATCCAGAATTTGACCTTCCAGTGGATTCAGACTTGCTAATATTTCCCGATGCTGGACTTGAGGGGCGCAAAATTTCCGAGGACCCGTGAGTAGGTGAACGCATTTGCAGTCTGCTACTGCAATTGTTGACTGGTTCTTGAAATGCAGAGTCTTGATGGATTTTAGCGTATTCATTCATATTGGATGATTTATCACCCTTATTATTATTAAGCGTTTCTTCAGATGCCTGAGATCGTGAACTACAGTAAAAGTTTGTGTGAAAAATGAAGATAGTAAGAATCAAACAATAATCAAATACTACAATTAATAGAGGCTATATTTTTATTTTCAGTTATACTACCACATGAAGCGGTGAATGCTGTAAGACAGAGAAATGTCATTTAACCAGTCAAAATCAAACTAAGAGAAAATTACATAATAATGTCGGTGGAATAGATGCGCAGATGATGTTGCCAAGCTGTGTCTCCAAATATTTCCAATAGATGCATAAAATAGTCACCTGGTAAGAAAGAAAAACCGTTTGCGGTAGAGTTGTAAGGGAAGTTGAAGCGTCATAAGTACGAAGAATATCAATTGCAATTGACCGATGTACTTTGCATTTTCCAGGTGTTTTGTCAAAGCAATGTTGTAATGACCAAAAGTTTAAAATCACTGTCAAAATCTGACTTTAAATGAAATGATGTTACATGCCTACTGAAAAAATATTCAGTTGTTTAAGTTCAGTTATCTGGAACATATTTTTCCTATAGCCACACATGGTGAATGAGGGCTGATGATATTACCTAGTTACTCATCCTTAAGCAGCTGGGACGAGACTCGAACTCGTGATTCATTCGCCAAACACCGATTGCTTAAGACAAAGAGCTACATCTCCTGGTGGCTGAATGCTCGACGAGCTCGCCTTGTAACCTTAAGGTCTTGGGTTCAATCTCCGATGGGATTATGTGTATTGTAGCCCAAGTAGCCTAGTAGTTAACACTTTGTGGAGATGTGATTAAAACATACACATAATTGCATTTATAATCACGATTTAAGGTAGAACCACTAGCTACTAACCAGTCAAAAAATGTTACTTTAAATAAAACTAGACTGTGAAAAAATAAAGCTAGAATCTTTTGATTGAAGAAAGTTGAGTTTGAATCAGATAGCCCAATTGTATTACTGGTTAGGATTTTAAAAAATTGTAAACCAATACCAAACGTAAAACAAAAAATGCTATAGAAAGCGTATTGTTCAAAGGAAAGCTAAGTAACACAACAGAGCACAGCAAACCAGAGCATGCAAATACATGGAACCTGAAGATGAATCAAATTGGAACCCGAAAACAAATCTCTCAATTCAATTTATTTCATTTCGAAAAATACAAACGTAATGAAAAAAATGTAATCACAGTATTTTGAAAACGAATGAATGAGTGTATGTGACAGATAATAACTTAACGAAGAACAGAGGGAACGGATAAAATTTCAGTGATACTGTAAGTACATTAGCGCCGTCGTGGCCGATTCTACCAAGAGTTGCCATTCTTAAGAGCCATATAGACGGAAACGGAAATATTACAATCAATGACCGTACAATGCTCTAAGACACAATAAGATGGAGCACGCAATGAAATATGGCATCAGTATGACGATGAAGATGAATGCGTATATCTGCGTCACTGCAAAATCATCTGATCTCTAATCACGAGTCATTTTCACAGAGGGTACAAGCAAGGAGATCTATACCTCCCCCACACGGCGAATAGCACCAACGATAGACGCCACGTCTTGATCTGATCACCCTTAGCTTTATTTCGACCTAATGCTACAGTAGCTAACAAATCATAATTAAGGTAGAGGAACAGTGAATAGGCACGTGTAACGTGTCCCAATCATTTCAGGTGACAGGCATTTGTAGCTTCTCATAATGACTCACTTTTCTTACTTGGGACTCAATTTTCTGCCTTTTGTAAGGCTAACTTGATAGTTCTGACAAACTCAGATAATACTGTGGGGGTTATGACGGTCAAGGAATTGTCTATCGTCTAACTATCGCGTTTCAAATTCTGAGCAGAACAAAGTTGATTGTTGCATAGTATATGTATTCCTAATGGTTAGTCTGAAATTTCGCCATGAGTCATGCGGTTTGGTGGAGGCAAATTCATCCCTTTTTATTCGCGGAGACATTACCTGATGACTATCAAAGCAGAAGTGAATCAACGGTGCACTCCAATAATGCCTATTAATAAGGATAATCGCTCAGAAATATATTAAAATTTTTGATCGCTTTATCGAACCCTTTTAGGATAGATGAAAGGGAGTAGAAAATTGAGGAAAAGGGAACCGTTGATAGTTGATATCATTTTCAACAACACAGAAAAAAGGAATCGACCGAAATAAGCGAAATAACACAACGATGTACTCAGTTAAAACTTATACAATCATCGGAATTCCCTCATTGAGGAATTGGAACAGTTTTGGTGGCTTGACACCGAATGAATATGGATTTTCAGATCTTAAAGACTATTTTAATTGCGTTGACTACCTTGTCGCTATCATACACAAACTTGTCTGAGGTAGACTATTTTATTTTAAATAACTTCAGTTTTATTCACCAAATATCATTGCAGCTATTTTTTCTAACCTGATTACTTCTTATCTTCAATTACAGGTTTTGTAGTGCATTCCTTGGAGTAGTTAAACTGCTAGATAGTCTGTCAAAATACATCAAAACATTGTAAAACCACTAGACGTCAAAAAAGTACAGCTGACTGGTCGAAAAAACAAATCTGCCGTTCTTCATAAAGAAAACAGGTTGCAGGAAGAACCTAAGCAAATCAGATAGTATGAGTATAGGGTACTATTTATTAAAAACTGACTTAGCAGTCACACATGACTTTGGAATCAGTGCTCATTAAATAATTATATTATAGTGATTCCATTGAAATTTCGAAGTTTCCCTATATCAAAACAATGTAGTTGAAGAGGAATTATTTGAAATTTATCATAGGTTGAAATTTAAGACTGAATCACACAAAACACCTCAAACTTATAATTCCCGAAATAAACTCGCAAAAGCTTGCATGCATGCTGATAAAGGGAATGCTATTGTAGCCATTTAGGAATCCAAAAATTTAATGTCAAGCACAGCATACTTTACGGAGAGAAGACAATGACGCAAGATAGAAAGTCACATAGAAGCAAAACTAGAGATGATACCTTGTCACACGATTCTGTAAGACAGGTATTCTGCTCAACCTAAAGTGAGAAATAAGTTAATCAAATTTACCGGATTTAAAGACAAACTAATAGTAACCAACATTTAGGACAAACTCGAAGACACATACCTTTTGCGTGAATTGTTTGATGTCGAAGAAGAATCTAGAAGTATATAACAAACGGAACGTTTCATTAATGAAATTATGAAAGGTATAAAACGCCTAGCGATATCAAACAAAATGAGTAAAAGGGGGAAAGTAACCTAAGGAATAATAACATTGAATAACTGAATTAAATTGTTGTCAATCCATTGAGACGGCTACGTCACTTTTTACGCACATCAAATCACCAACCCTTCCCATCGAGTGATATCAACCAACAAAAAATGGAATTCGACAAGAGCTAGGGGCGGTCAAAAGGGAAACATTGCATCAGTTGATGAAGTTTTTGGCTCTGTGTGTGAGCAAAGTGGAAGGGGTATCCTGTCTGGCCGGGTCCAGATGCTAAGAAGTAACATCTGGAGACTGTTGGTAACATGAGCAGATGTACTCGCTTTTCGTGATCCATAAGATTCTTACTAATGGTGATATAAAGATACATTATGAGCAGTGTGGTAGAGCATAGTTCCATAATACACTAATTTTATTTGATAGAATCCAGTGTTACAGTAATATATATTTCCTGGTGACATTTTTAGGACCATGTATTGAGCGTAATCATGTCAAGATTTTCACATTTTGTTGGTATGGTCATATAATTTCTTGCCCTTTGTTTTCCGTGGTAATAACATTTTCAATATATCTGGTGTTGTGTCACTCCTATGGCACATATCAGCTGTAGATTCGATGAAAGGAGACCCAGTAAGCAACCTCCCCCTTCACTTAACTATAATTACCTCTTAAAAATTTAGTTTTATCCAACCTTTTTATGTGGCTCTATATTAGTGCATGCATTAGTCTCTATGTAACTATTCTTTCTCCGGTAGATTTCCCTTTTAGTTTCTTTTCATTTTTTCTACATGACCTATTGCACTTAGCATAAAGTTCTACGTTGCAAATTCACTTCATACTGTCAACAGGAAAAGTGGACCTTAACGAAAACAAAATACAACCTGAGAGTTTGAGACATCTTATGATTATTGACTGACTGAGTTTCGACATAAACTCTGCACAGAAGTGCAGCAATTCAAGTTGCCACACTTCATGAAACACACAAAGGCACCAAAAAGAGATAAAAAGGATTCAAATAGGCAGAAGATTGAAGGAGAAAGAATACTAACACAGGAAAAGATTAGGGTTTGATGGATATACCGATGGCTAGGCATGCGTAATATATGTCCTAACCATCTCAATCAATATGGCTTCACAGGCTCATCCATTGTCTCTCCTTCCTTACTTATCGCTCGACGTCTAACCTCAATATTACTCACTCTATTATACCAATTCATACGGGAGATAGAACGCAGACACTTAAGGTCAAAGACAGCTAGCATTTTCATGTCTTCCACTTTCAATGGCCAGGTCTCACAGCCATAAAGCAGGATGGAGTGAACTGCCTTACACTGCACACGTCCTTTGATCGATAGCCAAATGTCACGTCTACGCCAGAGACGACGAAACTTTGGAAATACCACACTAGCCTTTTGTATCCGTGCTCAGATTTTGTCAGCAATTAGTCCATTGGGGTTGATGTAACTTCCCAAATAAGTGAAGTGGTCAACATGCTCCACCACTTCACTCCCAAAATTTAGGCTAGGTGTCGATGTAGTCGAATCCTGTAGTATGGTCTTACATTTGACAGGTGCAAATTACATGCCAAACATTCGAAGACTAAGACCACTTATGTGTTCATAGTATGTTAATTTACTTCAGTTTCATGCAATAAGTGTGACTAAAGATACGTGAGAAACCTGTTTACGGTAACACTAAGTTTTGGAATGTAACAAAGGAATCTAAGTAATGCTGTCGAGTGACTCCATACTAATTTGTTTTGTTCGGATAGAACCCAACCGAAAGCTGCTACCTTGACGTGGTGGTCGGGCTTGAACACCGCAATGACCCAACAAGCTATACTGGCTGGAACTTATGTTCCTATAGGTCCTACCATGCCAGAAAGGTTGTTTGGATAGTGGTTAGACTAAAAGCAGTTACCCAATCCAATCCTATGACTCCAAATAAATCACAAAATATCATGCCGGATCGGTCGGGGCCCGGATTAACAACGACCTTCCTGCTGCCGTGTTACAGGGCAGAAGTGATAAGTGTGCTACTGAGACACGCCAAACGAAAAACAACAAACAAAAACAGGCCGTGTGTGACCGGCCTCAAGCAGTTGTCCCCTGGGCTCTGCGGTCACGCAACCAACTTCCACGGTGTGGGCAGCCGGGAAGTAACAATCACCCTCACAATCCGAAGTGCACGCGAAACCTCTCTAATCCTCACTCATCTTTGTCTTCATCTTCATCTCTATTATCTTGCCTTCCTTCTACTAATGCATCTCCTCTACTTAATGCCTATTCATTTCCTCTTCACTCTGTGTGCACTGAAAACGATGGAAGCCAAAAAACCACTACCGATAGTCTCCCAAAGCCACGCCACCAATTTCATATAGGGGCATTTAATGTTAGAACTCTTTGCCAAATAGGACAACAGGCATCACTAGCCAAGACTCTGGCATCCCGAGCCATTGATGTATGTTGTGTTTCAGAAACACGCATACAAGACCCAAGTGTGGTTATTTACCTAACCCCACCTGGCCAACAGGATGAATCTGCAAAATTCACCTTGAGGGTGTCAGGAGGTGAGACGGCTAGCTCACGAGGATTAGCTGGTGTTGGGATAGCTTTGAGTACTAGGGCAGAAAAGACATTACTTGACTGGATCCCGGGAGATAGCCGAATGTGTGATGTCCGTCTGAACGGATCAGTGAAAAGGAGAAAGGACTGCACTACTCGCCGATGCCTTTTCGTAATCTCCGCCTACGCCCCCACTGAATGCAGTTCGGATGAAACGAAGGATGAGTTCCACCAAAAGCTGTCTAGTTTGCTGCGAAAGGCTAAACGCTCAGATATAATGGTTCTAGCTGGTGACTTTAATGCTCAAGTAGGGAAATTGTGTCAATCTGAGAAGAATGTCGGTGGCACATACGGAATTCTGTGCTAGCGAACCGACAACGGTGACCGTCTCCTACACTTCTGCTCAGATAATCATTTGTTTCTTGTAAGCACTAACTTCAAACACAAGGAGAGACACTGTTTGACCTGGCGACCCCCATCATCAAACCAACGCTGGACACAAATAGACCACATAGCAATAAGCTATCGTTGGCGTGGGTCGGTAGGAGATCGTCGCTCCTTCTGGAACACGTGTGTAGATACTGATCACGCACTGGTCCGCGCTCGTGTGTGCTTACGACTGAACGGACGTAGGAAACAGCTGGCGGTAAACCCATCACGTCCCCAGCTCGATCAAGAAACTAAGTCCCTATTTGAGGAAGAACTAGCTAAACACATATCTGAGTTCGACAGCTGCGCTCACCCTGAAGAAGCCTGGAAGAATATTCAATCAGCCATAGATACAGCTGTAAAAGCTATCTTTAATTTGAAACGGGGCAAAGCGGCAGGACCCGACGGAATTATTCCGGTGTTTAAATATGGGGTGACATACTAGTATGTAGTTTAACTAAGGTACTAGGTAACGTCTGGGAATCAGAGACGGTTTCATCAGATTGGGGTAAGTCACTTATTATACCAATTTTCAAGAAGGGAGACAAGTCCTCATGTGATAATCATAGAGGAATCAGCCTGACGAACATAGTCTCTAAAATCCTAGGCTCAGTAATCATGCACAGACTAAGCCGAACTCGGGAGGAACAAACGAGGGAAAATCAAGCGGGCTTTAGGCCAGGTAGAGGGTGCATAGATCATATCTTCACTCTCCGACAGATCCTAGAACATAGACACACTTTTAGGCGTCCAACAATTGCCATATTTCTTGACTTGAAGGCGGCCTTCGAGTCCGTGGATCGAGAGGTACTATGGCAATGTTTGACTGTGAAGGGAGTGCCAAGAAAGTACATTGCACTAATCAAGGCACTCTACTCAAACTCACGTAGCCGTGTAAGGGCTTATGGGGAATTGTCATCTGAATTGATAACAACCAGTGGTGTCCGTCAAGGATGTCCACTTTCCCCTTTTCTGTTTAACTTCATCATAGATATGCTAATGGAAGTATCCTTAACTGAACTTAACGACTTAGGAATCGACTTGTTACCAGGGAATAGTCTTACGGACTTAGAATATGCAGACGACATAGTCCTGTTAGGGGAGGATGCTGACAAAATGCAGAGTCTTCTGAACACCTTGAGCAGCAATCTTCGTATGTTTGGCATGCGATTCGCCCCTGTAAAATGTAAGATGCTGCTACAGGACTGGACTACATCAACTCCTAGCTTAGTGATAGGGAGTGAAGTGATAGAACATGTTGACCACTTCACCTATTTGGGAAGTTGCATCAGCACCAATGGATTGATTGGTGACGAAATCTCAGCAAGGATCCAAAAAGCTCGGGCTGCTTTCGCTAACTTACACCATCCCTGGCGGAAGCGTGACATCCGGCTATCAACCAAGGGACGTGTGTACTTACTTACTTTACTTTACTTCGGCTATCTCCTACGGGAGGATGAGCCGGCTTCATGAACATCTCGAATCATCGCTGCCCAGGCGCGGCGATCTGATGAAGAGAGTTCATGAAGTTTCATGGGAATTTGGTACGAGTGATGTCCCCAGAATCGCTCGGCCTTTTGTTTGAGAGTGCAGCTCTAGCCTTTACACAACCAAGTGTGACCCACAAGGCAGTAGGAGTGAAGTAGGGAGTCCACTATCCATTGGCAGCCGGTGACCGGAGTTCGGTTCATACGCCTTTTTGAATGCGACCAGACATCCAGGACATCCAACAAGCCCTTTGTCCATACGTCTGCCGGTGAGCTCCAGTGAGCTTCATACGCCAGTCGTTGGAGGTTTGGAATCAGGGTTTAGCCATCTCCCCTAGACTGTCATCCAATGGACAGTCAACCCGGTGAAGAGCGCCGGGCATCCGCTTTCGCTCTCTCACTTTGGTGAAAAAAACACCTCCGCCACGTGAAGGCAGTGAGTAGGACTTCCTCAGGAGAGGCTATGTAAGACGCCCGGTCATATGGGAGCATTTCAAGAGGTGTGCGGAGGGGTGGCCAACCCGCAGCGCAAGGCACCCACCCCCGACCATCCTGAGGCTTTGGAGGCTCAGCAGTTCGCTCCGTCCTTCTCTATGGCTCTGAAACATGGCCAATACGAATTGAAGACATGAAAAGGTTGACTGTTTTTGATCAAAGATGTTTGCGATCTCTTTCTAACGTTAGGTGGTATAATAAGGTAAGTAATATTGACATTAGGCGTAGAGTGTTGGGCAAAGAGGGAAAATCAATCGACGAGGCTATAAAGTTACATAGATTGAGATGGCTAGGTCACGTGCTGCGCATGCCTAACCATCGCCTCCCCCGACGGGCATTACTAGCTGATATAGGTGCACGTTGGAAAAGAGTAAGTGGTGGCCAAACGAAAACATGGCGTCAATCCATGAAATCCTTGACAGTTAAACTGAGTCAGGTAGGGAGATGCAGACTTCCGGGTTGGGGCCCTTGGGACTCTAAGAATCAATGGCTGGAGACACTAGGTGACATGGCTCAAAATCGTTGTCAATGGCGCAGATGTATTCAGTCTCTGTAATCTTTCATATTCCTTTCTACCATTACCCATTCTGCTTCACTCTTATACCTGTCAAAACTCTATTGATTCTCTTCACTCATTTTCGTGTCTACCTTTGTGTGCTCTTTGGGACGTGGCAACTCGAACTGCTGCACTTCGGTGCCAAGTTCTACGTTGAATCCAGACAGACAGACAGACAGACAGTTCGGATGGAAAAGGACGAAAAAAATTATTCGTTTTGATGTAACAAGCTCATATAATATATCGACTAACGCAGCTTTTGAAGCAGTCAGGATCCAACTGAGCATTATAAAATTAGAGCATCGGTAGAGGAAATCACGACAACTTATCTCTGATGGTATAAAATAAAAACAAACATATGAGAATGGTAATGGAGTCAACAATGTCCCCAGTAGTGTAATTTACATTTAAAGATACAGATGTAAAGCATTTAAAACATTTAATCCCACTCGTAAATAACAATGTTAAACTCCAATTTATCGAACTAGATTTGGTTAGCCAAGTGGTACCACCGCCTATCACGCCGCATATGTGGTTCACTGCTAACTACATCAGCAAATATGTGGTTGCTGAGTAACTATGACAGGAATAAACGTTCTTCAAGTGAATTACTTCAACCTCGAGTGGCAAATATAACCCCCCCCACCGCTGTTCAGTGTCCAGCTGACTAGCATTCAGTAGTCTGATCTCCTATAAAGTCAACAATGGAAACTAGTGGCAAAAGACTAAATTCACAGTTTTAAAGAGTAGATCTATTTTGGTAAGCATCACCTAGCTTCTTGTAAACGTAGAAAATGTATGCATTTCTTAAAATGATAATAAGTAGTGTAAATTAGCAAGTAACCACGATTTAATCGCTACATTCGAAACAACCAGTGACACCATTTTTAGCCGTTTAGACAGGAAATGAGATTTGGACCTGTGAAATGAAAGGCCACAGTCATCCCACAGCTGTCAAAAACTGTATCGATTTGGATACACTGTATCAGCAACTACTCACCAGTAATTTGTAAATGACAGAAAAAATCAACTTGCCTGTATCGTTCATTTTGGAACTTCGTATATTTTTCAATGTCTCCACCATACTAAGCAAAACTGAAGAGTTCTCCGAAGCCCGCCCAACAGGCAGAATAGATGTTAATGTATCACTATCCAGAAGCCTTATTTGTTCCTACACACTAGAAATTAGAGATAACACCTAACCATTTGAGCTTCATGCTTTAGAACATTTAGTGTGTTTTCGAGTTTCATAACGGTCATAAAATCGACTAAGAGTGAAGCGATGATCAAGCCTTGCTAAAAATGAGTGAGATATGAATTGGATACACTATACCATTTTCCGTTGACCAAAATGACCGAGTGGACTGGTTCAAAGACGATATTCCTTCAGCATAATTGTGCTTCTCCAGGGCCAAATAAACGGCTGCTTTCAGTTGAGCCTAGCGATAATATTACACACATTACACAGGTACTTGAATCTTTGGCAAAATACCCTCCTCATTCAGCGATCGGATAAGAGCTTCTTTCAGATTGACTTCTTCATCAGCCATTCCATCAAAACCATCCATTAATCCAGTCAATAAGAATCTGATGTTTTATAAGTGGCTTCCGCTAGACTTTCAAAAGTATTTGGTAAATAGATGGGAGGCCTGAGTCCCAAGTAGACGGTGTATGAACTAGAAAAGTTAAAAACAGTGTAAGTTAGAGCAGTTATAGAACTAAATCTAATGAAGATGTGCAAGAAAAAAAAAACTAATGTCGATCACATTTCAAAATAAAATTCAGAATAATAGAGCCCATACGGCTTCCAACTAGATTTTTCAGCGGTGAAAGAGTTGGTAAACAAAGAAAATTGGTTCAAGCCGATATTGGAAAAACAACCAGGGATAATAAACTAAAGCTGTCCACTCGATGATGTCAAAAGAATAATACGCAACTTAAATTTATGATTGGCACTCCCATGAAAAAACTCTAAGGTATTTGCACATAATCGCGACCTTTTTTAGGTATTATAGTTTTATCAGTGTTTTTCTTGTACCACTAATATGACTGGTTGATTCCAGTTTATTGTTAATGGCCAGTGTGAGTATTTTGTCAATTTACTTTAGTCAATCGTTATCTTCGGACGGTAAGGCACCTTCATTAAACTCTCTGAGCCGATTTAAGAGTGAAAGCTCTACACAGGAATAAAGCAATCTGTAAAACGCTTCTATAGCTTAATGTTGATATGTCCACTGACCATAATGGACTCTCCAATGATACTTTAAGCACTGGGTGGAACGATAGCTGTTCAACATATCATTGAGTCTGTCTACTTCCAAGGCACAAGAAGGACGCCATGATCAATCTAACCTCCAAAACCAGTCTTAGAAATTTGGTTACGAATTACCATTCCACTTGTCTATATTGCTGTTAAACTACTACAGAGAATTCTGAGCCGTGCTATTATTCAGCATGCTGGGTAACAAACTTCTAGCCAAAGTATGAACACGCTACTTTTACAAAAACAACCCTTTTGGAAAAGGAAAAATGGCTTAGACAAGACAATGTTCACAGACCTGAGAACGCTAAATTTATAGACTTTTGAAGTGTCAGGGGAGCTTTGGGATTTAAAATGGTAAGACACTGGAATCAATACTTCCCGTGGGAAAGAAGATACAGGGTAAGAATACACTGTCTTGTTATCATGTCGAGAAGTAAATAGCGGTGTGCTACTAGGTACTTTTCTAAACCGTCTTCTCTTCTTAGTTTATATAAATGAGATACCATAGAGAATTAAATCTTGTCAAGTGTTTGCCGATGATATTATGCTTCACACAATGACAGTAGTCGATCTGGTTTGTAAGAAGATTTAGACCTATTGATTATGCAAGAACTGTATAGCAATGTGAGGATCCCAGAAATATTAAGGGTTCTTCATGAGAGCCTTGTAATTTTTTATTTTGGTACACTTCAAAGTAATAACTAGACTATATCAAACTTAATTTGGAATATGGCACCAAACTTCACATAGGAGGAAGAGTGAGACTGGCTAGATTTATTCCCACGATATGTCGGCAGCTGAGGGATGGCCTCGTATTAACACTCCCTATCTAAATGGTGATTTGTGTGCCGATTTATCCTGTTTATTTTCCCCTCGCCTGAGACCTAACTACCTGTGAGGACACCTTAAAGTCCGAAAACAACGGTCCTTTCATGTGGCATAAAGTCTATATAGTATTGTCACAATCGTGCTGATATATGAATGTGACCATAAGGGTGGTTTGGATGACTTCGAAGTCCGAATGTCTCACTACAACTACATACACTGACTTTTAATAACAAGAATGAGTTTTGTTCTTCGTACGGAAACCCATGAATCGTCGAGACGATTAGTGACAAACGATACAAGTACATGTCTAACCTAGTAGACAATTTAATACGTTTCTAAAGTTGGAATGGGGAAATTTCGACAATATGCGACAAAAAAGATGCCGATTCCCAGCAGTATATTATAGAGCCGCTTTGCACCCATTATATTATCAAACGATTGAACCTGTAAGATAGAAACCGCTAAATGGCCTTGAATGAGCAACTGTTACCATTGATGAATGCCATGTACATTAAGACTCAAGAATTTTCAGCTAATTTGCTTTTAATGTCTGGAGTTGAAGTCAAAGGCTAGACAAGGGTTAGAAGTTTGGGACAAGGCCAAGTTAGTTAATTCTTACATTAAGATTAGCAGGTGGGTGTAAGTTCAGGGTGAGGATCAGAAGTCCCATTAAGTAGTCTACACATTTAAACACAACCTATCAACAGAGCAGGGGGTTTAAGATTCATATTATAAGGATAGAAAGCTCTTGTTGCCTATATTAAACCTTGAGATATGTATCTCTGCAGAGAACTAATTTCTCTTTGAAAGCGTTCACCGATGGAGCTGTTACTACTGAATCAGGTAAGGAGTTCCAGTCGTTGACCACTCCATGAGAGAATCTAAATTCCACACGTATTTTGTTCGACCTTGGTTTGAGCACCTCCTTCTACTGACCTCGTAAATGCATCCTAGCGGGAGAGAAAAGGTTTGAAAGGTCAATCCCTAAACCGCCCTTTGATATACGGCATGCCAAAATTAAGTCACCTCTCTTCCTTGGGTATGATAACGGGAAGAGATTTAAATGCTCCATTCTCTTATTATAAGGAAGGTGTGAGATACCACTAACTAATTTTGTTCCTATCCTCTGTGCTCTTTCCAGGATATGTGCCTCCTTCTTGAAGCACGGACTTGGAGATTGGCAGTCTAGGGTGAAGTCCATCAATTTCAGGTGATTTACCTAGCATCGTTTTAGACAGCAGTTTGAGAACTACTGAACCCTCTAGAACAATTGTGGGCATTTTAGTGGCTACAGCAGTGACCTCGCTACACCCAAGCGGTACGATTAGATGAAAAAATATCGCTAAAGTATTCCAAAACCTTTCAGCTTTCGTTTCGTCTGACTCAACCACTACTCCAGTATTGCTTATGAGGGACGGTTAACCACTGCTACTTTTGATATACGAGTAGTCTTTTTGGATAATGCACACAATCTAGTACTAACTGTCTCTCATACTCTATACGACTTTTGTCAATCATATACTTACAAAGGTTTCGAATTTTTCGGTATTCCATCCAAAACTCATCCTTACTAGTCACAGTAAGCGGGTCCCATAAGTTCTTTCGTTTTCTTAATAAACTTATTTCATTAGTAATACAGTTTTACAGTCCTTAATTTCGATTATTTGCTAAAGGTTTCTTAGTGGCTGCTGTAGTTTATTCCCAAGCATCATAGTACATGTAATAGAAAATACAGTGTAGTATACTCACGAATAACCTTATGCGACACAGCAAAACCTCCAAAATTCGAATGTGTAACGTCCAGTTGCTAGATGTTAGCGCCTAAACACTAATCGTTTATTTAGTCAAGGTCATTCCAATATCCAATATCCAATATCTTTTTACGAGCTAGTATAAACCAATTTGATTTCTTTGCGCTCGCCTCTTGATTGTAAGGTAGAGGTTCCTGATCTTTGGTAAACGTCTGTGTAGCTCGTCCCGCCACTCGACTGTCGTAGCTTTGGTTGACTCCAACAGGAGTAGTGCTGGGATTAATTATATGGCGTCTGTAGTATGAAGTGTGTTAAGACTGTTACTACTGTGAATGGAGTTGATCCTTTCACCAGTTAGTCTTTCGGTATCGTCGTCAATGGAAAAGAGATAATAATAATAATAATAATAATAATAATAATAATAATAATAATAGATATAATTAGTAAAGGTATTCAGACTACAGACAGAGAAAAAAAAAAAATAAGAAAACGTCACAACAGTCAGTCAACCGGTATACACATATATATATATATATATATATATATATATAATATATACCAGTAATAATGATAATAATAATAATAACAATAATAATAATAAGTGTAGTTAAAGCTGTCAGGAGAGTAAGACTGAAGAGAATGTAAAGAAGTAAAACGACCAGTTTAATTGTCTATCTTTGAATGGTATATGCGATTTTAAGGGGATAGGTCATTTGGATACAGTCCTTGTGTCACTGCAAGGTTGTCCAGCCTTCGCTTAAAGGCGTCCACAGATGGTGCCATAGCTACATCTGCCGGTAAGGAATTCCAGGGGCGGCAAACCCGCAGGGAAAAGAAGTGGGAGCGCACCGGTCCTCCCTGAACTTGGGATTTCAGGACTATCTATAAGAAACTTTTTCGGGTGATCTTTGTAGAGTACCCCATATATATATCATCATTTTAACATTTCTGCTTAATTTTAATGGCAATATTTATTAAATCTATATTTAAAAAAGTCAATATGCTAATTATTATGCTAGCTACTGTAGCTTTTTTGAAATAGATAATAGACAACAAGACAGTGTTGTTGATTAAGAACTATTTTCAAGATTGCAAACTAATGTGAGTATCGACGTTCCCCTTACTCATACTATAGATGAGTAATATATGAAAATAAGAAATAGTTCTCTGCGACACTCCTGATGACGAGCTGTGCCAAGATGATCGGACTCGATTGACCTTGGTGCAAAACTGCCTTTCAGTTAGGTAGTCCTTCAACCATGACAGAAGTGGTTTACCTAGACCTACCTGGCTTATTTTGTGTAGGAGAAGGTCATGGTGAACAGTGTCAAATGCCTTCTCAAAGTCTAGAAAGATCACATGGACAGGAACATTCATATCCCAGCATGATGTCCAATCGTCCCAAGCTGATAATAAGTTAGTGACGCAGGATCTTCCCTTCCTGAAACCGTGTTGGGCTTCATGGAGTATTTTAGACCTATCCAGATATTCCCTGATGTGATCATCAATAATACTTTCCAGTACTTTCGATACCACTGGGAGTAGAGCTACTGGTCTATAACTGGTGGGATTTTGCCTATCCCCACCCTTGAAGATCGGAGAAAGGATGCTTCTTTTCCATTCCTTTGGCAGTTTCCCCGATTCCATGGAGTGTTGGAACAAGTCGCATAAAGGCCTACAGAGAGCTTCGGCGCACTGTTTCAGAACAGATGGCCTGATGTCATCACAACCTGGGGACTTCCCAGGTATAAGTCGCTGCAGCTTTCTCAGTACTATTGCAGGGTTTATTTGAGGGGTGGCTATTTGGTCTTCCTCCTGTGAAATAGTCATGCCACCATTTTGGTTCGTAACGGTAATACCCACATTGCTGTTTAGCTGTTTGGCGAAGGCTAAACTGAATGTTTCAGCCATCTCCAGACTAGTGAGATATTGACCGTTTTGGCCTACTAAGGCGCAAGCCCCTTGGTTGGTTGGTTTCCTTTCCGACATGAATCGGTACAAATTCTTCGGGTTTGCCAGGAGTTTTTTAGCAAGGTTAGCCTGGAATGACCTTCTGTCCCTCCTGACTCTTGCATTGCACCGGTTCCTGAGTTCCAGGTATGCATCATGGTCGATCTGGCTTCTAGATACGCGCCACGTAAACCAAGCCTTCCTCTTTGCTTGCAGAATACGCTGCGTGCCTCTCTTTAACCATGATGATTTTCTTTTTGGCTGTGCTGTGACTAAAGGGACGGTATCCGAGATCGCTGTATGAATAATCTTTTTTACCGCTTCCCAGTGTTCATCCACAGACAGCTCATCCCATGCTAAGGGCCAGTCTGCATCGAACAAGAGCCTCCGCATTTCAGCGTAGTCAGCCTTGCTGTAACACAGACATGGTTGCGTAGCGTCCCACTGCAAGTGCTCACGGAGAACGAGGTCGAAACCTATGACTGCATGGTCACTACTTCCTAGAGGAGTCATGACCTGGACCTTTTCGACGAGTAGTTGGTCACTAGTTAGAATGTAGTCTAGTTTTGATGACTTTCCACTAGGGCCCCACCTAGTGTCGTCTCCAACATTCTCAGTCAGTCCCGTGTCCCGAATAGCTTGCAGTAGATTTCGGCCGAATTTTCCCTTAGCATACCCCGAGCCAAGGTTCAGTGATGGGGCATTGAAATCTCCAGCAATGGTGATTTGGTCATAGCCCAAGTCTCGTATCCCTGTGATAGTGCTGAGCAGTAGCTGATTGTGCTCTGCCCCACAGGTGGGAGATCGGTAGATGCCGCCAAGTAAATGCTTGGTGTGGCCTACGGTGAAATGACACCATATGGAGTCTGCGAGTTCAATAAGTGGTGGGTCCGTTGCGCGAACACATTTAAGTTGCCTATCAAAGTATATGGCAACTCCCCCTCCTTCCTTATTGTCCCTGTCTCTCCTGACCAAAACCATATCACCTATACTGATTTCATTGTCGGCGATAGTGGGGGTTAGCCATGTTTCGGTGAGAATGATTATTTTCAGTTGTAGGTGTGCTTGGAGATTTCGGAGTTCACCTATTTTTACTCTCAGCCCCCTCACATTGCTATACAGGCAGCTGACAGTGAGTCTTACAACCTCAGCGTGTTGTGGGGTAGTTGACGTGAAGCTATCTGCTGGTAGGGAACTTAGTGTTGGGACTAATTGGCCAGTTCCGATGGAACCGGCCCATTGTGGTTTTTTCCCTTGGATTTAGGCAGGACACTTGGGTGGCACAGACTGTTATTCTCAGAACTGCATCGCTCGAGTGTCACTGAAGCTTGGGGACGTATTAAAGCCTCAGTTTGCTGCCTCCTTATGGTTCGAGGTCTGCTTTCGCAACATCGGATGTTTCCTCCCAATTTCCCCTTGATCTCATACCACCGTTGAAGTGTTATGGCCAACTGCTCTGGGGAGTTGAATGTGACACTAAGCAGCCTTGGGGAGCTAATCAGTGTGAGATGAGCGGGGCGAGGTAGTCGGTAAACGGAGATGGCTCCAGAAGCGCCAAGGGCCATCTGAGACGACAGCCATCTCCACTGCTGTACGTCATGCATGTGTTTTTCACAGGCAGTGCCCGTTTCCAGCTCCGGGACACCGTGCACTACCATAGAGGTGGAAGGCAAAAGTTCCGGTGACTCCCTTGCCATTTGTCTGACAGCCCATGGTCTGTCTTGTCTCACCCTTATGTTAGAGCTTCTGTCGATGGCTAGTACCTGAGCCATCAATAGTACCTTTTCGGCCTCTTCAGCAGAGTCCAGTGTAACCCGTAATGGGGGTGGCTTACCTTGAGGTGTGTGGACACCCCTGTACAGCCTGCACAATTTCACTGAACTAATATTCAGACCTAGTTTATTGCACAGGTTGGACCACTGTTCCTGATCAAACAGGGCCCGCTGTTCAAGCAAGCTGTCCTTGCTCACAGGTACGTTAAAGAGGATGAGCGAATTAGACCGATTAACCTCAGACTTAGGTTTGGCCTTTGGCTTCTCATATTCCTTTGCAGCATCAGCAACTTTAGGCTTCATCGGGTTCTGACCAGCCTTTATTGTGTTGCCAAGCTTGCTTGTGGATGCAAGTGGTGCTTCTCTAACTCTATCTTTCCTTGATTTTTTAGGTCCAACCTTATGAATCTTCACCTTGTGAAAATTGGCATTTTCGGTCAGTAGGACAGGAGTGTCCTTCTTACTGTCTGTGCCAAGTTTTGGCAATGTGACGTTAGCAGGTGGGGAGCTACATAAGACCGTGTTGGGACACAAGGGCGGCGTGTTGTTTCTGCTAACCGCAGACACGCTCTGTGTGACTACACCAGGGCGACAGAGTGGACAGATGTACCAAAACCACGGGCATGGGTTATTTCTCATAAACTCGTAGTATGATTTCGGTACCTCTTTGTCGCAACGGCAGTGCACCCACCGTTTGCAAAAATTGCATTCGAAAGCTGAGTCAGCTTTAGAAACAATGATATTGCACGCCTGGCACTCGTCTCCCTTACTTGGTGACGCCTTCGAGGTCTTATGACGTCTTGAGCGTTTCCTTTTAGGTTTGTTGTACTTCACACATTGGCTTTCAGTTGGTGCAGGTGTAGTAGTATCCTGTCCTACTAGTATTGCCTGAGCCGTTTCAGTACTAGACTGTGGCGCTGCAGGCATAGTATCCGGACAGACGAGTCCTACACGGGTCTTTAGGATGGGTATGCAATTTGGGGTTGGTGTCCCTGCGTTTTTGCCTTCTCTGGCTGAAGCCCTTGTGACTACAGAGTAAGGTGTTTTGGTGCCATTTCTAAGGTTACTTTCTACAGTCATATTAACTATCGCTAAAACTTATGCTGTATAAGAATAAGAGTGCAACAGTATCTACCCACAAGAAAAAGAATAAGACTGAAAAAGTACAAGACAAGGAAAAGAAAAGGTTTTCGACTTTACCTAGTACTTTCTGGATGATCGGCTTCACAGCAATCACGTGGTAGACCAACAAGTCTTGTTTATCTGAACGAGTGGGGAAGATGCTGCTACAAAAATAGCACCTGAAGCTTTGGCAGTAGTTCGAGACAGCTGGACTTACCACACAGAGATTCGATATGTAAGTAA